CACAATTATTTTATTGTTACGATACCTACGATTCATCATATTTAAACGCATCTAATAGTAATAGCAAAATTGGGACATACAAATTTGTAAATCAGATTTTTGAAAAATTCCAAACAGTAAACTGCTAAACTTTTTATACATAAAATTAATGCATGTGTTTTCCTCTGAAAATAATAAATACTTTGTAGTTTTTATTTATTTCTCGCTGCAATAATATATCGTTATTGATTGATTCCATTTTAAGGCATTAATAGAGTATATGCATACAGAACAATTATTCGTGCAATATCGCACCCTTGGCGCAAAACACCAAAACTCAAAATTTGGGATTTTTTAGTTAAGGCTTCGAGTTCATTGCTATAATTTTAATTCTACAAAATGATCTACCAACACATTCATAACTCAACCAACACAAATGAAACAAAATATTTTATACAAACACTTAACCACAAAATAAAATAATACACATTAACGTATACCTTCAGCGTATATTAGAAGCAATAGCGCTCACAACAGATGAGTTCGATTGCGGGCAGCAAATCCAAAATATTATTTTTTCACAAACCCTCCTAAGTAAGCGCGCTGTCCGTCCTTACTTGATTGTTTATGCATCACGTCCATTAAATTTAGCTATTTTAATTGTTAAATTAGGGTTTTGACATAGAAATATTGGATAATCAGAAAACCGTACTATTTAATGTTGCCACCAGAGATTTTCATTTTTTGGGATGTACCTAAACGTGTGCGTTTTTTTTTACGATAAATCTGAAAACCGAAATATCTCTTCCCGAGCAGAAAAAATGAAGAACAAATAAAAAGTTCGGGTATGGTTTGCCAGGTATCCAGGTATTCCAGGTAAATTTAAGAAAATATTATTGTATCAAAGAGTAATTTTTTAAAACCAAAAAAGTGACTTAAACGCTATAAATGTGGATTTTGAAGACTATTGCGGATAAAATTACCGCTTCAAAGCATTTCTGTGGACACAGGACCTCAATTGAATACCTATTTTATTACTGTTCTGTGCTATACCGTGCTTGATTTGGACTCACTATCCACAGATTTGCATCGAAGCGTTTTTTTAAAGGCGATTTTATCACACTTTTATTCATAAACCATTTCTACGCGGAGAGGTAATTTTCAACTTTAAAAAGAATCAAAACATACCTCAGAAACTCAATAGCAGACACTAGACTAAATGGTTTAGCAGCAATGAATGTTCACCGTGAAATTAAAGTTGATATAGATGACGTCATAAAATAGTTAACTCACTAATTGTGGGAACTACTAACGGACAACCCACTTGAAAAAAACCTGGTTGCGCCACTATTGTTAATGGTAAACATCGTACCTGTTATAATAATGCATGTCATTACGTTTTGCAAAACGAACTTGACGAACGGCTTTAACATTTTTTCGGTTTTTACGTTTCTTAACGTTTTATAAACCCAATAAAAATTGATGTGCAACAATACATTCGTGATTTTACCGACACATTAAGTGTTCAAACGTCATAATACCCTTTGACCACTGTTGATTTGGCCAGAACTTTGGCCTGGACCAATTCACCCAACAATGTACCAACTTGTGTACGGGTGTACTCGCCACGACCAAATGCAATCATAACGATGACGACGATAAGTGTGTCGTCTCCAAATTTTCGCCAAAACTCGGTGTTGTCCACTAACATCTGAGCGCATCTCTGCAATAACAAACTTATTATGTATTGTAATACTGACAGAAATTAGTTAACAATATGAAATTAATCTATAATAGCCCATAACTTCATTAGACCGTGCTGTTAGCAAAATATGATTTCCGATTAGCCAGTGCGTTTGGCCGATGGACGCATTAAAATAGGTAGTACACTATAGATCATCAAGAAGATTAACCTTAAAACACCCGTCTCTTAAATAGTAGTTGATAATTTTTTCCGTGACGTCTAATAATGGACTGCCTGGATCGTCCGGCGAAACTTGAATGAGTTGGTTTTCAAATTTTAGGTGGTTAAATGTACTTGCACTGTTCGACATTTTTAATTGAATTGTTTTAATAGAAAAATCATAAAAAAATATCTGACAATCATAAATTAACATATAACAAAAATAATAATTGATTACTTAAACAACGCCTGTATTTAAATAATAACGGATACTATATTGAAAACAAATTAGTACAAACATAGCTATTGTAAGATGTATTGTATTTTATATAACATTTTCTAGTTAATACCATCTAGAGATAGAGAGATACAGAAAGAGATAGAAGGCATCGCACACAATGAGAGTAAAACCGTATATTGGTTGTAACACCGAAAAAATGATTTACAAATGTTGAAACCAGATTTACAATTATTTAGAATTAATTTACAAAAATATACTGACACCAGTTTGGAGTCGCTGCGTTAAACTCGGGGAGCTCTGTGAATTTGGCCCCCCCGAAAAAGTATTTCAGTAAAACGTGTAGGAAAAATTATTTACAAAATTCTGAAAACCAATTTTCAATTATTTTCAATTATTTACAAAAGTTTGACACTGATTTGCAATCAGTGAAAATAGTAAAAAATTATAGGAATAATGTAGGGGGGGCCAACTTCATGTACATACTGCCGGCTTCGGTTAAAGGATATCCAAGGATATTTGCTGCGGTCGCGTCCCTACCACGCTCGTTTTGGAGGTCGTTAAATTATTATGTATGTATATATATATATATAGATTTATGCGAGTCGAAAACAAATAATTACCATCAGCTAATTAGTGTAATCGACTCATTGATGTTTGAACAATAACGGCAATTAATCCGTTCGCAAATGTGTACAAATGTTAACAGAACGCATTTCGTTCCGCATTAATTGATGAATGCCGTATAATAACGCGAATGATAATTTGTATTCTGTTCAAACGAAACAAGAACGTTTTCTAATCTAAGTAAAATATGAACTGCAATTTATGAGGAGAAGCAATAAGCATGGACAAATGTATAAATCTCACATGTATGCAGGAGGTGTATGCGTCAAGAGTAAAATAAAAATTATAATTACACACATCATATATCTCTTAATTGGTTTAACACTTATAAACACATTAAACGTTGATCAAAGCTATGTAATTGATTACGATTATTACTGTCGCCATTTGTTTTAAAAGTACTTAATATTTTTATTATTTATAACGGTTGACCGATAAAATGTATTTCTGTGTGAAGTGCAATACGTGATATTTCTACTTATGTCACGCTTGACTGATTAGTGCAAGCATTGTTGTGTATAATTATTTTTTATTTTTTTAATAGTAGTCTTATACGCATTAACTTGGCTTACAACGGTTTACAATTACCTACTATGTAGTTTAATATTAATCGTTTCAAAAGTTGTCGCCTTCGACGGTTAACGGCCGCCCTAGTCGGTTTGGCTTAGCGTTTATTAAGTATGATACCTATAGTTTAGCCCATAATTTTGGTTTGGTCGGTTAAACTATGCACTTTATATCATTAAACAATACCTACGGGTTAGGTTAAACGACCATTACAGTTACTTATTTAATTATAAATTAGATAATTTTGTTTTCGTCCGTCAAGCGACACATCCAAAATGGTAATATTTTATTGGACAACGATTTTACAAAGTATATGACGTATACTCTAATAAGGTGTAGGTAAATTTAATTCTTTTTCATATTCGATAACCAGTTTCGCGTAACTATTTTTGAAGTCATTGAAGTTTCAAGTTTAGGGCAGGAGGAAAGGCGGAGTGTAGTATTATTTTTATCTGAATTTCATAATTAAGATTAAGATATATTTACACGGAGCTTACGAGGATATATTTACACAGAGCTTACACAGGTAATACATAAGGTGTGCGTAATAAGGTATTACCGAGCGACAAGTGGTTGTTTTCGTTAGTATTGACATATATATATATATATATTTTTTTTTATTTTATCTATGATATTGCATAAGTGCATTCAAATTGTTCTCGCAGCGATCACGAAAACAACCTAACCTGACCTAACCTAACCGGTCATACTTGCGAACCGTCCTATATGGGGGGGGGGGACACTTTTACACAAAAGTACATGTCCGCATGAAATATTAATTTACTTAAAAATCCCGCGTCGCCACACGATTTCGACACGGCTCGCAAGACTCCCCCCCTCCCCCCGTTAAATGCCACTGGGTTTTTCCGATTATGGAGCTGATAGAGCTGGAAATTTGTACGTTTGGCGTGATCTCACGAAAATAAGGGGTTTACAAGCAGAACTTTGCGTCAAATAAAACCCACCGGCAAGTATCATTAAACATCTTTAAGAGTTCTCGTCCGTTCGGTCGCGCGATTTCAATGGAAAACGTACACAGACATCAAATCTCTTAATCCGGGCGTGTAGACTTAGCTAGTACTAGTACATAGTATAGTATGGCTTAGTATGGCGCAACACGATATTAATAGGTAATAGGTAACAACAATAGGTTATGACGATTTGCTTTATGACGCGTCAATGGTAGCCGTCTGAAGAGAGTAGAAAAAAAAAACGAAAAAAATCGCGACCACCGACAGAGCGGCGTCGTCTCCTCTTCGTTAATTATTTAAATGCGGCACGCTTATTCGGTATACCGACATTGTTGGTGACGTTTTTTGCATAGCCAAATAATAACCGCGTGTAATCATACGTATTATATACTATTTACACACACAAAACGCCGTATTAGGTAGGTGTGCGTTATTATAAATATTATAATGTAAACGCGACATGACCGCCGGCGCGGTGCAAATGTTCGAACACACTTTGGAGCATAACATACCAAACCGTTTACAGCTCAGCGTGTAACAGCGTACTGTACATAATAATATAATAATAATTAATAATATATTAAATGTTACATATTATTATCGTTGCCGTCGCATCCGATAATAACTGATAGTACATGCGTCCGCAGTGGAGGAATAGGTATCAAAAACAATAATTACTATTATTGTTACAGTTTGTCGGCCGCGGAGGTCGGGCGTTCGCGTCGTCCCCAGCCGTCGCCGTAACTGGCGCGCGCGCGCGCTCGCTACTACACAACAGGTGACACGCGGCGGCCTAAAAAAACACCATAATAGACACGTTATTAATTTAATAAACAACATTGTTGTTTTTGTTTCGCGCTGCCGTGCTTATCAGCTGCCGTACAGTAATATATAATCGGCGTACACCTAATATTGTAATACAATAATATTCTGCAATCGGTTTTTTTCTCTCTTTGTGTGTGTGTGTGTGTGTGTGTGAGCTTTGGCCGTAGGCGCCAGCCGCGGCGACAACGACCGCCAACACACCGCCAACAACAACGTCGGCCGGTCCACCTACCATGCCGTCATGTGCTCCAGACGGCGGCAGCAGCAGCTGTGGATCGCCCGTCGCCGCCCGCGGATTGGACCTGGTCACCACGGTCGCGGTGGTCCTCTACTTGGCCACCTATTTTGCATCGTCCGGATCCGTCCAAGCGTGAGTGATCTATGCGTTATTATTTATCGCCCCCTCCCCTCTCACATATGCCTTACGACCCCGACTGAATAGACCCCGGTAGTGCATATAGATAGGTTTGATCGGGGGATGCCCGCCAATAGGATTATACAAGTAATGAGCTAAAACTGACTTCCTACACGCTAATGTTGACTTATTTGAAATTCCAACGCCATTGTGACCGGCATCTAATCGACTAAAACGAAATTCAAAACAAAACCGATTTCGTTATAATAGTCCTGTCCGACACGTATCTACTTTGCGCCAAAATGGGTTTACTGTGTATAAAAACAACGTTAGTCGAGTGTTATAACCAAATGTTAAGGAAAAACTTAAAAATTCTCTCCCGAAACTCGTCGTTTTATACATGCAACGTTTTTAAATCAAGCAATCTATTTAAGCTTTCTAATAGGGTTCTATTTTTCCTAAATCATTTTTACACCGTTTCACAGAAAAGACAAATCCAAATCGTAAATGTATATTCAACACATTACGGTAGTGTCATTGATTATAAACACAATTATACCTACATTTTTTTTTTTTTTAAATCTGCTACAAAACCAATAGAAACAATAAAATAAATTCGATAAAAAAATAGGTTACTTTGATAGACAAATAAAGCAATAATTGTAGATTTTATAATCAACTTTTTAGCTCTGCGTCGAATCTAAAAAAAAGTCTGCTTTATTGAACGCTATTTTTTTTTATCACTTCAAATTCAAACGGGTGACAAAAAATATAGAACTGATAATTCAGAGTGTTCCACGTATGTATATTCTTTTCGTTATTACAGAACTATGCTCTTATTTAAGCATAACCCTAACTGGGTTAATTTGTAATATGTAATTTGAAAAACATGTTAATCAGCTGGTTATATCAGAGTTCCACCCAGTTCTCTTCCATGATAGTACTTAATTCATATTATGGTAGGTACTTATGTGGACTTATCAACCAACAATAGTTAATATTTTAGTCATTATTGTGTTCACTGTAGAACACAATTTAATCCTGCTACGTCACGTTAATACCTACTCGATTAAATAACATTTATGTATTTATTTGCAACTCAAAACCATAGCGTTTATTTGCATATTTTTTAGTTTTCTATTCAATGTGAAATATGTCAATGCATAAATTTTATTTTCGAGACTAAGATCCACATAGTTTAATCTGTGTAAACATCACACTATGAGTTTTGTAGGGTCAACATTTTTTAATTTCAAATGCATAATCAAATTCGAGTTCAGAGGCCACGGCAGGGCCATAACAAGGTCGTAAAAGGTCAAGAACTTTCAAAGTTATGGAATACAGCCTCAGATATAGCCTAGAAAAATGGTTTTTTTTTTCTAGGTTTGCACATAAGTCATTGTTACATGGTATTATTAAATTAGCATATTCAATAGGTAACCATCGCCGAAAAAATGCTAATTCTTTAATTGGATGGATGTATACGTGAAAAACGCTCATCAGCATATTGATGAGAACGGATTTTTTGTGTAGCCATAATTCCGTGGGAATTCTTGACCAAACTTACTGGGCACAGCTTTTGCATCCCGTTAAAATGCGTATCATTGCAATTTATTCCAAAGCAATATTCTACGAAACTTACCCGACTCTCCTGAGCTCTACAAACCATAGTGGCCCTTGGCTTCCAAAACGATTATTCTTCTCCACGGCGGAAGTACGGGTCTAATGCGGGTTTTGTATCTCAGTAGCCTTGGACAGAGCAGCTTTGACTCGAGGAGTGTGATGTTGGCAAAGTATGCGCGGATCTCCCACGAAATGCTAATAACCCAACCTAACTTCTTAACCTAAACTACCCGAGTTGGATTGATTTTTTATTATTTTTGCTCGTAGAACGTGCAGCGACAACAAGACAGCGGATGGCGACAGTCGGGTGGAAATGCTCATGTGGCTAACGGATCCATGCCGGTACGACCGTTTGACAAGACCAATGCCGGAAAACGAAAGCGGACCGACGCGGGTGTGGGCTAGAGTGTACGTGTATTTTCTAGGATCTGTAGAAGCCCAACAGTTGGTTAGTTGTCGCACGGTGTTTCCGATTGTCCATATTGTTTAACTCTATCATTACGTTCACTTACCGGGATGATTTCATCGTAACACTCCAGACATCATACGAGTATAGTGACCCCGGCCGAAAAGCGCTATTCCAATACAATAATAACAATACCTAGGGGCTTGTAAGGCGAGTTATTAACCCGGTCCCGTCTGTTCCTGGGTTACCCAATCGTTCTTTTTGTCATGTCCATCCTTAATAAATAGCATTCGATCGTAAAACGGTCAATAGAATATTCGTATCGGAGCAAACTTTTTCCACGTAACACGATCACGTTGTCACTTGTGTGTCTCATTTTTCAACTGCCATCCGTTTTACACTAGCTAGTTTTTAATTGACAATTGTACCTATCCACCCAATGTGTACTATTTGACCGTTTACTTGACGTAGCATTTCACTGCACACGTTCTGATACGATACCGGTGGCGTGACAGCCGTCTGGTGCATTCTTCGTCCAAGTCGGCCATCCAAGGAGAGAACAAACTCAAGGAGCGAGTGTGGACTCCGCACGTTTACATAGTCAACGAACACGACTCCAACATCATGGGCTCCGGTCGCCAAGACATCCTGGTGACGGTGCAACCGGACGGCACGGTTTTGTATTCGGCCAGGTATAGATATATAGCAGATTATCATATACACCGTTTGAATTGTGGCGTTTAACCCAGGGAGTTTTGTCAGGACGTATACGATAACGACGGCGGACGTTGTGGTTGCAGGTTGAAAGTGTCACTGCTGTGCATGATGAACTTGCAAAAGTTCCCGTTCGACGAGCAGACCTGTCCCCTGATACTGGAGAGTTGTGAGTAGCGCGCGCGCTGTCCCCGGTGGATGGGTTTCCGATTAGTTATCTGATATAGCTGATCGTATCGCTATTGTCTCGTGTCTTGTCTCCAGGGTCGTACAACAACACTCACTTGGAACTGCTGTGGGAGCACGTCTCGCCGGCCGTGGTCAACAGCAACTTGCGAATGACCGAATACAACTTGGTGTCGATTTGGACGAACGCCACGGTCAGCGAGTACGCGCTGATGCCGAGTTCGAGCGAGGAAAGCAGCGGCAACGATTCGGAATATTCGTCAATTGCCATCGAGCACGTGCACTACTACGGGAAATTCGGTACAGACTAATAAAAAATTTTTAAAAATCCAGTACAGTGGGATCAGGGCATAGCTGTTAGAGAGTGGATCGATTAGGGTTGATCGTCTGTCTGTCATGAGTAACGATATAATGAAAATATTTCCATTACCCTTTCACTGTCGATTCACTCACGCGTGGCAACCTGGAAATTGGGTGGCTTTTTTTACATTTTTGGCCCATTACAGTACCTTTTTTTTAATCACATTCGATTACAATGGTTTATTGTTGTATTTTTTGTACCATTCAAGCCGGCAACTACAGCCAGTTGAGAGTGTACTTTGAGCTGGAACGCGAAGTCGGCCATTACATAATGGACTACTACGTGCCGAGCATCTTGCTGGTAGTCGTGTCTTGGGTGTCGTTTTGGTTGGACCCGAACGCAGTCCCCGGTCGCACTACTCTAGGTGAGACGACACCCTTTACCAAAGTATACCTATGAGAATAGACTGTAATTTTTGTTTTTATCTCCATCGTGTCACCCACAGGAACCAGCACGATGTTGACGTTCATCACTCTGTCCAGGAACACGGGCAGTTCGCTGCCAAAGGTGTCCTACATCAAAGCCACCGAGATATGGTTCATCGTGTGCACCATGTTCATATTCGGCTCTCTGGTGGAGTTTGCGTTTGTCAACACGATCTGGCGGCGAAAGTAAGCAAAATATCAAAAGCAATTCCTTTTTTTTTACTTTCATGTTCGATAAAATACATGTGGCAATCCACTAAACCAATGTCGACCCGGCTGAAAAGTTATAATTGTTTTTTTCCTTGTATTGTGTGGCAATATATATTGTGGATGTTAACGTACAGTATTTTGATTTGGCGCTAGGAAGAACGTGGAATTGAAAAAAGTCAACAGCAAACATATTTTGAAATCGACTTTGACTCCTCAGATGCAACGGAAATCGTCGTCCGTCGATAGCGGAATCGACAAATTCGGATCTAACTTGGGCGTGAACGGACACAGCAAAGGAAGTAGAAGAGCAACCGTAGGTTTGGTTTATTTTACACCAAAAAGCCAGACAAATTTTCCACTACATAAGGTGGTCGAATTTCAATTCTGTAAAGAGATTTGAGTTCTTGTCATGTAGGAAGCCGATTTTAATTTAAAAATTTCAGTTTCTTGCATGTGCTGTTATAAAACTACTGCGCATCACTGAATCAGACCATCCCGAGTAATCAAAATTTTGTCAGTAAAACACTATTCAGTAAACACACTATAATGGCGATAATTTCTAAAATATAGGCCCTAGTGCTGGGGACTGTTTGAAAAGCAAGAGAATATTCCCAGGAAAGTCGCCATGCAGTTTTTGTATAAGTCGATTAGTGTGAATTCATTTGCCATGACCGATTGAAATTGAAATTTTAGGGGACGGTCAATTGTTTTACTAACACCCACATAGTTTCTAAACAGACTGCGCGCTTACCCCATTGGACTATATTCCAGGTGGTTATCGTCTTCTTCTTCTTGGCCTTTTCCACACACACACACACACACACACACACAAATGGGGTTTTCGGCCAGACATTACCGGAACGAATCGGATGAAGTTCTTGCGTTACAGAACACTAGAAAATCGCCTAAACATAAACGATTTAATTCCAATTAAAAACAGCGGTAACGACAGCTATATCGTGGTTTTTATTATTTTTTTTTTTTCATTTATTTCGCAGAGGAGAACCAGAAGTATGCTGTCCGTCGCAGACTCGAACGAATCGATTGTCTGTACTGACCCGCAGCCTTTGGAAGACGTCACGATTCGAGTGCCCAACATGAATGAAAACAGAAACGTGGGCGGAGGACTGTTCACGATGACACCGCAAGAGATAGCCCAATGGATAGACCGGCGAAGTCGCGTCGCTTTCCCGGTGACTTTTCTGGTGTTCAACTGTTTTTATTGGCTCTACGTTTGCGTGTAACGTCCCAACAGCGTTGCATCCTTGCATGGTCATAAAAACCGAAACGCTGTAACGATAGAATATCCATTAGAATTCAAACGGAGAGGGTCTACTCATCATGCGGTTCGGCGACAAATCTATTATCGTCGACAAACCCACAATAATTACCACAAATCGATTGCCATTAAACTTTGACAATAATACCATAATAATTACACCAATGTTGTTGACAATTACTTCTATTTTAGCTTTGGACGTTTGTCCCCCACGACCGGTACGCCAAGGGAACGTACAACGTCACACGGCACCAAAACCACCTTGTAAATACCCTATATATATATATATGTAATGTCTAGAAAGACTACCCATATAGTTGCCCACGAGACTTCGACAATAGCAGTGGCTAAAGCTCGTTTTTACTGTTGTATTCTACGTTAAGTTAAATTTGATTTATTATATTTCGAAACAATAAATGTATAAAGTGTTTTAAGTCGCGTGTGTATTAATGTAAATCAGAAAACTATTAAGAAATAAATTTAAAAAAGTTTTTTTTTTTTTTTTAATTTATTTTTGACGTTTTATATAAAAAAAATAAAACGAAATACTAAAACAAGGTAAACAATCATATTCATACTTCTTCGACATATTTAAAAGGTAGGCAGACACTTATAGTAGAATAACAGTATATTTTTATTAGTTAAAAAAAAAAAACAATACAATACAATTCGGATTGAAAAGTTGCATGTTCAAGTTGTCTTTCGACTACCGTCTGTCATGACGATACATAAATAACAAAACAAGTCTAAAGTTGATTACTACAACTATTGAGACATTTTTTTTAAAACCAAAGCACCACTTCAAAACCTAAGACAAAAAAACGTTTACATAAAATCAGCGCCTAATAATATTGTACAAATCTCAAAAAAAAAACATTTATCATTCATATTGACTTAAAATATATAAACTTCTCTCTCTTATCTAAACAATTGTATACTTAATTTATTTGTAATTCTCCCTATTATACTGTAACATATGTTTACCAAAATTGTACACCAATGACTCTGCAGTCGAGGCTTTTGAATAATAAAAAAAAATATATATATATATAATGCATAGTAACGGTTATAAAAAAATTTAAAGTAAAAATAAATAACGACACAACAATATTATAAATCAATATTTAATATCAATAACAAATCATTTGATGTCTCACCTTAAGTGTTTATTACCTATTAGGTAGCCTTAAAAGTTAAAATAAGTAGTTATAATACAGTGTTAGACATTTGTATAAAGTAATAAGTACATACTATGACAGTATGTCCTAATTTAAAAACATTAAATCCACCTATAAAAAAAACAGAGATGAGCAATATACTTTTGGTATTTGAACTATAATATAAAAAGTAGAGTATAATAGAATTATTGTATAGTTTGTATTTTAGTATGTTTAACACATACTAAAATACAAACTATACAATAATTAAAAACAAAGAACTTTTTTTAGAAAATCTAAATTGTCTGTTTCCAATTAGACTTGCGAAAAAGGCAATGTAAAATTATATAAACTAATTTTATTCAGAATTCGAATACATCTTAAATTGTCAATACTTATTGTAAACTAGTACTATTAAAAATTATTTACTAACATAATTTTGTGTACTGCGTAAAATGACATTGTCACCGTAAATTATAAATCACAGTAAAACTAACTTCATGTTTTCAGTTAACTCTGCCAAATGTATGATAGAAATTGTTTTCTTATCAAAAATAAAATTTATTAAAAATAACATATTATTTAGTATGCTACCCGATTGGTAATTGAAAATTTTGTTTTCAATATCAATATTTCTTTAATTTAAAACCGGAAGCTACCTTTACCCATTCATTGATTGTCGGTTTTCTTATTTAAAGATATTTTATCGTCATCACAACCAATTTTCAATGAAATTGAAATTTCTATTTGGTTAATTAAGTACTGTTCACACATTCTACATAGTCGAGTTTTTTAACACAACGAGGTTGTAACGAAGAAACCAGAATTTCTAGTTTCAATTCTGTCATTGCATAAGGTCTTGCTTACTAATTGTTTAAAAAATTGTTAACACAGTCTGACGGTTTTTTGCACTTTTTTTTTTTGATAATAATTTTTATTGTTGTTGGTAACTCATTGAAAAATCTCACAATACGTTAACAGTATATATTTTTACTTTTCTATAGTGGGTTTATAATCGTTTGCTATATTTTTTTCGAATATTTCTATAAGCTCGTTTTTTGATTTTTCGCTCTTCATTAATTTCTGTTCTTCTAAAAATAACAACAGCTGGTCAGATTCCTCCAAAAATTGACTTCTTATTGCAGAGGATTTCCTGAAGAGACAAATAAAATTTTTTTTTTTTTTTTAGTTTTACGCGACTACAATATTGTATATGACATTTAACGTTCAAAATAAGTTAGGAAAGCACTCACTTTGCGCCATAATAACGGATAATCGATCCTATCACCAATACCGCTAAGCAAACCCCAGCGATAGTGAAGTTTGATGCCAGCCAATGGTTAGCCGGGTTATTGTAATGTTCCTTCCATGTTACGCTGAAAAACATATCATCGAGAAATGCTTAATACTATTAAATGTACTTATAGACGAAGCATCAATCAACATTTAAAAGAGAATAGTGTGTATTTTAAATATTAACCGGGCATCCACTGAGTCGATACAGTGAAGAGACCCACTAGAAAGTAGATGTCTTTGATACAAATATGCTAGCTAATAACTTATAGAGTTTAAAAAATTAAAATTAAATTTGAGCAAGGTCGGAAATTGTAAGTCATTGATAAAAGAACCTTAGAAAAAAACGATCACAATATCATATTGGGTTTGCCCTTTGTAATGAAAGAAGTTACATTCGTCTACACCTTTTGAAATTTCGATTCTAATTCCATAAGAATCTTAAACATTTTACTACACGCCAACCTCAACCTATCAATTTCCAACAACCAACCTCGTTTGACGTTGTGGATAACGACTATAAATTGTCTGGCTGCTATTATAATTTACTAATGTTTCATTATACAGCCGCTGCTTGTCTTCGTTTATTAATACATTGTACGCTTCATTGATGCGAACAAATTGGTCGTTATATGACGCACCGTGAATATCAGGATGGTTCTAAAACGGAATTTATCTTTCAATCTCATAGATCAATGTATATGTAATGTAATATATATATTAAAAATAATAATATACCTGTTTTGACATTTTGATGAACGAATCGCGTATTTCTTTTTTGGTGCATCCCGGCTTGAGATTTAATACTTCATAATGTGTTCTACAATGTGTTTTAGACGAACTGTAATGCAAGCATAAATTACGGTATTATATAGAAACTAGCTATACTTCTTGTCTTTTTAATATTCATTTTTAACGACTACTTACAAGTGTTGAATCGATATGTTTGTAAAACTTAAACGACAAACTCTGATGGCACATTGTACAAACCCGACATTAATCATTCTTATTTCTGTATCTCATTGTCAGTTTGATAACAAATTATAATTAAACAATGTCATTTCTATGTTAACATAATTACTAATTTACGAATTACTTACTTATTCGTTTTTTAATATTAAAGTTTTTACGTTTTAGGTATTTATTTTCTTAACGTTTTGGATTTGTTGTGATAAAATAAAAGTGATAAGAGGCAACGTTATGATAACAATGTCACGTATGGCGGGAAAATGGCCACGGTTCAAAAAAATATTTGGACAAGCATGAGGTGTAGTAACCTTTTGTATTTATTATATTTGTTAGTAAACTATTTAGAATTATCACATAGTTTCAACTTTAATACTCAATAATTGACTTTTAATTATAAATGCTCTTGTCATAATCTAGTGAAGGCAATATAGATTATAGACCATACAAATATTGGACTTACATTTTAAACCATTCGTCGTAGCACTGTTCTTGGAAGTTCTCATACATTATAATATACTTGCACAAAGTATGCGTAAGCCTGTTGTGACCGGTATACTTACCATGGTATCATGTTTTCAAAATTAAAAGGGGGAAGAACCTAACCGTATCAAGTAAACATCTTGAGAAAATATAAATTAAAATATTATCTTTTTTTGTGTGAAACCATAGCTGTAGGTATCCTGGGTTTTAAATTCTATACAATATTAATACTGACTATTATTATATTTATAGTGTTTATTAAATATTCATCATAACATTACACAAGCAACAAATGTTTTCTTAAGCGTGATTGAAACTGTTTATTTTTATATACATTCAAATTTATTGACAACTTTTTTTATAAGAAGATATACAAAAATATAGTAATAATATTATTACTTTAAAAAAAAAAAGTTGTCCTCATAATTCCTGGCCCAAGTTATTGTGTTGGTGGTTGTATTTCAGGTTGTACTTCTGGTTGTGCTTCTGGTTTTATTTGATCGGAGAGTAAAGTACTGTTTAGAAAGCCTGTAACCTCCCAAATCCTACCTAAGACTGTATAGTATTTGATAACGTTTTCGTTTTTATCTACTAGGCAACACAATCCCGTTGCATTCAACTTGGTATTTACTATAAATGAAGTTGGCTCTTTAATACTTCTGAACACCCCTAATAAACAACACATGTCGGAAAATTTTCTAAAATTTCTATTTTTTCCATCTAAAAAAAAAAAATAATAATAATCAAATTTAGCTTATTGATAGCACTTTTCTTCATTTGCAAGACACGCCTACAAGAGCATATTAAAGTGAAAGACAAATAGTGCAATTTACAGACACTCTTCTCTCAGTAAAAAAATGTTTTTTTTAATGGGAAAGCCGAACATCATATTGTATATAATAACCCGTAGTTGGTTTCATAGTTAATTTTATTATAAACTTTTAAAAAAAAAAAACACGAGTATGTAATTGAAGTTCTACCTTGTTTAATGTAACTTTGTGATTGATTTTGTATAATAAGAAGGGACCCATTTGTCGGTGATGACTAAATGTAAGTACAAACTTTTACTCGAATTGTGACACAATAGGTAATTAGGTTAAGTTAATAAAATGATTTAAAATTAATTAAAATTAAAACCAAAAGAGTCCAACAAGCAAAACAAAAACAAGACATTCATATAATAAGAACTATCTTTCATAAAGTTCCTATTGAATGTAAGTTAAGAACAGAGTCTAATCAAATAGTATCTGAGCTCTATAGTTCTGTTGTTAAAATGAAAAAACTAAATTGTGTGTTACAGAGATAATAATGATTGTCTGTAAATTAATATTATTGTTATTTTTTGTATAATGATTATTATTTAAATACAATCATCGAGGAAGTCATTTGTTTTTAAAGTTAACAAAACTAGTACAGTTAAAATAAATTACATCTAACATGTTAGATGTAATTATATTATATATAAGTATAAAAAGGTAAAAAAAAAATTATCTGAATACTTACTTATTACGTCGAGGATTAACAATCGTATAGCTTCTAAAGTTATCTTTCTTCTTTCGTCTCCAAGAGCTCTTAGATTAGCGTCTCTAAATTTGTCTAAGAAATAAATAAATAATTAAACAATTAGTTGCTTGCCAAAGAGTTGCGTTACATTTTTAAAAAAAAACTTTAAATGTTAATATCTAAAAGGCACTTGATTTAGCCAAAATTTTAAAACGTTAACCGTTTTACTTAATCCCTTTTGCCTGGAAACTTTTTTTTTATTTTCCTTTTTTGAGCGTAGTAATGACACTCTAAAAGCTATAAAACAAAACTCTAGCAACCGGGAGCTCTCCGGGTATCTTGAAAAATAACCAGGCCCATATTAGCCGTATTAAGAACACCTGAAAACGACCCTTTAGCCTTTAGACTAAACTCCTTGGCGGGGCTCGTTGCCAACCGCATATTGTCCATCCAGCAATGATCGAATCCCAATTGAGAAAGCAGGTTTTAAACTAAAGCGCAGCTGCTGTGACCAAGTTCTGATCCTGGACACGTTTGTAGAAGGAGGCCTAACTCAAGGTATTAGTTCTCGTTGAACTTGTACAAATTCATAAATTTTTATTGTTACCTTCGTCTATCTGAGGTGCAGGGATATCTGTAACCGAAATAAATGGAATAGCAAATAAGGTTAAGTAAAAAACATATATATTTTTTATTTAGAAGTTGGAACTGTTACTTGTTCGCTCCAATATGTTTATTTGCACAACTCTCTGGTAGTATATCTTTTCTGAAATTTAAAACAAAATACATTTTTATGTACATCGTTTGTTGTGATAGAAATCAATATATTGCAACTCTGATGATTATTCACAATATAATAATTCACTACTAAATATTTACTATATGCTCTGTGCTTACTTGAACGTACGTAGTCTTCTATGTGACTGTTTTCGTCTTCTGAAATTAAAATAGAAACATTTCTATACATCTTGGTAGTCTATCTTATCTCTAAAGTTTAAACAAAATACATTTTAATGTTCGTCATTCAGTATGACAGAAATCATAGGTAATGTATAGATCTATGATTGTTCTCGATATATTATAGAATTATTTACTACTTACGTTGCTTTATGTAATCTTTCACGTCGTTGTCTTCGGCATCTGAAATTAAAATTAAAAACATTTCGTACTTAATGAACACCAAACAACTATGTAGAAATAATTCTATGATAATATGTTAAGAAAATTATTACCCGGTACTGCGAATATTAGTCCTAATTCCACTGAAAATAACACGAAATGAATGTATCATTTATTGACATTAGATTTATTTTTTTAGATTCCATTCAGAATTTAGAGTAAAATTTAAGATTTACATCACTGATAAATGTTTAATAATAATATTCATTGCAATTTATATCATATATATTCATCTACATAATAGATAAATCACATAAAGCTATGCATCTACATAAAGCACGCTCTATCATTGTTATTATTTTATTTACTACCTATATAATTAATATGATTACCAATCGTAAATAATCCAGAGTGAACAAAGTCTTGAATTAAATACGGCAAAGTAGCTAGAATAAAAAGAAATAATGGGTTTAGCTATAAAATAAATCTAGAAAGTACTTAAGCAATACTTGTGGTTAGTAAAAAAAAAAAATTATAATTTATATAAAAGCCTATGGAGTAAGGGTAAACCATGCTCCAAGCGGTTACCATTTCACTTAACATTTATCTTCTTGTCAGGTTAAATAATCACTGCCCATAGTGTGTTCTAATTGAACTATAGAAACTACTTCTATTGAAGTACATTGATATAAATTAAGTTATTTACATAAATAAATTGCCTATGTGTGTAACCTTGGTAATTTACACCTCATTCGTTTTTAATTTAAACAGATTATAAAAACAAAAATTTGTAATTTAAAATGTTATTTTCTCATCTCTGATTTCAGATATACATAATGTCAAAAATATTATAATATGTTACTATTTAAATATATTAAGTATATTTTACTTTTTGTTTCAGACATCTGTTGGGCTGTAAAAAAATATATACATAATTATAGTATAAATAAAAAAATCATTTTTTATTTAAAAAAAAACCGCTTACTGACTTGTTGTAATAACCTGCTTTGAATATTCATCTGTAAAAAAAGTTAAATATTGAGTTTTTTTTTTCATTTCTACTGTAAAATCTAAATAATCACCTAAAGCTACCAAAACATTCACCAAGGAACCAAATGATAGTAAAATATATAAAAATTTCATTTTTATCTGCAAAAATAACAATTAACTATTAATATGTATACATTATCTGCTAAGCTGAGCTGAATTTGTATTCTGTTTGTTAGCAATAGTCTCCTATTTGATTTGGACTTAGTTCTTAATTAAAATAGTTCAAATAGTCCTCTGTAACATACGTTTTTTATTTCAGGTTTTGAACCTTTCTTACACTTATACTTTATTTCTTTAAACAATTTTAGCTCTGACGAGAAGTCATTGGTTTTAAAATTATGTTTTTTTTATGTATACAAAAATATCAAATGTAGTTTATCATTTTAACAATATTTTTATTATTTTTGTTTTATACAATTGCAAGTTTTCTACTTGACAAGACTAAAAAGATAATATATTTGTATCCATTAAAAAAATAACCTTACGAAGTTTAGGTGTATATAGTTACGTTACCATTTTATTTTAAACGTTTGATGATTTTTACTTTTTATATTATATGATTATAAAACAAAATTTTAAATTACAGATTTTGTGAGAAAATATTTGCCAAATCTACTTTTAGTCTAATTTTAAGATCATAAGTGCAAAACAGAATTTTGATAAAAGTGTACCCGTGTATCTGTGTGTGCCGTATTTAAAAAATAGTCTACACGAGTTTAGAAACAATTCGAATTTATTTCAAAAACATTTTTACAAAAAATTTATTTCACCTACATTTTTTTCTTATACGTTTGACTCAATAAAAGAGCATAAACAGTAGATGCCGATTATTGGTACAATTTCAGTTTTTCAATAAAACTGACTTACCGGTTAAACATTTATTCATAATTTTAATTAGTAAAACTTAACAATGTGTATATACAAATTTACTTACTATTTCGGTTGCAAGCTGGTCAGTAGGTATTACTTAAAATAAATGATCAAAATGCCAGAGTTTATAAGCAAAACATTCAGTCAGCTTGTAAAACTTTCTTAAGTAATTTTCACTTGCAAATTTTGGACGGGCTTAACGTCGAACGAAACGGTAAAATGTAAACGTACATTGATGGCTGCCTATGTTATTTTATTTGCATAGCCGTTTTCTTTTTAACATGGTACCACATGTACATTTCAAGTTCAGATTATTTGTCCTCATTTATTGGTTTCAATAACGCTTGCAATATGATTGTACATACTATTCTATCGACAAAAAACTTCATAAACGTAGCAATATTATGTATGAAACACTATAATAATATATTTTCCTGTACACGGTTTTAAATTATCCCCACAAGTATTCTTATTATACTACTTTTTTTAAAAAAATAAAAGTATAACAAATTGTTATTGATAAGACATAATTGAACGATTGTTCAATTTTTTAATAGCCACTGCGACTATTGTCGTTATTAATTTATTAATTTGCATTTCAAATCTATTAAACTTTATATGGCCTATTTTAACTTAAATGCTATATGGATAGTATGCCCCTTATTTAGCATATTGCTATGGAAACAATATAAGTACTTTACCATATTGTTTTTAAAACCAGATATATTAATTATAATAAACAAGTCAATAATTTATCCGAAAATTTGTGTTCACATAGACAACTTAAGCAAAACACAGTTAAACGTTATAAAATCGTTTTAAGTAGTCGTCTCTTGAAAGTTGTAGAAAATTATAGAGAGGGATTATAACATATTAAATAGTTGTAAAAAATGTTAAGTAGTTTGAGCAAAATATTATTTACAGAAGTTACCAATGTCTTATTAGTTAAGTTTTCAACTAACCTGCAACTTCTGAACCTTAACTGAAAAACTCCCAAAAATTGTTTCTTTATTTCTAGAGAACAATTTTTTATAGAAGTAATTATTTGAATGTATGTACTTTTAATTATTTTTAACTAGGTTTTTATTCAACAACGAAGAAATGGCCGCCGAAATCAATGTCAAAAATAACTTGTTAAACAACGCCGAAAACGTTAAAGAACTTCAGACTAAATTAGCCAAGCTTATTGTAAGTAGCATCGATAAATTTAAAACAAAATGAATTGTAAATTAATATAGGTGTAAACTTTTTGTGTAAGCTACAAAAAAAAAAACAATTTAAACTTTCTACTAAAGCTAGTATCTAGTAAAGACATTTTAATAAGATTTTTTTATGCGCGTTATAGAGTTGAGATCTAAAAACTTGAAAATATTACAATACACCTAGAATAAAATATGATCATAAAGTATACACAAATGTGTCGTTAACAATTTTTTTTTTTATTTAGGAAAAATATTAAATTGCTAATAAAAAAAATCGTTTTGGCTTTATGTTGGATTTTCTACTATGTATGAGGTCAAGTATTTCAGTAATACAAATTGACAACAGCTGATATTCGCATTAAATCATATCATGCATTGTTTATGTTACTGATTTAAATATATTGTTTGAATGAGCCGCCCAACCTCTTGGCCAAAATTACTTGCAATTTAAAATGTTATGAAAGAAAGAACAAAAAAAAAACAACACCCTTTCAGAGTTCCACGTGGAAGCTAAAAAAAATTAATTTCTATTTGATTAATAAAATTCTGGCTTTTGAATATAAATTCCACGCCTTTGTCGATTACAGTGAAATTTAATGAAAAATTGTATGGGTTCACAAAATGGAATTTAATAAAACAAATTCACATTCAATCGGGCAAACAGCCCGCAAACTTTCCGGCAAACAGCATAATATACATACCGGTAAAAAAGCTGAAGAGAGTATTTTTGTTTTTTTTTTAGCACTATTTAATAACCAACTATTTGTCAGGGGTTGGTCGTTATATTATATTGATTGATTTGAGTTAGTCGAAGCTGAGCTTTAACAAAAGTACAACATAAGGACAATAACCGTGCATTGTTTTGAGTTAAAAATTAATAAAAGATATTTTTTTTTTAGCCTACGGCTGATATAATGTTATTCATTGTCTTTATAATATATATGAAAAACATTCAATTGTACTTATTTCATGTGTTTTTTTTTTTGGTAGTTATCGGTTTTTGAATTGGTAAATATATATTTACCATTTCGTTGTTTGTACAGACAGCCTTTTTATTGGCCGTTGTTTTTCACTTTTATTTTTTTCGAAACTCAGAATTATCGATTTTATCTCAGCGTGTGCCTTGGATTTAACGCATTTGACTTATGTTGGCCGTAAATCTGTTGATATCTTTATTTATTTATTTATTTTTTGTAACTGTATTATACACGCTTTTGCACTTTATTGTCTGACAAATAAAATACTAATTTTTCAATACCGGTACCGGGTACGTTTACAAAGCACTCACTCAATGTACAAGAAACGTCACGGTCCGCTGTATTTGAATAAGACACTTTCGAGTAGTTCGAGAACGTACCCACCTACTTAAAAAGTTCATTCCACCAAACAGTCATCGAATCTTTTTTACCGGATATTCTCGCCAATGGCAGTACTATAAACCATTTCATTTGTTGCCATAACACGTCTGTACAGTGGCTATATAGTTGCTATTTTATAATAATTATACATGTCAAATTGTTAGCTACAATAATAATATGTATTGACTTCTTTAAGGACGCTACGACTGAGAAGGGAACTTTTGACAGTAACACGCCGTACCCGTGGGGTTAAACGATTTTTTATCTTTAATCAGCCGCCAATGAATGAAACAAAAAAAAATGTTTGTTTTTTCGTCTAATAGCTTATAGATTTTAGATGTTGTACGTAATATACTAATGTCAACGAGCACAATAATGTATTCAGTCACGAACACGCTAATACTAATATTACAGTCGATAAATCCCGTTCAGTACAATAACACTACATAACAGCTGGTATTATTGTAATGAACGGGATTCGATAATACGTTTGCTGTCGATTGTGTAATTTAAACGGAGAGGAGGGTTTCAATGGAATTTTCAAATGACCCAGACAATGGGAAAATCGATCGAGCCCGTGGGCAAGGACTCGGCGGGTAGGTCATCCCCTATTGACAATAGCACACGCGATAGGAAAGGATAGAAAGTCCTATTGACGATCAACAGGTCGACGTCGGCTAAAGCAAAAAACACTTAGTTCCCTGTAAGAGCACTTTTAAAACGTGCGAATACTTTTAAGAACAACCAGGTTTAAATTTTACTAAACTCCACAAAAGCTCTCTATCGGGATTCGCTTCTGTCGCTATTGCTTTATGCTGGGAAATAATTTTTACTGCCCCGGATCGGCTGGTCGTTATCTTAAAGTCGTGCGCATCTACAAATCTTAAAACAGACCGCGTCAACCGCTTCACGACTCGATGGGTTAAAATATTATAAAAGTAATCTGCAACCCAAAACTGTAGTAGGCATAATAGCCATTTTTTTCCGACATGAAAACCGTTGGAAATTTTAGAAAATTGGCTTTACAACATTTTTGGACATCTCCAGATTCCTGTAGTCTTTTTTTTTTTGAAAGTCGACGGGTAACTCAATAAAGGTATTGATGGACATTCACCGTAAGTCTAACTGTTGGCATTCGAACGGCGCCGACTTCGAGTTTTACCCTGTACAAAGGCTCTCTGGATTTAGGCTAGGCTTCGCGGTCGGGCGCGCGGTCTCAGGTGTGTGTTTTACACGTGATCGATTGCGCGTAACGAGCCGCCAGCGCGTGGATCGAACGACCGCTGTCGTCCTTTGTTCTTTCCGGCGTAACGGCCGGAGGACGGATGGGTCGGATGGGAAGAGGCGCGGCAAGCGAGAGTCCCGCGCAAAGGGACGGACGGCCGCCGCCGCCGCCGTCAGGAGGATGCTGGGTCGCAATCAATCCCGGCCAAGGTCGTATCGGCCACCGCGCCAGCACAGACGCCCAGGCGTCGCCTTGACGACAAGGGTGCCCCGCAAACGCCAGCGTCCGAGCGCCAGACGCTCGTAGTACTACGACGCCGCTTATCATCGGCACACACGCGCGATACTATTAACAGTCGTCTGCTCACTCGCTCAATCTCTCGATCACCATTCTGCACCGTCGGCCTACGCACACGTTTAGATCGCTCGTTCGAGGTAACAAAAAAAAAAAAAAAAATACAAAAAAAAAATGTCCATAGAATGAAAATTATTTGTTTCAAAAAAAAAAAAATATATATATATATATTTTTTTTTTTTTTTGATAGTTTTTTTCCGACTACTTATGCAACATAATATAATATCTATAATTGTTAAAAAGTTTTGTTTGTTTTCTTATTAGTTACTCGCATGCGTGTGATTTTGTTTTGCAAGTCTCGACGCTTGGCTGTGAGAAGGTATTGTTTTCGCATATTGATGTGGTTTTCTTTTTTTTTTTTAACGGTGTCTTGATCAACTGATCTTGAACTGATTTCTTCAAATAGATCGGAAATCGTATACTCGAAAGGTACTCACTCTTTAGAAAGACCGACAAAATTTGATAAAGGTCACACCAAATAAATATTTGTTTTTTTTAATTAAATTATATACTTCGTAACAACAAGGTGGCATGATCGAATAACGTCTCGTGTACACTTATTGATAAATACTAACATGATAAATGTTTTTTAGGCTAAAGGGTCAAAAACATTTTTTGCGTCACGCTTTATTCGTTTACTCGATTTTTTTTCACTCATTTACTCAATTTATTAACATATTTACTAGATTTGTTTACTCGATTTATATTTAACAAAGCCTAAAAACATCATTTTGCTTTTACATTTCTAGCTTTAACTGAAAATCACACAAATCGTTTTCTTTTTTTCTTCGAGCCACAATTACTTACACGCGATTCAACTAACTTATAAAAATTAACAAGTATTTTTCCAATTAAAGTCAAACTTAGAAACTCTACCGGCCAGCGTGTGGCTCTAGCAGGTCGAGGCAAGGTGAGTTCACATTACTCTTCTCAAATTTGACCAAACGTCTTGCGTTTACTGTGCGGTTATCACTGATGTGAACAAATCTCAGAAGTAAAACATACACACATAGGTCATATTATGATACAGGTACACTATACTCAAAAGGCCAACAATGTCCGGATTTAAATAGGGTACTCGCACTACTAGGCGTACTAAGTAAGGCCGGTCGCAGCAAGTGACAGTATATTGTAGAAAATCAAAAATATAATTGCACATACACGGCCGTGTGTGCAAACGTCCGTTAAGACTGTTTAATGGCGTTCAATTGCCACCGTTATTGTATTATAATAAAAGGGGGCCCTTGTGTTGTTGGTAAGAGACGCGGTTAAGTGCGTGAGAGGTATTTTGTTAAACGGGACAAAGGCAGGCCGTCGTCAGCAGTGTTGGGAATTATCTAGATAATTTTATCTAGATAAATTATCTAGATAAAAAATTTTAACTAACATATTATCTAGATAAAAAAAAGTAAATCATCTTATTATCTTATTTAGATAAACAAATCGGTTATCTAAGGTAATTAATCTAGATAGAAATTGTAACTATTTTTTAAGTTATTTATTCGTGGGTTTTACAAAAACAGGTTTCGGGATCCGACGAAACGCATAATGTAGTCCTAGCTTAAAAATATTAATATACCTAGGTCCTAATGAATAGTGATTAGTGATATAAGAATATATTATTAATACATTGGGGTTGGCTTGTTAGACAAGTCCAATATTTTATGTAATCCAATGTATTTAGTCGATTATACAAAACGTTTTTTACCTATTTTTAATAAGTCGAAGTAGATAAGAGTTATATATGTATTATCGTATAATTTATTATTTATATTCGTAGTTCTCGACTACAGTGCTCAGTTTTTGTTTAATGTTGATCATTTTTTTCCCAGTACTCCCGAAATAATTACTAGAGCTATATAAAACGTGTTTATAAGAATTTTTACGATAATAATTTCAAGATTAACATTGACCAAAATCCCAACAAAAAAAATGGTCGAAAGTGCAGGTGTTTATTTGAGCAGAATGGTTATAAATTATATTTTACAAATATATATACATGTCAGCCGAGTCCTGTATCAGTAACTACATATAGGGTAAAGATACTATAAAAGTAAAATAGTAAATAGTAATACAAGTCCAATAAACAATGAGCTGTTTCCAAAAAGTTATTTGTATTTTCAATCAAAATAAAAAAACAAAACCTTGTAATAAACATTTTAAACATAATGTGGGCTCTCCGTAGTCCGTAGACCGTATGTGGCCAAAACGATAGTTAAGCCTCAAAAAAGAACAATATGCTTATAAATAGTTTCAACCGATAATGAAATGTCCCGTCACCGATTATCGAGTTTGATAAACTCGTATTTACTTTTTATACCTATTTATACTATTACTGTTGCCTACATAAAAGATGACATAGAGTACATGAAAATAATAAATGACAAATGAACAGAGTAGCCATAAATCACTAAATCGAATATAAGGAAAATTTGCTCTTTGACGTAACTGTCCATTTCTTAGTACCTACATCTTATCGGTTATTAAATTATTCTGTAATCTGTGAAAATACTTTGTTTCACTCATACATTTTCGTATAACATTTTATGAAGGTTAAAATTTAATTTATCTATTTTTCATCTAGATAAAATTGTATTTAAATTTATCTTTTAGCTAAATAAATGTTAAATGAATAATTTAATATCTTATCCAGATGATATACTACTCAATTATCCGTTATCTTATCTAGATAACTTTATAGTTATCTTTTCCCAACACTGGTGAGAGGTATTTTGTTAAACGGGACAAAGGCAGGCCGTCGTCAGGGTAAACTTAACACCGGGGCCAAACGCCAAACAGTGCTTCAATTATTATCATTATTTGGCCGACGTGGCGTGACTAACAGCTTGATTCGTCTTGGTGGGGCCGGTCGTAAGAAAAACTGCTAATTATTGACAAAAAAAAAAATATTTGAAAAACGCCTCTAAGTGACTATTGTGTATAGCCGCACTGTCTAAAGCGCGGTGTATCGTCGTCGCCAAGGATAATATGTGGTAATTATAATAGTATTATACATATATATATATATATATATATTGTTTCAATCGAATAGCTACACTTAACGCCCCTTAGGGTTTGCGCTTAAATGGGTCTATATTAAACTGAAATCCGAATTAGACAGCTAGTCGAACGGTCTGAACATAATTTAACGGTGTATTAAAACGTCCTAAATGAGAAAAAAATACTATGTATATATTCGGTTTTACGACCACCGACCCAAAGTTGAAAATACATTACATTATGTTTATTTTGATAGCCATCACCATAGTGATTTAAGCCATTTGCCGTTGTTCGTTATTTTTGACCCCTTTATTTTATTTCAACCGAGAACACCCTTATGGACATATCCGTTAAGCTTCGATTCAGCACTTAAGTCATATTCAAGTGAAAATATGTTAAAAAAAAATTAAGTTAAATGAATAAAAAAAAATCAATCAAACCATTAAACGACCAACTTTGAACTTTGGTTTTTGGTGGCATAGTAAAAGTTTTTCGTTTAAGGCATCCCACACAAGTTGTATTCGGTTTAACCGTAAGACAGTGTTTTTTTTTTTTTTTAAGGCGTAAATATTTTAAATCAGTACAATGCGTACCTGATTAAATAATAGAACAGACGTTTTGTGCCAAACATTTTCGGTGCTTGTGCTAACATTCATATTTTCTAACCTCCTACAATAGTATGATCTGAATTGTAATTATATTTCTTAAAACTATAGTCTTTCCGTTAGTCCAATGTAGTTTTTTTTTTGGGGGGGGGGCTGAGAGAGATTAAGTTGACTGTCTCGGCTGTGTGTGAAATACTTGCAAATGTTTTTGACGTGTACCCATTTGTTGCTTTGCTGTACTTTGAAATAAAATATAAGTCATATATATTTTTCGAAATAATTGGACGCTTTGTATTGCACTTTATATTTATTATTAAAGAAAAATAAAACTGTACCGGTATTATGTTTGTACACTTATGCTTGCAACCTAGATGGGCCCCTTCTGTTGAATAAATAATAATTCAACATAAAGTTTGTTTCATTTGTTCAAACTCTATTCGTATAATTTCAGTTTAACCTACAATCGTTTAATATAGTAAAAAAAAGAATATACAAATTCGTGTGAAGTAATTGTTTTGTTTTTTGTTTAAGCAACTTTAGCTCATCGTTTAACAAATAGGTACAATTTTTTTTTTGTTCTAAGGTGATATTGTTTTAATGTATTTAATATATAACACTTTTTTGGAAAATTTCTAATTACCAGCTTAAACTTTGCTCCTCTTAAAAATTTTCCATTTTTTAGTATTCATAAATCATTTTGAACGTTTTATAACATTTTTACATATATTTTATGATAATTCATTTATCGGATGTCTCACTATTATTAGGTATCATTCCAATTCCAAATAAAAAAACAAAATGTTAACGATAGTGCCTAAACAGCGGCATTTTCCACAATTGTTAAATAAACGCTATTGAATAATGTCGATTCGACTAGTAAAACAGATTTGACCTCGTTTAGATAGAATTCAGCTGTAAATTATAAAAATATCTCCATTTATACCGTCAGTTGCAAAATTACTATGGGAGTTATTTTTATTTTCATACTTTAAAAATTAGCAATGAAATCAATACCAAATAAGAATGGAACCGTATACAAAATTGTTTTAAATCAAATAATGTCTATTAAAAAATGTTGCGTTTTACTTGCAGGTCCATGAAAAAAAGAAACCAAGTGTTTATTGGACTCGACAGCCAATATTCTAATAATATACATTTTTAACGATTTTCTGATTTACATAATTGTATAAACTATAAACTGTTACAAAGAAAAAAAAACCAACTGTCCTGTAAATCCTGTTCCTAATCTTGTTGGGTACATTTAAGTATTCTTCTGTTAACACAACGAGTCTAAAAATGACATCCACGACGTTTAAACTGTCAAAACACAGTTATTAGTTTATATTAAAAAAAAGTTTAAAAAACCATATCGAATAGAATCGGTTATGAGCAATTTCGATTCGTTTTTGGCAAACACTCGTACAAATGACTTAACACTTTGACTTTTCCGTTGGTACTAAACTTAATATTGTACCTACTGCTATTTTATTTCTAGGAAGAACTAGACACGATGAGTGCAGCTGACCAAATGAAACAGGCTTACAGCATAGTGTCAATCGCCGAAAAAGATAAACCCATTGTGGCGGAATTTTTGAGAAAATTCTTCTTCCGAGACGAACCGCTGAATGTAGCTATTAAGTTGTTGGATGAGACCGAATCGACCAACAAATTGGAAAAATATTGTATCGATTATTTACATCACGGTAAATATATATATATATATATATGTACAGGGTGAAAGTTATGTAATAGGTGATTAGACATCTAGGGGACCCCCAAATAAGCCCCCCATTTTCATTTTTTCGATAAGTAAAAAATTGAAGGTTTCGACAGTTAAGTAAAAAAATAATGACTTACAAAACAAAAATTATTCCCTGTTATTCAGTGCAAAAAGCTCACCTTAAAAGAGGGGTCAAATCATTTTCAGTCCCTTTCGGCCCCTAACTTAAAAAATGATAAGAGAAAAATGATTAGAGACCATAAATAAATAATAAGTGATAAAAAATAAATGCTAAGACAGAATTGATAAAAGATAAAAAAAAGATATAATTGTTAAGAAATAAATTATGAGAGATTAGAGATATATGATAAGATATTAGTGATAAGAGATAAATGATTACACACTATAGGTAAGAAATAAATGATAAGAGAAGAGTTAGGGGCTGAAAAAGACTGAAATTGATGTGGCCCCTCTTTTAAGGTTAGATTTTTGCACTGAATAACATGGAATCATTTTTTTGTTTTTTTTTGTCATTATTTTTTTACTTATTGAAAAAATGAAAACGGGGGGCTTATTTGGGGGTCCCCTAGATGTCCAATCACCTATTACTTACCTTTCATGCTGGAACACCCTGTATATAATAAATTGTATGCGGTTTAATCACAAGTAATTGACTGTATTAATTCAACGTGTGTGTGTGTGTGTGTGTGTTTTAGGGTTTTCTTTTAAAGCAGTGTCTGCCGCAGGAGATCTGATAGGTGTTATCCTGAACAATGTGATGGAAAGAGAAGAAAACGAACAGAACGGCCAAGACGAAGAGGAGTCGTCGCCGAACTGTAAAAAGTTCAAAGACATTATCGTTTTGTTGGATAAAATCAAAAGAGAGGCGGACGTCTTTAAGCTCTACCCGCACGTGAAACGTATACTGGAAATAAAAATTGTCACTGTCAACGATGCGAACAGAGGTCAAGGCGTGTGCAAAGCTCTTATCGACAAAACCAAGTATGTCAATCAAAAGTGACCCACAAATAAAATACTCATTTTACCAATTAGTTGAATTAATATTTATAACAAACAAGTATTCGTCCAAGAACAAATGCTTTGCCTTCGGTAGACCGCAGTTAAATACTTACAAATAATGTCATGCCTACATGTTTTTGTGCAATAGAAGTGGATGTGGAATCTTAAGAAACATGTGTATAATTAATAACCAACTATTTAAACAAGAAATTGCGTGTCGCCATTTTTGCGTTACACTATCACGTGATAAGAGATAAGAGATCTGTGATAAAAGATACGTGATAAGAGAGAAGTGGTGTGATAAGTTATAAGTGATAACATATCCTTTTCTTCTGATTTTTATACCTATTTTTGGCTATATTTTGATTTTATTTTATAGAAATTAAATTGCTTATTAATATTGCTCGTTTATTAAACAGGTCTAGTTTTATTAACCCTTTTTATTTGAAACTTAAGAGATTTATCAAGAGACGCCTAATCTAACCGAAGAAATACCAAAATAATGTAAAAATAAAAGAAAATTGTCTGACAAACGTTTTCAAATACTTTCCTATCCAAGTTCTCTCGATCAAAAATTATTTTTAACAACTCCAAATTTACCTTTTCACGTATAAATGCCTACACTATCCAACTTAAAATAATCCAGCCTACCCGGCTTGGTGGAATTAAGCCACTGGGCTGACAGGTTTTAGCTGTAATTTATGATGACTTATTTTTTTGACACGCATAATGATATTATATACTTGATAAATGTGAAATTAATAACAATACCATTGCAGAGAACTGGCAAAAGAATTGGACTGTCAAATGATTTACGTGGAGTGCACAAGCCATTATTCTGCTAAGGCCGTTACAAGGCTTGGGTTTAAGTCCATTCATTCGCTGGAATACCAAAAACATTTGAATGGCCAGGGTGAAGTTGTGTTCGAAACTAACCTCCCTCACGACCGTGCCGAAGTATTTGTATTACCTATTCTATAAATTCTCATTTATCGTTACCTTATTTGTTACCCGTCGTTTTTTTTTTTTTTTTAAATATCTTAATATAATATTATATAAAATATTTATACATAAAAAAAATATATACTATAACATTTTATATGTAATTGTGAACTGACGATACCGAATCATATTATGCTAGATAAAAATCAAAGTACCTACTATAAGTTTATATATTTTTCTTAATTTTAAAATTTTTAATTGTTGACCACCGATGGAATTTATTTGTTGATTATTTAACTGTTGTTGATTTAATTTTAACATTATACTGAAAACAAATGATATATAATACATATATTATGTATACTATCTTAAATGTGTTCACCTACATTGTTTTGTACACAAAATAAATCAATCTGGAAAAAAAACTATATCAAACTGTTACGAAAACAGAATTGTATTAAATAATATAACTATATTAATATGTGTAATTATTTAATACATGAAGTTCCTAGATATCCAGTCTAGAGTAATCCTTGAGCACAATTGATCAAATTGTTTACAAATGTTGATAAAGTTATTGAAAAATATGCTAAATTTAACTCGAGAACATATTTACACTTGATGGGATTAATTTTTAACTTAACAATTAAGTCGATAATTAAAATGATTTAATGTATAGTAGTTGTAAAAACAAATAGTATTGTAGTAAAATAAAACTATTAAGAGTGCGTCAAGACATTATAGATATAAGGCATTTTTTTAGATATTCCAATTGAAAAATACAATACAAGTATAAATTTGTTGGTCACAGGTAAATAAGGTTTTTGTTTAATTGTTCGCATGACTTAAGCCAATTGGACCAAAAAATACAGCAAATACAAACTATCATAATCTGTAAAAAAAAAAGCTAAAATCGACTTAAGACCTTTTTACCTGGAACCAAAGAATGACTTCGGTTACTAAATTTACAAGACAATTACAAAATGTAATATTAGTTTTGACATAAATATGTCAACTCTAGGTTAATATCTTAGGTGATATCTATGAATATCTTAATTCTAATGGATTATGTGAATATTTTATAGATATTAGAATTAAGAGATAAGAGATAATAGATAGCAGATAGGTATAAGATATAAGAGTTTAGAGATATAAGATAAGAGATAGGAGATTAAAAGTAAGAGATTAGAGATAAGATATCCAGATGGGAGGGAGGATAGGAGTAGTCTAGAGATAAATGGGAGGGTAGGAAAAACATCCCCTCTCCTGATCCCTTATCGGTTGACCTCCCCCCCTATCCGTCCAAACGTGCTTGAAAGTTGAGTTTCAAATTGAATTAATACCTTTGCTAAAAAGTTTTTTCGACACGAATGTGTCTTATTTTCGACTTCCAGCCTCCAAGTATCAGTAAGACATATTCATTATCCAATGCGTATGCATCAAGGAAATAACTAATTTTTATTGTAACAGATATTTTGCTTATACTTTTGGCCATGTAGTCGTTTTAATAAAAACTAAATTTGATGTATAGATTATCACACGAAGAAAATATCCCGTAAAAACGCCACAGCAATATAAACTTTCTGTTGGGAATTTCAAACGTCTACGTTTAGTGTGTGTGGTATATTCTAGTGTGTTCCATAACCACAACAGTTGGTCACGTGTAAATGTATAAAACGAACAGTTTAATGCAATAATTATTATTCAGACTAAACCTAGTTTATTAATAATAAAATATGCGACTCGTAAACGATTGATGGACAAAATACATAATATGAATTTATGAGCAAGGTCGTTTTCGCATGACGATAACAGCTATATGATATACCGATTTGTCGCTATGGCAACGTCAAAATCTACCGAAACTAAGATGACCGAGATATTTCTCCGCATTAGTAGAGCCAAGATCGACAGATCGCATAATACTCTTTTGTTGGAAAAATTAAAAATTATCGGCCAACCGTTTGACTGCAAAGTTAAGGTAAATACTAAAAGTCATTATATATTTACTATTTACGCATGAGTTAAAAAAACAATAGTTTTGTCTAGCCAACGTTTAAAAATTTAAATAAAAATAACAAACTCTTATTGTATACAATACATAATTAATGTATCTATTTGTTGTTTAATCGTTACTCAAAACTGGTTCAAACCGTATAGCATATCAGTATTGTCACATTACTAACTATGATAATTATAATACAAATATACCGTTCATATTAGGTGAAAAAAAAATAATTAAGCTGGATCTTTCGGTGAAATAAATACTTACAAATAATTCGATAATGTCTATATATTAATTATTTTCTAATTTATATAATACTACTTTTGAACCGAAGAACTATGTCTATAATATATATTATAATATTAATAATCGGTATGAAATCCGTTAAGTCAAAGAGGGGTGTCGGTAAAAGGCGTAGTCATATACTCATTTGTCCAATCTGCAGAAAGTATAATAGGATGTGATGTGTAATAAGTTGAAATTTGTTCTGTATACTTTCATTGTGTTTAATATTATGTATATAGTTTAAATTAAAGTAAATTAAACTTATAAAATATATTTCCAAAAAATTTTTTTTAAAAACGCCTACATCAGAGAAATATCGAAAATTTGTCAAAAAATTAGTGTTGAGAATATACAAATAATAAAAATATACTGATGAAGTTAATTTAAAGTAGAGTCACTTGTGGTTTTATTGTACAATTATGAAGTTTTGTTTTAACTTTCAATACCTACGTTTATATGCTTCTGGCGCAATTAGAAAAAAATCTCATATCTATGTATAATTTATTATAACTTTATATTTTACAAAAAAATTATACTTTATATTTTATTGGCCTATTATAAATTATAGTGATAATTCAATTTTTTGGAGGTTTCCTAAAGTATCTAGTTTTTGTTAACTATGCAGTACACGTGTCCCAAAAGTCTTGTAGTATGCTATGTATTTAAAACTTGGTTAAAAAAATTATGTTAGCTGAAAAATAATTAAACAGGAAAAAGTTTCCACACAAAGCACAACAGGTAAACAGTTGGATATTTAAGTTTCTACACAAATATATGATACGTTATTCCCAATAACAAAAATTCAATAAAAAAAATTAAAATAAAAAAATAACAATTTAACGTTTTATTTGGGAGTTACTGACATACCTAATTATTTGTATACAAATTTCAATACAAAGATTAGGAAAAATTAGGCATTCAAACCGAATTGTTTTGGTAATAGTACAATAATATTACAAAAAAACCGACACAACCAAATTTTTCCTAATCCCTAATTGAAAACCTTCCAAAAAAACAAAGTTATAATGTATAAGGTGTTTTGTTTTAGGACTCGAATACAATGAGTAATATCGCCGAAGGCCCGTTTAGTATTGAAGCTATCACCAGCGAAGACCGGCAAGCGGTAATCGATTTTTTAAGACAATTTTTTTACCGCGATGAACCACTGATTATTGCACTTGACATGACGGTTGATGTCAAAGCAATGGCCAAATTGGAAGCTTACTGTAATTCGCTATTGGACAATGGTAATCGTCACTTCAGTAACTCGCATTTAATTCTGTACACTATATTTATGCATGTATAAACTCAGTTGATAAAAAACACTATTGCACATAAAACAAACTACCTCAGCCGTCCCTGTTTTCCACCAGAAAAAAAAAACAACACCTTAAACCGATTACATACAGAATCTGCTTACAACTTAAACGGTTTTTTCATACAGGACTAGCGTGCAAAGCTGTATCTGCAGACGGACGTTTAATTGGCGTTATCTTGAACGGTGTTAAATGTAAGTTGGACAAGCACGAAGACGATACCGAGGACGACACTAAGTTTCAGCATATTACTAAATTTCTCAACAAAGTCGACAAAGAAGCGAATTTCTTTTGTCAGTATCCAAACGTTTGCCGAGCACTCACTATCGATATTGTTGCAGTGGACCACAAGTACAGGGGAAAAGGAGTATGCAAATCACTAATGGACAAGGCTAGGTAATAACACTATATAAATCGTTTATGTAAAAAGTGTACATTTGCACGTTAACTGTATTCATCAAAACGCCATCTTTTTCGATATACTTGCATTTATTTTTCAGAGAGTTGGCATTAAAAAACCGATGTTCAATGATTTATGTGGAGTGCAGCAGTTATTTTTCCGCCAAAGCAGCGGAAAAACTAGGATTCCAATGTATTTACACGTTGTCCTACAAAGACTACTTAAACGACCAAGGACAACCAATTTTCAACCCTCCGCCGCCGCATACACAGTCTAAGGTGTATGTCCTACCATTAGACAACAACTGAACGCTTCTTCGGTTCTTCGTGAAAAATCATACAGCTAATCAGCTTACTATAGTTAAATTAAGCTTACAGTGGGAGTTGATATCGTCAATGAATTATTTGATAAGTTGTTTACAACATGTTTTGGCCAACACGTTACGTTATTCATATGTATTTCACGGTATGATAAAGTGTTTTTTTTTTTTATGGTATAGTTAAGTATAGCTTTTTTTCATTTTTAACCCTTATTTGTTCTTCAGTTTTAGTTCTCAACCTTTGTCGTTACTACTTTTCCCCACAATATCTGTTTGTGGCCAATTCATTTTACACCTCTATAATGTCCACATTCTTGTACACTAATCTCTTTAATTCATAGAACGAATGGAGCTTAACAACTTGTTCAATAAAATATATCTGTCATTTCACTTTTACACATCGCAAATTATTCTATTCTGCTATGCTTCCCACACTTACACGGTAAACTCATCTGGTGTTACCTCTTTTTTACATTCCACCTTTTTGTACTACCTCTCCCTAATTGCATTTACTGACTAAATAATTTCCTGTTTCAACTCACTTAGACTATAACATGTTTATGTCTTGCTAGCAAATACTGATTTCTGTTTTTCAACAAACCTCGCACATTCGTCAAGTGTTTGGTTTTATTTTCTCTGTTACTCTGTTTGTTTTACAGTTACCTTCGCTTTTTTGCATTACTGTAGGATATTAAATTATTATACGCTATATGTTTAGATATTATTAATATTATTATTATACATATATACATACTGTTACTGCCATATGTTATAATATTATTATCGTATTGTCATAATAATTGCTGTAATAATACAATAAATATATTATCAATAGAAAAATCATAATGAAAGTATTATTGCCTTATTTTTTAGTAGTGTCATTCGTGTATTGCTTGGCGCAATCTATTGGTATAAAACGTTTTATGAATTGTTGTAATGTTCGTTTTTAGAGTGCGCTTCGTGCAAACAGAGAGATACGTTTGGGTAATGTATTTTAAAAACTCCTTCGAAACAGACCGTATGCAATCTCCTCAACAGAACCCGGGCCGAGAAAAAGTAATTAAACACGGTAAGTGGGTACGTCACCGGTCGGTTCGAGCAAAACGTGCCCATCAGGCATTATTATTATCGTTATGAAACAAGTGGTTCGGTGTTATAAATTACAATCGTTAATAATTATTGCAACACAGTGCGCGGTCGGTCGGACCGACTTTAGCGTTCGTCAGATGTTATTGTGTACACTAATATGTTAATCGCACTTGAATGGGTGGGAATACAATTTCTATATTATCGAGTACACGGCAACAAAAACATATTAATTTTTTTTTAGTACTGTTTGACTTTTACCCGAACAGTTGTATGCGATACGCGTCGAACAAAGAACGGGTTTTTACACAGTTTACACAGTTTTTTACCACCCAATTCTCTCTACTGCTGCTGCTGCTGCTGCTGCTTCGACTGGTCTCGCTACAGCCCGTCTCCAAACGATACACACGCTGTATGGTAAAAATTTTACATCTGAGTTTCAGTCAGTATAACATAATATTATCAATAAAAAAAAAAATAATTGTGTACTAATTAAAAAAGTCTACATGGTTTTGTTCTCAAACCGCCCCACCTGCCTGACATAATAATCTTTAAAATAACATGTTTATCTCACAGAAGATTATTGCCATAACCGACACCAATAAATCAATATTATTATAATTCTCATCAACATCGCCATTGCTACTAATATATATTATTATTATTTACAAAATTAACAACATTGTCGAAAAATGTTGTTCATTTTGTAAATAATACATTTTACTCTGTATTTCACTCGTTAGTGTGACTAGTTTTCTGTTTTTTTTTTTTTTTTAATGTATAATCGGTTTACCGTTAACATATTATGTATTATGAGATTGGATTGACTTTCTGTATGACGATGACGGGTTAGTTGGTCTTTTAATTTTTAGATTTGGTCTCGCCGAATCAAGGCCTTTCGGTTAGGTTAGGTTAGGTCAGACTTGCAGTCTGTGGACCCACGCCACGAAAAATACATTTGGAAGATTTTTAATTTAAAATAGATTTCTGTCATCTGTTTAATTTAAAAAAAAAATGTTTTGTACCATTCAAAACTAGATTTACTACTCGTTATATTCGGGTAACTATTTTTTTTTTTCAAAATGTTTGCTAAACAAGCGTTATTTTTGCGCCACCTGTAATTATCTTTTATCTTGTTTGCGATTAAACGACACGGCAGATGCCAAAATAAAAAATACATCAGTTGTCATCCAAACGGGTTTGGCGTGGTAATTTTTTTTCAATATTATAATATAAGTTACAATTTGTTAATACACTAATCGTTATTTGTTTCCCACTCGAATCTTCTAGTTTTAATAAGTAGTTTCTTGAATTTATAACACTAGTATATGTGTGTTAAATTCCTTTTTTTTTATCTTGCATTTGTAATATTAAATTTAATTAATATTTAATATATAAATTGTTTTAGACCATAAAAAAAGGTTAAAAATAAAAAAAATCTTGCATTTTCATAATATTTATGTTTACTTCAAATTACAATATGTTTTATTTAAAATTAAAAACTGATTTTTGAAAATTTAGGAATATAATATGGACAATGTTGATGAATACATTAAAGTTTTTCAGTTCTTTACTTTTTTATCACATCAATCAATTATCTTTTAAATCATATATAGTGAAATTGTCCATAGTTCAATAATAAACATAAAACATTTTTTTTTTTAGGTTCTTATTTGGGTAATTTTTTTGCATTTTTGGCTCAATAGAGTAACTTTTAGTTACGATTTCTGATCTATAGAGTTGCTACAAGAAAAAAATCTGTCTTGTAGTTCAAAATATACAATGGTTCTAGACGCCAAATAATTAAAATAAAGAGTCCTTAATTATAAAAACAATATCTTCTCAACTCCGCGTCCTAGCTAAAAGAAACTGTATAATAAGGTGCACATTGTCTCAAGTGTGTAGACACGTCAGTCATTGATATTAGTCGTAACTGTAATGACATAAAATATATTATTTTGTTTTAGGATTTAACAACAATCAAATAAAATGAGCAATAGCGGCAATGATTGGTTTAGCATAGAAGCTATCACCAGCGAAGACCGGCAAGCGGTAATAGAATTTTTAAAGAAATTTTTTTACCGCGATGAACCACTGAATAATGCACTCGGATTGATGGATGATGCTAAAGCAATAGTCAAATTGGAAGCTTACTGTAATTCGCTATTGGACAGTGGTAAAAATTACTTCAATAACTCACATTTAATGTTATACACATTATTTATGCATGGAAATTGTCTTTCTTTTTTTAATCATCCATAAAAATACACTATTGCACATAAAACAAACTACCTCAACCGTCACTTTGTTCTTTTGAATTTTAAACTTATCTATCGCATCAGCGTTTACACTAAATTTTAAACCCTGTTTAACTTTAAAAAAAAAATACAGATTTACAGATAAATCAGTATGTTAAATCGTTTAAACTGGTATTTAGAAGATAATAATATTTACAGGTCATTATATGGGGCCACAAATACAAATATTGAAAATACTCATACATTTTAAAATTGACGTTTTCCAACAGTATACATTTGCCAGTACAAAATCTACTTATAACTTGAATCGTTGTTAAATACAGGACTAGCTTGCAAAGCTGTATCTAAAGACGGCCATTTGATTGGCGTTATCTTAAACGGAGTTAAATGTAAATTCGACAAGCACGAAGACGACACCGAAGACGACACGAAGTTTAAACTTATTATGACGTTTCTCAAAAAAGTCGACAATGAAGCGAATGTCTTTGGTCAGTATCCAAACGTGTGCAGAATACTTTATATCGATACTGTTTCAGTGGACGACAAGTACAGAGGCAAAGGAGTGTGCAAAGCACTAATTGACAAGACTAGGTAATAATACTACCCAGTGCAAAATAATATAGTAAAACAGTAATTCTAAACTAAGTATTTTACAACTTTTTAATCTCTAAATTACAGATGCTTGCATTTATTTTTCAGAGAGTTGGCATTCAAAAACCGATGTTCCATGGTTTATATAGAGTGTAGCAATTATTTTTCCGCCAAAGCAGCGGAAAAACTAGGATTCCAATGTATTTACACATTGTCCTACAAAGACTACTTAAACGACCAAGGACAACCAATTTTCAACCCTCCGCCGCCGCATACACACTCTAGGGTGTATGTCTTACCATTAGACAACGACTAAAAGCTTTAGTTTATTCTTGAGTATTCACTTTACAATACCTTAATCAGCTTAGTCGGTAAATTAAGTTCATAATACTACTCGTTAATTATTATTTTGTTAAAGGCATATTAGTCAAACCACCTCAACCAATCGCCTCACATTTTACTGCCTATGTTTTCCTGAACTACTTCTTATAATGTGCTGATTTCATTTCCAAATGCTATCTGACTTAGACTCCTCACTCATCCATCTACACGTTTTTTGTTTTAGCTACTTCTGTTTTTCTGACACTCAAAGTGCACGTTAAGTATTTATTTGACACTTTGTTCTACTCAACATATCTTCATACGAGCTGCTTTTTTAAATCTTTTAACTCCTCATTACTAATTTTTAAGTACTGTGTTTTAGACTTATCTACTTATTTTCAGACTATTTTCCTTCGATTTTTCCTTTAATTGCTCAAATTTAACTAATACAATTTCTGTGCTTTCATTTGCCAAAACTCTTGCCAGGAATTCTTCTATCCCATTACACACTCATATAACACGCTCTATTCTTTCTCTAAACCGGCTTGAATGTTGACCTTTCAGCTTTCTGAATATAAACCCTTATTGATTCTTTCTTGTTGGTTTTATACTTTTATCTACCTCACATTAGTAAAGTTCCTGAATTTATATTCTCTCGGAGCAAATCTCTACGCCACCTTTCCCCTCCCCCTTCTTTTGTTCCTAGTCTTCTATTCAGATCTACCTTTACTATCTTGTATTGCTGTATTAAATTACATTTATTATTTTTTTGTTTGGGGGGGTAATAGATATTCTTTGTTCTGTGTCATCAATATTTATTTATATATATATATATATATATATATATATATATATATAGTATTATTAGTTATATATTTGTATTAAAATATAAATTTGTAAGCGTTTGTTTTATTTTTAAATGTCATTTATTTATTACCTGGTGCAGTCTAGTGGTACTTGGTCCTAAAAAAACCAGAGCCATCAGATAACTGATAAACACTGTAGATATAGTTTTATAGAAATGGATATAATAGCCAATGCTTTCTTGATATTCGCAGCTGGTATCTACTGTGACTGTGAGCTTCTGTTTGTACGAATTAGCCTTAAAAAACACATTCAAGATGGTGTTCTTGGAGAAATCTTAACCGCGTAATTAAACAATAACGGTGAACATAACAATGGTTTCTCAGCAGAACTTCCATATCTCGAAATGGTTTTAGCAGGTTAGTGACATTATTCTACATCGAAATGAAATTTTCACTGAACAATTGTAATTTAAGTGTTCTACATCATAATATCATTCAACATTTTAAGTAGCCGAAAATTGAAAAACAAATTCGACATTTTATAAGTATAAAACGACCATGACCGGCGTCAGCCTTATAACTTTGTATTATTATTGTAAACGGTTTCGTATTATTAATTTTATAAAACTCGACTTCAATCAGTAATCATAAACTATGTACGTCGTTTAAGTCAAATTACTTTAATGTATGCTAGTTAACGTTGCTGTCTAGGTCAATCGTTCGTCTATTTTATTATAATGATTGTAACGCACAAATACGGAACTTGAGGAAGGGAAAAGGGTCAGTGTTTGCCAATTAGCGATGTTGCTTTATTAGAAGTCTGTCGGTTCGCGTATTACTCCAGTTGGAGGCAATTCAAAAGTAAGCAAGTTCTTACCAGTCTACTTTGTGTAAAACACTATTTATGCAACACAGCGTAAGTATTTTTTTTTTTTTTTGGAATTCTACTACTAAAAAATCATACCGCTAAAAATACAATTTTGCCAATTTTCGCAATTTTACCTTTATTTATAAAATTAATATTTGTGCGCCATTTCTTTTTACCTTTGATGTGGAGCAGCGATGCTATTTTTATCATACATTTTTAATTAGTGACGCCACTACTTCAATAATTTATCTAATCCATCTAAGTCAGTTATACGACGTTGAATTCTCTGGGAATTTTACCCCTTCCGCTTTCCATTGAGTATAGGAACTCCGAACAAGGGCATCCTGAGTGTCATTTAACATTTAACAATTTTAAAAAATTTGGTTTTCTTTACTAAACCTATTGAATTATTATTGAACAGATTAGACTATGATGACCACTCAAGTGTCAGTACAATTCAACCTCAGGCATTGATTTCCAGTAGTACAAAAGCATTTCCGATTTTAAATTAGCTAAACAAATTGTATAATAAGGTACACATTGTTTCAGGCGTTTAGCCATGTCCGTCGTTAATATTAGGCTAAACTGTACTGAAATAAAATATATTTTGTTTTACGACATATTAATAATCAAATAGAATGAGCAATACCGCGAATGATGGGTTTAGCATAGAAGCTATCACCAAAGAAGACCGGCAAGCGGTAATAGAATTTTTAGATAAGTTTTTTCACCGCGATGAACCACTGAATATTGCACTTGAATTGATGGATGATGTTAGAGCAAAAGCCAAATCGGATGCTTTCAATAATTCGGTATTGGACAATGGTAAACATTACTTCAATAACTCACATATTTTAATGTCATACATATTAATTATGCATAGGCATTTTTTTTTTTTTTTTAGTTTTGGCTCATATAAGAAAACCCATATTGCACATCAAACCAACTACCTCACTGTCCCCCTGTTCTTTTTAATTTAATTTCTACTATAGATCAACGTTTAGACTTCCATCTCACTAAATTTTAAACCCTGTTCAAGCTCATCCACCAGGAAAAATACAAACCTTAAACCGTAAACAAACATACAAATAGAAAAAATACTACCACGAAGTTGGTACTATAAACCTAATATCAGACTTAAACCATTAAATCATTATGTTAAAATAACTAATTAAACTGGTATTTAGAAGATAATAATGTTATATAAGGCATTATATGTGGCCACAAATACAAATAATGTAAATACTCACACATTTTATAATTGATGTTTTGTAAATGATGAACCGTCTATATTTGCCAGTACAAAATCTATTTATAACTTGAACCATTTTCAATTACAGGACTAGCGTGCAAAGCTGTATCTTCTGTCGGGCATTTAATTTTATTAAATTTGTAATTCGTATTTTTAATTCGAGATGACATATTTTCTAATGTGACATGGTCCGCTATCGCCACAATATCCGGCTAAGAATTGGTTGGATTTATTTTTAAAAACAATTATAATATCCTTATATTTACATGCTAAGAAACGCGCTGGTGTTAAAATATGTAGTATATAATATGTTTGTATAAAAAATATATACTTTTTTCGTAGCTTTTACAATAATTATCCTAATGAAATCCTAACCGGATGATTTCTTTATCGTTACTAAGTCATATTATACGTAAAAGTAGTTCATATTAAACAAAAAAATATGTATATAGTATATACACCAATATATGTACATTTTATTTTTTAACAATTATTTTTTATTTAAGTGGATTATATGCGGTCTGGTTTTAAGGAGTTTTGTATAAGCAATATTACAGATAAAAGAGGTTTTAATAAATGTAGACTGTGTCAATTTGTTTATCTTTTAAGTCGTGTAAGCTTCGAGGTATTATTTTTAATTTAAATAATTTTTTCTATAAGTAAGCGCCAATTTGTTTTTTTTAGACCAATTAGTGATCAATTCTGTTTCGAGGTCTTTGGTGAATATATTTATTGGTAAATTATGTTGGCATACTTAAATAGAGTTACTCATTGCAGTACTTAATTAGGCAAATACGTGACCCAGACGAATGCCTGCATATTTTATAGTTCTTGTAACTATACTAAGGGCCGGTATTTCAATATTTACTTCTGTAAAGCTTAAGTTAAGTATTAGAATTACTCAAAACTATCGTCGACAGTATAATATATTAATATGTAATGTATTCAGGTAATATGTGTTTAGATAATATACGAGTTTATCAGGTAGGACTACCGAAAATAATATCTAATTTAAACTTTGACATCATAAGGTCCATGACGTAACGTTATGATTTTCAGAAAACAAACATCCAAAACACACTCTATCTCAATTACGTTTTAGCAGACAAACAAAAATATCAAATTTTTTTATCACTATATTCTCTATTTTTTTGAGGATTGTTCTACCATTACTACTTTGTGTTACTACGGTTCAGTGTGTTTGAATATTATCTAGGTCAGTGTTTGCCGAGCGACGTTGCTTTATTAGTAGTCTGTCGGTTCACGTTACTACGGTTGGAGGCAGCGCAAAAGCGACCAAGTTCTTACCGGTGTACTTTGTGTAAAAAAACTTTTTTTGCAACACAAGGTAAGTATTTAATTTTTTTTATCGGATTTCTACTACTAAAAACAATTAACGACTAATAAGAAAAAATTATATAATAATGTAATAATATATAATTCAAATTGAAAAGGAATTGTTTTAAAATTGAACATTTAAGTGAATTATATTTTTGAATAGTACAAACACTATAGTGATCCGCTTTCTTCATATAAGCCCCTATAATCGTACTGTGATTGGCCACAATATAATTACTATGTTTAAACATAATTTATACAAATTTGGATGTTTAAAAACACACTGAATTTTTTATTCAAAAAGTAATTTTAAGTGAAAAATGAGTAAACTACTCTTTTGGAGGTTTTCTCGATTTTGAAGGGGACGAAGTAAACTTTTTATATTTTTGGGCCTATATAGTACCTTTCAGATACGATTTTTGATCTGTAGACTTCGGAAGAACTCGGTTCGGCGGTTTAAAAAATGTCTTGGGTTCAGATACCAAAAGACGTAAATTAAAAACTCATCATTGTAAAAAATAAAAAACAATACCTTCTCAGCTCCGAGTCCAAGCTAAAAAAAAAACTGTATAAAAAGGTACACATTGTCTGTTTCGACACGTCCGTCATTGATATTAGGCTAAACTGTACTGAAATAAAATATATTTTGTTTTAGGACATATTAATAATCAAATAGAATGAGCAATACCGCGAATGATGGGTTTAGCATAGAAGCTATCACCAACAAAGACCGGCAAGCGGTAATAGAATTTTTAGATAAGTATTTTCACCGCGATGAACCACTGTGTAATGCACTTGAATTGCTGGATGATATTAGAGCAAAAGCCAAATCGGATGCTATCAATAACTCGCTATTGGACAATGGTAAACAATACTTCAATAACTCACACTGAATGTTATACACATTACTTAGTTTTAGGCTCATATAAGAAAACCCATATTGCACATCAAACCAACTACCTCACTGTCCCCCTGTTCTTTTTAATTTAATTTCTACTACAGATCAACGTTTAGACTTCCATCTCACTAAATTTTAAACCCTGTTCAAGCTCATCCACCAGGAAAAATACGGACCTTAAACCGTAAACATACAAATAGAGAAAAGACTACCACGAAGTTGGTACTATGAACCTAAATATCAGACTTAAACCTTTAAATCAGTATGTTAAAATAACTAATTGAACTGGTATTTAGAAGATAATAATGTTATATAAGGCATTATATGTGGCCACAAATACAAATATTGTAAATACTCACACATTTTATAATTGATGTTTTGTAAATGATGAACCGTTTATATTTGCCAGTACAAAATCTATTTATAACATGAACCATTTTCAATAACAGGACTAGCGTGCAAAGCTGTATCTTCTGACGGACATTTAATTGGCGTTATCGCAAACAGTGTTAAATGTAAATTTGACAAGCACGGAGACGATGCTGAAGACGACACGAAGTTTCAGCATATTACTAAATTTCTCAACAAAATCGGCAAAGAAACCAATTTCTTTTATCAGTATCCAAACGTTTGCCGGGCACTCACTATCGATATTCTTTCAGTGGACGACAAGTACAGGGGCAAAGGAGTATGCAAATCACTAATGGACAAGGCTAGGTAATAACACTATATAAACAGTGTATGTAAAAAGTGTACATTTGCACGTCAATTGTATTCAAAACAACGCCATCGTTTTCGATTACATATATTTTGACATTAATAATGTTTTATACTTGGATTTATTTTTCAGAGAATTGGCATTAAAAAACCGATGTTCAATGATTTATGTAGGTTGCAGCAGTTATTTTTCCGCCAAAGCAGCGGAAAGACTAGGATTTCAATGCATTTACACAATGTCCTACGAAGACTACTTAAACGACAAAGGACAGCAAATGTTCAACCCTCCGACACCTCATACACATTTTAAGGTGTATGTCTTACCATTAGACAACGACTAAACATTAAACGCTTTAGTTTATTCTTAACTTACTGTTGTCGATTTTATGCTTTTATCTACCGCACATTTGTCCCCAATTTTATATTCTCTTATAAAATAATAATAATATAATATATATATATATATATATATACCTACTACAAATTATTGGAAAATACTATAATTATTATTTCATTATCATAACTATTACTGTATCAATTATAAATGTATTAAATTTGTAATTCGTATTTTCTATTCGAGATGACATCTTTTCCGAAATCACAACAAGTCCCCAAATTTATATTCTCTTGGAGCAAATCTATACGCTTCCTCCTCCGCCTTCTTGTGTCCCTTGCCTTCTCCACAGTTTTGCCTTTTGCTTTCTTGTATTATTGTTATAAATTACAACTCTTAATACCACTATTTGTTTTCTCTTTAGTAATAGATATTCTTTGTTCTACCTCATCAATATTTATATTATTAATTATTATATATTGTATCTAATATATATATATATATTATATACCTACTATAAATTATAGCAATATACTATAATTGTTATTGTATCATCTTAATTATTACTGTGTCAATAATAATATATGAAATTATCAATTCGTAAGCGTTTGTTTTATTTTTAACACGCTTATATTTAATGTCATTTATTTATTACCTGGTGCAGTCTAGTAGTATAATATGGTTTATAAATTGTTTTCATTTTCATTGTTAGAATGCGCTTCATGTGGACAATGAGAGCAAAATAATAAATACCTCAGAAATGCGTTTGATGTACGTGTCAATCTTTATTTTTAACACGCTTATATTAGCTTCACTTGTATGTATGTTTGTATGTTTGTATGTAACTAAAAGAGATAGGCAACCGAACGTACATGCGTGTATTCATTGTTGTTTACCTGAAGTTTTCAAGTAATAGAGACACGTATGTACTAGAATTAAAAAAACACGATTTTAAAGCACATCGAACTAAAAAGTGGAAAATAAATATAGTTTAAAAAAAACTAAAAAACACGCTTAAATAGTAAAATAAACTAAAAAGTAGAAAATAATTTTCAATATAGAAATCAATTAATAAAAAATAAATCAGTTCTTGAAAAGCGCCCCACACTTTTTTCACAATAATACTATTTATTTTTTATTAATTGATTTCTATATTGAAAATTATTTTCTACTTTTTAGTTTATTTTACTATTTAAGCGTGTTTTTTAGTTTTTTTATTCTCTCCATATTTTCACTATATCACTACATTAACTCGACCAAGCAGTTTTGTTCTTTAATTTTATTAAACTCAACTTCAATCAACAATCTAATTAAATTATGTATTCATTCAAGTACACCTAATCACTTCAATGTTTACTAGTTAACGTTGCTAGACTAGACTGAAGTCCATTCAACTAGATTATATCAGTAAATGACTTACACGAAAATTTCAAAGAAATTAAATTAAGCTTTACCAAAATCGACTTCATTACCTATCGACGTAGATCATATTGAACCATATCAAGATCAAATACTAGTTCATGTGAAAACTTACCGGTTTCTTATTTATGATACGCTCATCAACCATTGCGTTTTAAATCGTATAGCGTTATAGAAATTTCGTCACTTTTAAATCCAACTGAAACTCCTAAAAATTGGCTATACGTATATGTTTTTAACTTAACCAGCTAGTCTTTTTCAAAAAACTTCGATTCAGTAACACCTGGATTTTCTCGGTACTTCCCGAGGAAGTGGTATTTTATCATCACTAGTGTACTGGCTGTTTATTATTATTATATACCTATACGTATAATGTTTGTACCGCGTAAATACGGAACTTAAGGATGGTAAAAGGATCAGTGTTTTCCGGGAGATGTTGTTTTATTAGTAGTCGGTCCTGTTTTGACGTAGGTACAACAAAGGTTAGGCGAGGTTCACGTGACCGAAGCAAAGCGATAGCCTTCCCCTCTCAGTGTGGGCGATACCGAGATTGAAAATCAAAAAGGTTCACGAGTTCAAAAATTCGAGTTTCATAAAAAGACGCTGTATATTATAGTAAGAGGTATTATAGTAAGAGGATTTTTAGATAAGTTTTTTAACCGCGACGAACCAGTGAATAGTGAATTCGTTTTGATGGGTGATGTTAGAGCACAAGCCAAATCGGATGCTTTCACTAATTCGCTACTTGACAATGGTAAACATATTACTACAGTAACTCACGTTTATTGTTATAATATATTATTTATGCATGGACATTTTTTTTTTCAGCACAAACTCATATTTGCCTTGCCAGTACAAAATCCAGCTTTATTACTTGAATCGTTTTTAAACACAGGACTTATAGCGTGCAAAGCTGTATCTACAGACGGACGTTTAATTGGCGTTATCTCGAGCGGAGTTATATGTAAATTCGACAAGCGCGAAGTCGATGCCGAAGACGACACTAAGTTTAAACTTGCTATGATATTACTGAAAAAAGTCGAAGAAGAAGCGGATGTCTTTGGTCAGTATCCGAACGTTTGTCGAGCACTTAACGTCGATATTGTTTCAGTGGACGACAAGTACAGGGGCAAAGGAGTGGGCAAAGCGCTAATTGACAAGACTGGGTAATTACCAATGTACTGTTCAACGCCAAATAATATAGTAAAAAAACAATTATTATTCTAAACTAAGAATTTTACAATTTTTCAATCTACGAATTACACACGACTCACGAGTAACGGCCATAATACACATAACAAATACTTTACAATTAATTTCAATAGTAAATCAGTAGGGAACGCAATTAGCTTTCGGTCGTTTCTTATACTTACACTACATATATATTCATATACTTGGATTTATTTTTCAGAGAGTTGGCATTGAAAAACCAATGTTCGATAATTATTGGAGTGTGCAGCAGTTATTTTTCCGCCAGAGCGGCGGATTCCAATGCGTTTACAAATTGTCCTACAAAGACTACTTAAACGACAAAGGATAGCAAATTTTCAACCCTTCGCCACCTCATACACATGTTAAGGTGTACGTCTTACCATTAGACAACGGTTTTAAACGGTTTAGATTATTCATAACTTACTCTTGTTGAATTTATACTTTTATCCATCGCATATTTGTAAAGTCCCTGAATTTATATCCTCTTGATGCAAAATATCTATACGCCTCGTTCCTCCCTGTAATATATGTATATATATACTACAAATTATTGCAAAATAATATAATTATTATTGTATTATCATATAACTATCACCGTATCAATGATAAATGTATTACATTTTTAATTCGTAAGCGCTTGTCCGCCATCACCACAGTATCCGGCTAAGATCTAGTTGGGTATTATTCTTAAAATTAATAATAATAATAATATCTTTGTACCTATGCTTGCATAGAAAATATTATATACCTCCTTCATAGCGTTTATGGTAATAATTAAATCCTAACAGGATTATTTCTTTAATGTTAACAATTAAAATTATATGCAAAAATAGTTAAAACATAAAACAAACAAAAATGTATATATATATACAGGGTGATTTTTTTATCATGAACCACTCAATATCGCATAGGGTTTAATGAGAAATTAAAATATTTTTTTTTATATTGTTGTTATACAATGTGATCTCAATTTTTCACATTTTTTTTTGTTTTTACCCTCCTCCCAATATGAAAAAAATATTTTAATTTCTTATTAAACCCTATGAGATACTGAGTGGTACATGATAAAATAATCACCCTGTATATATATATTTATATTTTTTTAAAACAATTATTTTATTTCGTTACATTTTGCTGATAGAATTATATATAAAATACATGTATCTGTTAGTGAATTATATTAGCACACTTAACTATAGAGTTGAGCTTTCGGTGGTATTAGACACTTCAGCTATGAATAATATAAACTATCAAGTCCAAACCACAATATGTCCTTTAACATGGCTAGAACCTAAACGAGAGTTTATAATAGATATATATGTAAATGTAATATTGCAAAATGAACGGACAACTTTAAAAATTAACTGCTATTTTGAATTGATTTAAGAACAGGTAGCTCCGTTTTGTCAATTTATTTACAATTGTTTATAAGTTATAACGCATATTATATAAATATTTGTTTAAAACGTGAGCTACACAAAAAAGAGCAACTAATTCAATATTAATAAACCTCCAATCGATAATGCCCAAAAAGGCCACACTTTATTTCATTTTTGAACGTACAACATACCCACCTTCATATTTTTTAAAGATTAAAGAGAAATTTAGTTAAGAATACCAATTATTATTATTGCCCACATACCGGTAACCCGGTAAGTGGTATCGTGGTTCAGGTGTAGTAGAAACGATAACACTCGGTTGTACATATTGCAATCGCTCTGTAGTCGCTCTAAAGGTCATCTCATATATTTTTATTATTCGCCGCATTTCAGCAATAACAATATAGTAGGTAGGTACATCAGCAGCAAGTGGGCACGGACGCGCAGTGTGTGTACACGGTGTGGACGCGGATCAATAGTACACGGCGTTCAGGCGCAATGTGTGCGGGACAACAGAGCGGTGGTGGTGAGAAACAACACATTCCGCCCTTTCGTGCGCCCCGACAACACGCGCCATCCCTTCGGAATCGCTTTGCCGCCGTCACCTCTCGGCGCGTCAGTGCGTCCAACCCCCCGGAAAAAAAATCACCGTAGGCCCGCCCGCCCACCACGGATTATCGTAGCTTGACAATGGCGAAAACAGAAGAGTAGGTGACTTGGGTTAGGTCTTGGCTTATTTCATTTTCAGAAGATGAAGTGATGATGAAATATTACGCATTGCATTATTGATTTTCGATAAAAATATTGAAAACCCAGTTATAGAACAATGCATTTTACAAAAACTGGTCGAGATTATTGTCTTAGTGAAAATCTCCCAAGTCACAGTCAATGCGAGGTTTAGATGAACTTCAACGCACAAGACTGCGCAGTTTCACGGAAAAATGTATCTCCGGAGACGCGTTTTACAAGCATTTATTAAAAACCGGCGTGTAGCCGCTCTTTTGTAACAAATAACTAAATAACTATGCGAATAAAATCATTATTTTTTTTTTAACCAAGATTAATACATAATATAGTTGCTTTATTTCATTTGAACATACTATTATAATACTGTTGCCATGTACCTGGGATGGAAAGGTAAAAACACCAGCATTTTTCTTTGAAAAAGAGCTCTAAAGCCCTTTGCCACACCATTTTTCTCAATCGACACCTGTGACGATTAACGATACACCTGAGAGTGAGACGCACAGAGGCGGGGACGTGACGCGCAAAAAACCGTGCGGCGCGCCATAATTACCGTGCGCCCGAGACACTGACCGGCCGTTGTGCATATTGGCGCCCGCCGGTCCCGTTGGCCGCCGCCGCCGCCGTCTGCCGTGACAGTTTTGCGGTTGGCGGTCGTCGTTCAGTGCTGTCCGGACCGCGTGCCCGTCGCCCGTGTATTCCTTGTGGTCTTCGTCGCCGCTGCCGTCCGTGTGCGATTTACCCGGACGCGCTAATAATCGTGCTATTTAGGCGGCACAGCCTGTCCCCGCGGTGCGCCATCCCCGAGCCGCCGGAACTCTCCCGCCCGGAGCTATGCTGGATATGATGAACAAAATGGCCGAACTCAAGTTCGAAGCGCCGCTGGCGCAGTTCGAGGAGACGGAAGAGTGGACGAAAATGATGGACGACGAACCGTCGTCCGCGGCCAAAATGCACATCGGTGGTCAGCCGGCGGCCGCGCAGCAGTTGGACAACGTTCCCGGCAACAACAAGACCCAGGAACCCGTCGGCGGCGGCAAGTCCGGGTGTACGCAATGCGGCGTCAACAACAACGTCAACGTCGTGGAAGTGGCCGACGGCGACAACTTCGGCGAAACGTTCAGCGGCTCTCTGGAGGACCTGGTGCACACTTTCGACGACAAGATCACCAGATGCTTTTGCGATTACGAGGAATCCGTGGAAAAACTCGCGCCCGTCCAGATCCGCACTCAAGAGGAGATCATGAACGAATGCCAGTGAGTACACACCGCCGGTACCGTGTTCCGTTTTCCGTTTCCCGTCGCATGTCCACAATATTATTATCGAGTACATATTTTCAAACCGTGGCGGCGCGCAACGTGTGAGACCACATTACATTGGCAATTATTGCTTTAGCGTTGTGTACGTTGCGCTAGGGTTAGAAACACGCTCAGAGCACCCTCCACACGGAAATATTGATCGACCAACATTAGAGATGTGTACATTATTGTGCAAAACATTTTTTATCGATGCTTTTTTTTAAAAAATAGTATTATCTATTTCGTTATTACCCAACGCCATAGTAAACATATGTTTTTTTTACTAATACAACAATTTCGTTTGGGGGCAAAGGTTGAGCATAGCTGTTTTCGATAACCTTTGTCCACATTTTTTGTGCTTGGGCTTTTTCAAAATTTATCACGTTTAAACCTGCTGTTTATTAAACGGTTTACAATCGGCCTGGTGACATATATTAGTAGATAATAATAACAATAAAGATTGGTCAATTTAACCACTCGGTCGTTACAATATCCTCACAAGCGTTCAACAACAGCGAAATCTATCCTAAATAAATTTGAGTTTTATTGGGTTTAGCACACGGGCGCCCTTGGGGGGGGGGAGAGGCAAGATGGGACACTCGCCCCTCTGGAAAAAATCATTTTTTTTTTCACCGTATTTATCAAAAATGCATATTTTAGTTGTATGCGTATCAATGCCAGTATTATCTATTAATAGTGTGATATTTATATTTACACGTTAAAATAACAATACCTTTATTACATTTTGAGACATTTTTTTTTATTATTTTGCCCTCTTTCATCCTAAAATTTTTAGAGCCACTTCGCATGTTTAGGGTATTATTAATTTAAAAAAAATGACAATATAGCAAAAAAAAAAAAGGCATTTCCAACGGTGGTGGTCTCGAAAATCCTCGATTCGCCTACTCGACACATCGCGGTGTTATCATTCAATATAATATACATATTATTATTATTATTATAATACATTACTCGGTGGCTGTTCATTATGTTGGAATGACTAACAATGCGCTCGTTACGCCTCGGCACGCAAAAAAAAATCCGAATGAATCACCGCAACAATCGCCATTAAGATACTGTGTATGAATTTAGGTAGAAAAACACACAAAAAAAATTATTTTAGAAAAAGCCAGCACAGGTCTGAAAATGCGATACCTTCTCAGCTTTTTATACACATTTGGAAAAAGTCACGAATATAGGCGAACCGACGGTGGTTTATAACGATTATTGTACGTCTTTTATTTAATAATTGTGTGTGTGTGTGTGCGTGTAATTTATTGTGCAACGATGAGATAAGACTATATTGTGTTGGCAGTAGTAGCCCTTTGTCTGTTGTGCCCAACTATTGTGTTTCAGGAAATAGTCTAAACCACCCACGAGAAAAACCGCAGCTTTGACAGTAAAACAGTAGTCCGTTATCACGTGCAATGTATATTAACACAATTACCGCGTTTGATAGTAAAATAAATGTATAATATTATACAAATAAATAATAGCATAACATTAACGGTTGTACAGTACTCACTTTGCCGACAAAACAATAGGTTTGTGATTAGTAGATAACCACTTAAATACTTAAACATTTTCTTGTTGTTATTGGTTCAAAGTGATGTTCACATAAAATAGTCAAGAACACACACACACAGTTACAGCATGTTAAGTAGAGTTTCATTTTGCTCATTTTATCATTTCTAGTATTTTATTGGTGACATTTGTTGCCCTTTAAAGAGTTAAACTTTATAAATTAATAATCACGACGGTAAGAACTCGTGAAGAGTTGTAAAAAGCTAAAAAAGACTAATGAAAATATTATGATGTACAATTTAGTATACAACTGTAATCTTTACACAAAAACAAAACGTTTAGATGTATTATTGTTACAGTTCTTATTATATTACTGAAAACAGAATTTAGGTACACAATAACGAGGTAGCGTTACCTCGTTATTGTGTACCTAAATTCTGTTGTTCGGTTAATATCATCAATGCGTGTTTATCTGTTTTATCTCAAACGCACAACTCTGTTTTGTTATCGATTTTTTTTTTAATTCTATAACAATAATAATATAAATCGAAAGGAACACTGTGCACACTATTATTTCATTTAATCGTAATTGCTTAACCTTAGTGTGTGCACACGTTTAAGATTATTCATACAAATAGTTTTAATGTTTGGCAATTGAACATAATTTTACACAATGTATACTTGTAATTAATAAATCAAATTGAACAATATGACAAAATTAAAATCACATTTTTATTTAATTGTTGTTTGTTTCGCTTTGAAAATCAGAACATTTTTAATTTATTATTTGCACCTAAATTGTCGGTAACTGTTTTCAAATTTCAACCATTCAATTGGTTACAGTTACCGCGGTATCCGAAGTTGTAAATATAATAATATCAAGGACGATATAAAAGTTTTAGGTCCATCGATGGTTCGGCAAGTCGTGGACTTTGCCGCTCATATTATTTTCATAGTCAAACTTCAAAGGATTCGGACTTCCGTACTTATTATTGGAAACTATAATAATTAAAAACAACGCACGTATGTAAACCAATAGTATTCATTGAAATCAGATAGGCATGCACAGCATAATATGTGCAACTTACATTGATGTTGTGCGAAATATGACCCATAAACTAATATAATATTTTATACCGAGGTTGAAAAAAATAAAATTACATCAATACTTGAAAAATATTATCATTGAGCGGATTGAAAGAGTTCTGGTTAATTACCTAAACATTTTCAGGATAAAATATATAAATATTCTTTTGATTTAAACGTGTAACTTTTTATTTTGCGTTAATTAACAGATTTAATTGAAAGTGAGTGTTTTAACGTTCTAATTATGGCATTAAGATTTACACATCATCTTTTCATACTATGATTTAATGGCTTAATTTAGCTGAGTTATTCTCACTCCAAACATGTCACATAGGAAATGCAGATGTCCCCTTTTGAAGAAATGGATAGAATAAAAAAAAAAAAAAACTGTTTGAATACCACTCGAGGAGGATTATTAAAGTATAATGAAACTTTGTATTGTGTGAACGGAATAGTAATCTCGCATTTAAATCGTTACACGCGTATCATTCACATAAAAGAAACAGAATTGTTATATAAATTGACAAGAGCCGTCTTGAGAGAAAATTGTATTATAGTAGAACGCACTTTATTTATTATTACAATATTATTATTGTACCGTGTTGATGTGAGGATTTTGTGCGCATACAGCTTAGTGGATATTTCTTTGAACACATTAAGTTTATAAATACCATAGTATTAGACCGGAAATAAAATAAACAAGAATTTGAGGGATAACGTATGGAGTGTGACTATAATAATCATTTATAATGGTAATGTTATTATTATGTTGTGTGTTATGTAAGCGCCTCTGCCCGTTCTGTATACATAATATAATATCTAAGAATTGGCCGTTATCCAAAGTTCAAGGCCGACTCGAAGATTTCGATTTTGTAATGTTATACTCGCTCTAATTTTAACACATCCTTTTCGAAACTGACAAATCGTGTATCTTTTAAATTATCGCCGTGTAATCTATGTTGTTTTCACATTATTATTGTTGTAGCAGCTCAACAGCTAAAGTCGGTAATAGGTCGCCGTAACGATCCATTAAAACATATTTGTTCATATTAAAAAAAAAAAAAATGAATAATGCGTTAACAAAAAAACCTACTGGTAAACTTTAGCCATACCATAGTCTATAATAATAATAGTAATTATCTTTAATAAACCATGTTTGTACAACTATATTTTTTTTATGTTTTTCGAATTATATCAGTTGATATTTATTATTCATAGTATATGGTAAGCGCCAGACAATGTTTTTTTTTTATAATAAACTTCCACTATATTAACATTATATAGTCATTTGACTTGGTATACGTTTTACTTGACCTTATTTCTTTTTTGGTGCGAACAAAATTTTCTTTGACACGAAGCCAAGTATATTTATATTTTCCAGATTGTCACTGTAAAGTATACATCATAATATTTTGTATTTCATTACGTTAAAGACAAATATGTTCTTTTAATCAAAAAGGGATTTTTTAATTGACCGTCGTATATTTTTTGTAATTAAAAGTTTTAACGAATTTGCTGTCTACGATTTTAAATCACTTTTTGTCTTTTATCATTTTGTATAATGTTAATCATGTTGTACTTAAATTAAATTTTAAGCAAGAATGACAAAATGTTTAGTTGAATTAGTATATGAACAGATCAGTTGAATTACAAATCTACCAATTGTATATATTACTATAATAGGGCAACTATCTCTTCTAAGATGTGTTGGATGTGGGAATGTATATTAAAGACTGGTGTCGGTGGGCGGGAAGACGTTAATCATACTCTGAGTCATCTGTATACTTTTATAATAATATACTTTAATAAATCAATAGCCGTTGCTGACGTTCTTGAAAATATTTTGATTTTTTATTAACAATTTAAACAGTGTTAAGGCGTAGACGTTTCGCTTTTATCCGTCTTTCCCTAAACATTGGCCAATACCATACCCCTTGGGAGATTATTTTTCTAAAATTGATATTATATTGATTCACTGTTTATCTGACAACAGGAATCGAAAGTTGACAAACAAAACCCAAACTAAAAAGAAAAACACTATAGACTTTTTTATTTCGGAAAACGTTTGGTATTTACACAAAAATCGACTCAGAAATATGACTATAAAAGTGATTGACCTTAACTGTAAATAAACAACTGTACCTAAACGTATCTATAGATTAAAATTGGCTTATCATAATATTACAAAAAAAGTGACCTCCATGCTATTATTCTACAAGTAATATTGTATATTTATTTATAAACGATTAACTGATATTATCAATTATCATGTAATGTATAAAAAGTTGAAATCGCTGATATATAAATATATATTAAACCATGGCACTATTGACAACAAGTAGTATTATCTATATGTTTATATTTTATCGTTTCAAAACTCGAGTGTTTACCAATATTATATTGTGACTATACATACAAATAACACAGTGAAAGTTTAGCCGAAGGGTATACATGTGTAACTTTTTCAGACGTCCCAGCTAAGTAGGCGTTTAAGAAAAAAATGCAATCTTTGTTAAATATAAAACGTAGAGTCATGGCATTCAATAGAAGTTTTAATTTTATGATTTCTTAATTGTTATTGTACATAAATATATTTTAAATAATACCAAGTAAGTGCAGTTTTTACATTAAATTTGTACTTTTCTGATTTTAAAAATTTTAACGCGGAAATTATTATAATAGTCAATTTGATTGCTTCAAGCTTTTACTAATATTATTGACTAGGCAATTTTGTAATATTTATCCAGTACCTTTCCGACCATTTAAATTTAAATTACAATACCGTGAATTTACAAGGTTTTCTACGCCAATGAACTTGACTAACACGAAACATATGTATTATTCATTAAACTTTGGGACTCATAAAAAACACGTTCACTAATTAACAAACCTACCAGAACCGACGGCCGTTGTCATCGGTTAACATTTAAGTACAAGTATTGTTTTAGTATTGTTTTCACTGTACAATTTAATTTAAGATGGTGTAAACGGCCATCAAAAATCAATAGCCCTTCATTAAAGCAGCACACTAGTTGTAGACCGGTGACTGGAATTTGACGTTGCCCATAATAGCTGTTGACTTAATTTGATAAATTGAACATATTTTAATACCTATTGTTTCACATGAACCACATTTTTGCCTCTGGCAAAACGTTGCCGTTGATTATGAATTTGTCAAAACATTTGTTTTCCACACAATTTTTACCGTTCTCAACTGTTCGTGTCCCGAAGTAATTAAGTTTATTTTTTACCCCCCTTGTGGGCCATTTTTAGTGTAAACATTCATTACCATACAGCCATGTGCGCCAAAGCCCCACACTCATCATCATGCTTGTCGCTATACTAAATTAACTGTCTATTCCTCGGTATCCATTCGCCGTCTTAAGTTGTTTTTTTTTTTTTTGTCTATATATGAACATGTGAATGTTCCTCATCTGGCTGGTACACAACCGTAGAGAAAACCAGTTTTGTGCTGCCACTATAAATGACCCCTGACAGCAGAGAAGTACACCAGAACCTGTATTACCGATGAATTTCGTCCAACGTTAATACCTACTTGATATTCCAAACAATACAATATTATAGGTATTATTATCTTAATCCAGACGTTTTTATTATAATACCACAATCGACTAGGTCGTCATAATATTTGTGGGTTGTTGTTACTGCACGACGGTGGTTTTACCATAAATTATATCCGTTTTTTCATACTGAATATTCAATATTAACGTACAATTTCAAAAATTGTAGGTACTTATGTGTAATAATAATGTTTTACTCGTAGACTGTACATTTCATGTTTATCACACATGCCAACATTGTGTATCAACACTGTGTTAACAATATTCAAGAATAATCAACACTTGCCCTGACGAAGGGGTTCTATTAAAAATAATTGTTTATCAATCGTTTTAATAAACGATTCCTTCGAAATAAAACAAGCATTGAATTGAACCATAAAAAGATGTTCACGAGTTTTAACAAATAAACATGTCTGTATTGTTCAGTGCGTTTATTTTTTCAATAGACACACTCTGCAGTCTTACACTAGTATTCAATTACTGAAATCAAACGCTGAATCGTGACCACGTTTCATGTGGTTATTATAGTAAACGGACGAGCTTAAGAATTTATAGCTTACCTGTATTACAAAACGACAACCTGATGATTCTGTAAAAATAGTTTTTCATTCGTTCCCACGCCCAAAAACACGACTGACACTTGTTTTAATATACATTCATTCTCTTGTAAATAAAAAATTTCAAATCACATTTGACGAAAAACAAATAAGATTAATTAATCTTCTTTATCCTCCTATTATACATATATAAAACAGGTTGTTTTAATTGAACATGTCAGTAAAAAAAATGTATTATTTTTAACATATTTTAGATTATAGGCGTTAAATTGAGATGGCAAACCATCTATTGTCTATTTATTTTCCCGTTAGGATGACTACGTGTCTAATAAAAGCTTAATGATAATCGCAACTACTGACAAATGATACTATTATAATTATTAAAAAACTAATACTTATATTACAACGTATCTAATTCAGTTTTTCCAACAATCTTTAAGTGTATTTTTGATAATTACTCTTTGAAAAATATAAAAACAGTTATTGTATTCGTTAAACGTTTCACTTGTCGTCGTAGGCGCAAATGACGTGTCATGGACAAAGTAGTTAAGGTTGTCCTCCACAATATATATTAACATAAAGTTGATTGAACTGTCCCTTTTAGATTAACCGCAATTACATTTTAATTCTACAATTGCAAATTTAATAGGCTAAGGTCAAATTATTTATTGTTTCCTTGCGATCCAATGCAACACACTCATGTACATACTGTATATGCATATGTATAAATACAGAACCACTCTTTGTGTGCAATTGTTTAAAACTGTATGCCATTTATAAAACACACATTTTTAGATAAATACAATAGCGGTTAGCTTAATTATTTGTATTTTATCATCATAATTTTTATACAGCACCATATACCTATACCCTTCTTGTGCGTTTACGTTTTTTTTTTTTTTGTATTCAGCAAGAATTATTATTCTCCATGATAATGTAACGACGATTTGTGTGGTTTTTTTTTTTTTTTTAGGATGTGGTGGACAATAACTGGAAATTTTGGCAATATTCTACCGATCGATTGGTCAAAATCGTACGCGCGCAAAGTACATTTGCCGGTGTTAAATCTGAACAATAATCCTCAGGTAAAAGATATTGTGTGGAATTGTTTTTTTTTTTCAATAAAAATCAAACGAAACCATTTTTTTTTTTTCATCCACTTACACGTAGGACGACTCGTCAGACGATCTCAGCAGCGAAGACGAGGCCGTTGCCAACGATTTGGACATGCACAGCTTGATTTTGTCAGGGCCCAGCACAGATATCGAACCTCCCACGGCCGATGAAGTAATCCGAGAAATCGACGACATTATGGAGGTAACATCGGTCGCCACAAAACGTCGTTTTTACCAGCCCTGGTAAAGCCAAGACAGTTTTGAATAAACCCACGTTGTTGATTGATTTTGTAGGAAGGTACGTCGGACGAGTGCACGCCGGACTGCGAAGATCCCAAGGTCCCGCTTCATTCGCCTTTGCTCGAAGAAAGTGAGTGAACAAAATGTGGTGTATACATTAAATGGATGCGTTCTTACTCGATACCGGTAACCAATATCTGTTGTGTGTTGTTTGCAGAGTTGAAAACCCTGAACTTGCCTCAGCTCAACGAGGTCTACATGGAACTGGAAATGTTAATCAGAGACTATTCCGAGACGTTGATTGCAGAGTTGGCCCTCAGGGACGAATTGGAATTCGAAAAAGAGTTGAAAAATTCTTTCATATCGCTTTTGTTGGCCGTGCAAAACCGGAGGAGACAATATCACGTGGAGAAAAAGAGAAATTCTCGGACGGGAACGACGAATAATAAAAATCCAGTAAACGAACCTAAAGTAAGACACCAACTGTGTGTACACAAATAAACGAATTAGTAAACTGTAATTAATTTTAAAATTACTATTTAAAAGGTACAATTTGAGGTACAGATTAAATTCGAAAAACTCTTTAATTCTATAAACATTTTTCATTCAATTTTTGTATTTTTAATAACTTTTTCAGTAAATTGTTTTATTCAGATACACATCTGTAAATACAAATCTAAAATAATTACTAATTAGATTTTTATTTGGCTAGAAATACAAATACCATCAAATTATCCCAGTTGGAAAAACAATTTCAATGCTTTATAAATAATTGTATAATCATTTTTTGGCCATCTTAACTTGGATATGTTAGAAACGTGTTGTTAAAATATTTCATTAATGTTGTACATGTTTTGATAATTTTTACAACATTTTTGTAAGACATTAAATTCCAAGCAAAAAAATAATATTTTTATAACATTTAATAATTTTTTTGACATTATCTTGTAAACTAGGATTATAATATGTAGTAATGTAAATACTGGCATTGCCCGTTTATTATATTATTTTTAATCTACATTGACATTATGATGTACTTGAATTGTTCAAATTTAGTTCTAATTTTTTTTTTTTTTTTCACAGTATCTTACCACAGTCATACCATATCATTTGGACAATGGACCTTTAAGTAACCAAGCACTTCAAGTTCTGATAAAAAGTAAATATGAAATCGATTTTAAATTGCCTAATAGGTACGAATTTCCTTGTACGTATAAGTTTAACATAATTTGTCGTATTTTTAGTACTGAAAGCGATCAACGAAGATAGCCCCACTGTTCCTACTTTGCTAACGGACTACATACTCAAAGGTAATCATATTTTCACACACTTTAGAATTATGACGTACTGTGAGAAAATTGTTTTTTTTTTTTGTTAATTGTATTATGTTTTATTTTTCTAGTACTGTGTCCTACATAATTCTCTGTACCAGATCTGTTTTGTGACAAAGTCAACTGCACCTTGAACTCTACGTGATAAAACCTAATTTAAATTAAGCTTTTTAAGGCATAGTCATATATATATATATATATACTTCTTTTAAGTAGTAATATAATTTTATTTATAAGATCTACTCAAAGTAGTAATACTATGTAATTTTTAAAAAAAATTATATACACTTTATTTTTAATAGCATTGTCATTAGATAAAAAAAAAGCCCTATAAAAATACGTTATTTTTATTATAAATCGACTTTTGCCGATGAGCAATTAATTTCTAAGAATAAGTTTTTCTAGCCCCCTACTTATCATATTTTCGTTTAAGATTTTTTTGTACCTATTACGACCTTCTTTTATTGGTCTATGTTTTCTAGTTTTTAATATTATAACAAGAACATTTTCAAAATGGATAAAAAAAACTATTTTAATAATTCTGGTGCTTTACAAATTTTACATTCGGGGAAAACAAAAAATAAAAACCATAATAATTTGTTTATTATTATTTTAATTATTCAGTATACTCTTCCATACTTGTATAATTATAATGTATGTAAGCCCTTCAAGTTGCTTAGTCTATTCAATCCACTGTTGTGCTAAAGATAAATACTATCAATAATAATTATAAAGAAGATTAATATTCTTAGAAAGAAAGAGATAAATATTTTGTAAATTCAATGTTCTTGTTGGGCTGGGACCAAAGTGAATGTGATTTCAAAGAATGTATAACTGTGTTTTAATGTATATCGTTGAAAATAGTTCATTATGTATCTCATTGACAATATTAATAGTTAACCGGTTTCAAGAAACAAGTGTAATATTATTCATTCCTAACAATATATTGACCTAATATTATATTATATTATATAATAATAATAATATATAATTTATATGTATTCTTACAATGTACAATGTATTATTATTATTATTATTGCTTTTACACTGTGTATTGCATATTTTTAACGTTGAGTTATTGTAATAAGCTTTGATGCAGAGTTGAAAAGGAAAAAAATTGTCTAATAATATTTTAAAATGTATACCAATTCATTAACTGACGGCCTCGGCTACTAAGCTCTAAAATGCTTAAAATTTTGTTTTTATTATTATTATTACTTAAGACGCGTATGAAATGTTTCAACTATATTTATTAATATTTATGTTGTGTATTTTTTTTCTTCTTAAGTTTCATCTGACAATAACAGATGTAAATTACTATATTGTACTATAACAACACTGTCTAGTCATAATATTAGTTTGTATTTATAAGTAAAATTCAAAATATAATAGCTTGGTATTTACTATTTATCTATAATTGTATTATTTACATACAGTTTTATCCATCCAATTAAAATCGGACTGTCCTAAGTCTGTCTGGCTTTTTGGTCTAAAACATCTAAAAAGCAGATCGTTAAATTGCTTACAAACAATGTTTGTACACATTTTTCCAAAAATGTATTATTATATGAGAAAAAATATAACAAAACTTTTTTCATTTATTCGGATAAACTGGTTTTCTACGGTTATTTAAATATATTTGATAAACGGGTAGAACGTGTTTAATATATTTTTTATAAATAAAAATAAATAAATCGTCTTTTAATTAATCAAAAATAATAAGGTTGACCAGGATCTAATTTTTTTTTGGTAATTATAATTTATATCAAAGAAGATGATTTATTTTATACTGTTCCCAGTTTGACGATTTCTATAATATATTTTTTGGAAATAAAAGTGAAAAACCGTCGTGTCTGGGGCAGTTCATATAAACATTGAGCTTTTGCGCGAACGTAAATACCGTTGGGGAAAACCCGTTTGGACCAACGGCGTTAATACCGCAGTGCGTTCAGAGCCTTAGTACAAAAAAATCATAGTTATTCAAAATGGGGACATTACACCTTGATACATCTAACTTAGTCGGTAGGCCTCTAACATTTTGGTAATAACCAGTCAAATGTTTTACAATAGGTTTATACACATAATTTTTACTTAGATATACAATTATTATTAACACTATTACTACTGCTATAATTAAAATTAAAATTACCCCTATGGAAAACTGTTAGCGATTTTGAACGACCGCTGGAACCCCCGTTGACGTGTCATCGTTGCAACTGTTAACTTATTTATCCTCTTCATACATACTTAACTATTTTTTCTAGCTTTTTCATTAATAACAAAAAAAAACTTGTCGAATCTTGATATATATATTTTTAAATATCGGCTGAATTTTTTTGAGGGCCGTAGGCAATGCTTATTTTGCTTGTAGGTAAATCTGTGATAGAAATATAGAATTTTCGGCGTTTATATATATTTTATCACAACGAGTAAAGCCGGGATTCTACGTAGGATCTAGGTCTATTCACTTAACAAGTGTAAAAATAAATGCTCATGGATTGTGTCGGTACAAACCCAGGTTTTGTGATGCATTTATCAGTAAATCGTTTTACGACCGCAGAACAACAAAAAGATAATTAAAAAAAAAAACGACATGGGTTTATCGTTTATGGCATTTTATTCTGTGTACTTACAACGGTTGAATTGACCAATGTGTTTGTGTGTCAATGAGTCGCTACATGTCCACGGTCACAATAGGTACCTACCTATAATATATTTTATATCATTATTTTTGTTTAATTCTTTAGACTTTGAGTGTAATTTTATACGACTGACACACTGATAGTGCTGAGTAGTAAAAACTACTAATTAATTTAAAAGGTAAGTTAATTATCACTTTTTTTTTAGTGTAAAATAACCACTTATTTTGTCTTAAACAAATAGGTTTTTTAAAAATTGATAAAAGAAATTATTATTTTTATTTCGTTATAAGTTATAACTTATATTATCATAGTTGGTCATCGACAGTTCATCATCATGTTTTTTATTTACCTATTGGCTATTAATAATTCTATTCATGGCCAAAAAACAATCTAAAGTTCAATCTACTTTTAAAATTTTATTGTAAACTGTAATTTAAAAACGCATTTTTTAATATAATTATTTCTAAATATATGGCTATGTACGCTGAAAACCTTTAATATATATATATATATATTATATTATTTTGAATTACTTTGGCTTGGGTACAAATCATAAATTTCAGTGTAGTTTTATTTAATAAAACGGCGCTGTTAACTAATTTCTGGACACCTTTTTGCGGTGTTGAAAGCTTTTTTTTTTAACTTGTTCTAAATTAAAGCAGTGTTCTTTTTCGTAATATCCTTATAAACAAATTTTCAAATTTTTAAGTAGCTACAAATTGAAAAACAAAATCAAATTTTTATAAATTTCATTAAATTTGTATGCGACTTGAAGTCAAATTAAAAAAAAAATTGCTTAATTCTGACACCCCTATAATTACACTTTTTATTCATAGTTTTGTTTTTTTTTAAATGTTTTCAATGTTTGGTATTTTACTAAAAAGTGCAATATTTAACTTCTAGTAAAAATAAGTCTTCATTAACAAACTTTTACCAGATGTTTTATATACATATAAGTAAGTGCTATACTGCTATACAAATTTTAAAATTTTTAGTTTAAATCTTGGGGTTTAAGTAATGGGCTCTTGAATATAGCATTTTTTAGTCAAATTTAGCATAACTTTGATGTTACTTTCCATCATAAAAAAAAATGTTTAAATAGTTTTAAAAGTTATAAATCAAAAGAGTAGTTCGATGTGTAAGAATAAAAAAAACATTTTGAAATATTGAGTTAGTATACAAATAAAATGAAATTTATAACATTTTGAATTTGTTTTTTAAATTATTACAATTATTGATATATTATAAAATAAAAATACTTAATAAATATCTAAATCGAAGCACAAGGTAAAGCTAATAATTAATATGTAATTATAATATTTCATTCAAAATTAAAAAAAACAATTGTTTCTTAAACAGACAATCGAGATTAATTTGTATGAGTTATTATTATTATTAGTATTAAAAATATGAGTAAATAATTTCTATATAAATAGGTAGTCTGCCAATCAATAAAATAATATTCTGTGAATTGGGTCTAGATGGGCCAATTTTAAATTTTAGAAAATCATTTATAAATATTATCATTAAACGCTCTATCTAATCCAACAAAAACAATAGTTCTAAGTTTATTAATTGAAAATGTATAATGATTAAGAGCGTGTGAAAACGTATAGAACTTTATGCAAAATACATCTTAAACATTTTACCTTATGCAAAATTAAAATGTTTAAGCTAATTTGCCAAACATTTTGAAAAGTGACATTGGCCCTTCTTGAACCAAACCACAGAATCGCATTTTACTCTTCTAACTTAACCAAGACAAAACGTTAACTAAAACAATTATTATGACTGCAAAATAATTAACAAAATATTAAATAATAATAATTTTCAGACAGTTACACAACAAAATATAATTTTGACTATAATGCGTATTTACTACTATGGATTGATCAGTTGCCAGGTTGTTGAGTATTGGTTTTACATTTAAAAAAAAAATATATATTTAACCTGATGTCTCATAAATTATTTTTTACTTTCCTTAAGTGATAACATTTATTTTGCCTATTCGTTGACTTAAAAGTAAACACAAGTCTGTAATAAACAACATTGTTAATTGAAATTTCCTTTTTGCTTATACAAATTTAGTATTGCAGTAACTTTTTTTTCTTATTTATCATTACCAGTGACAATACGTTTGTATTTTATAGTTAGGAGAGCAAAATCTATAGTTTTGTTTTTATGATAAATATTTTTTTTAACTTTTGTTTTCAAAGATTTCTGTTATTTTTTAAATAAATATTTTTGTTCAATTTTTTTTTTTCAATGTTGTGTAAGCGTTAATTTGTCCTAATTATTTTGAAACATCCACGTTAAATGAAAATTCACCCACTTTTTTACAGTACCGGGTGATTCTTTTAACGCCCTGCTCTTTAAAAACTTTTAAACTAACTGCAATATTGTTGTGTTTCTTTTTGAACGATTTTTTGATACTATTTTACTGTATGAGACAAGACAATATTTGAGTTTTTATCTTTTTTAGTATTTTCTAGAGCTTTATCAACTTTTGAAACTTATATGGCAACGCTAACGTAGATATATATTTTTAACTTTTTTAATTAACAGAGCTCTAGCAAATGCTAAAAAAGATAAACATTTTAATATTGTTTCATATTATAGTAATGAAGTATAATCAAAAATGGTTTTATTTACTTATTATAGATTCGTTCATAACTCATTAGCAGGGCTCTGAACTTAATGAGCATTTGCTCATTTTGTTTTTGGATTTACATAAAATGTATTAAGTTTATGTCCCATTAAAACGTTTTCATGTGTACAATTTGGAAGTAATTTCCTTTGCTTTTATCGATGTTTTCTTCTTTTAAAAGTTTGGAACAAAATTACATTACTGTGCAAACTTTTTTTGCAATTTTTTTTTTTACCATCTTCTAAAAAATGTATAGTAACTTAAAATTTGCATATTTCCAAGTGTGCAACGATAGGCGGCTGTAGAGGGCGTCTTTGGAACTAGAGAAGTAAAAAATACTACAAGATGGTAAAAAAATGGCTAATGTAAAAAAGTTAGTTATTTCTACTTTTTTTGCTCATTTTTTACATTTGTAATTTATTACAATCCCTTACTAATTTCTTAGTAGCCCATGGTAGTTCTTAACCTTGTCCTATTAAGAATATCCTCAATTCCCGTCTAGTTCCAATTATCTCCTCTGTTATAATGTTTTTCCTGAGCGCTGGTTGCACCGTTTGGTTCACTTTTCAATTTCTAAATACATTTCTTTTTACTATACCTAATTTTCCACTATTTTGTATATTTCTTATTTATTTTATATCCTAATTTTTTATTCGTTAACTTTGTTATTACAATATGTAATTGCTGAGCTTTCATATTATTCTTAATAAAGGCTAATAAAAGTTTAAAAAATAATTATAAATTATAATTTATAACAATGACAAATATGTCATTAAAATAGTTTTAGTTCTGTCCGATTGCGATAGAACTAAAACTAAAACTAATTTAATCTCATAGGTATTTGTTTATTTTGCTGTTAACTACTTGGGATGACGGTCGTCGGTACTGTATTACAAATTGTATAATTTTGTTTTAAATAAGTTTTTTATTATAAATGTAAAAAATCTTTCCCGTTCATCATTTCATTTTATTGTTTTAAAAACACAAGCTTTTTTTTGTAAGGTATAAATTATTAAAAAGTAAATAAAATAATATTTATAAAGCTGCGTTATTAAAATTAAATATTTTAACTAATAAGTAATACATTTCTTATTCATATTATCGGTAGACTCTTGCAAACATTGTTGGGTTATATTTTTTATTACTCATACTGTGCACTTTGTGGTCAGGTCAGGTCAAGATTTATTTTAAACGTAACGGCGAGAATCGGGTACAATCTCACCTTATAACGTATTGAATAAATTGATGTACGTGTATTTCAATATTATAATAACGTACGTTTTGTACAGGCTAATGTTCAATGGAAATCCGACGTCGTGGTAAAAGGGAAAACAATGGCCAGCCAATGGAAACGCTGCAGCATGTCGACGGTGTTGAAGACGAGTCCTGGAAAAACCAAACATATTTTTCAACGTTAAAGACTACACTGGCGGCACTATGCGTATTGGTTTTACTTAACGGTTTTGTGTATTACATGGACAACCGTTTGCCAGAAGTCGAGCAATCCACCTCGGCCAACGGTTTCGACGCAAAACGCGCAATGTCCACGTTGGCCAAATTGTCGGATATAGGCGCCAGACCGGTGGGTAGCGATGAAAATGAGATTTTCGCCGTTAACGCGCTGACCGCGGAAATCGACAGTATCGCGCTGGACCAAGGCAACGCGAACGACGTTCAAGTGTTAAACCAACGGGTAAGCGGGTCGTATAGGAAAAAAAAGTTCGCCAACTGGTTGGATTATCGTAACCTGAAGAACGTCGTTGTGAAACTGAAACCCAAAGGCGGCGATAATATCGTCGAGGAGGCCGTGTTGTTGAATTGCCATTTCGACACGGTGCCCGCCACGGCCGGTGTCAGCGACGACGGTTTGCAGTGCGCCGTCATGATGGAACTCGTCCGGGTGTTGGCCAAGTGCAACGACTTGCGCAGGCCGATAATATTCCTGTTCAACGGCGGCGAAGAAATAGGCTTGCAAGCGTCGCACGGTTTCATCACCCAGCATCCGTGGTCAAAGCATGTAAAATATTTCATCAACCTCGAAGGTGCCGGGGCGGGCGGCAAGGAAATGATATTCCAGACGACCGAGTCGAATTCGTTTCTGGTGGACTTATATGCCCGCGCGGTGCCACGCCCGTACGGCAATGTAATAGGCGAAGAAATCTACCAGACGGAAGTGCTGCCGTCGGACACGGATTTCAGAATATTCAGATATTTCGGCAACTTGTCGGGTCTGGATTTGGCTCACTACAAAAACGGATATGTATACCACACCAAATACGACGACTTGAATCAAATCGAACCGGCGGTGCTGCAAAACACCGGAAATAACGTGTTGGCGCTGTGTAAAATATTCTCGTCGCACAACGGCACGACACAACCGAATGCTAAATATGTGTACTTCGATGTACTCGGCTTGTACATGTTCTCCTATACACAACAATCGGGAGTGCTGTACAATTGCACGGTTGCTGTGGTATCGTTCGTTTCTATAGTTTTGTCGTTGCGCCAATTGGCAAAAGGAATGAGTCCGAAGACGTACCGCTTATATTTGTTGACTGTCGTAGCAGGGCCGATTTGTACGTTTTTGCTTACCGTTTTATCCAGCGTCTTAGTGGCATATATTCTGGACGTGCTGGGACGTTCGATGAGCTGGTACAACAACAAGATCAATTTAATGGTCTATTTTGCAACTTCAACGTTAACCATATTGTTGCTTACGGTTTTATATCCTCGGAATAAAACGAGAACGCGCGCGGATTGGACTTTGTCGTTGTTCAACGGATATCAATTGTTTTGGACCATACTGTTGGTGATCACCACAATTTTGGGATTACGGTCTAGTTTCGCGTTGATGATAATAGTTTTGTTTCCAGCGGTGACCAATTGCATACTAGGTTTGTTGAGAATCCGCAAAAATCCTCACTTGTGGATGACTATTTATGTTGCATCGTTGCTTGTGCCCATAACGTATACGTTTTATATCACACAAATATTTTTATCATTTTCCATTCCAATTTCCGGACGGTTTGGATCAGATTTCAACATGGACTACATTATCGGCTTGCTCGTTTCAATATCGACTTTCGCCACTGTTGGATACATGTCGCCGGTAATCATGATGGTCAAAAAGCCTCGGTTGATCGTTTACGGTCTATGCGGTTTACTATTACTGTCGATAATCGTCATTGTGTCGCCATTGGGATTTCCTTACTCCGACGGCGTGATTATTAGTCCGAAGAACGAACGATTCAAACTGATGCACGTACAACAGACATTTTATAATTTCGAAAAACAGGTACGTCGTAACGGTTCCGGTTTTTTGGTGGAAAATTGGGATCGAAACTCCCGGTTTATATCGAAATACGTGCCAAAAATGACAGAAGCCGTTAACGTGGACTGCTCTAAAGAACTACTGTGTGGGCTGCCTCTCACCAAATCCTCACAACCGTCAAATAGTTGGATACCTTTTGCGCCATCGATGCCCTCCTTGAAAAGCAGTACACATGTTTCATTGAGCAACGAAAGTACTCGTAGCCGTCGAATGCAATTCAAACTCCTCGGACCGGAAATGATTAATGTGTACATCAGCCCCTATCCAGGTGTTAACCTGACAGCCTGGAGTTTCACCGATCAACCGGAAGTGTCCACTCAATGGGAAAATAATGACGTTTACGTGGTTAAGCATGCTAGTGGAACTAAAGATGAAGAATACAAATTTTGGTTGGAAATTCAAAGTGAATATGGTTTCAACGAAGCCACGGTCAATGTTACGGTATCCTTTGATTGGGTTGTATACAAAACTATGGCGCTTGACAACGAATTCAAAGAGTTCATAAATTCTTTTCCACCATGGTCCCATGTAACCTATTCTGTCTCCAGTGTTTACGCATTTGTTTATTGATTTAAAGTAAAATTATTGTAGATCTACCTATATAAGTACCTAATATTGCTCAATTTTAATTTTATAAATCGGTTGTACATTTTTGTATATTATATATATATATATAATTTTGTCATTCCTTATAAATATCTTCTTCTTGCCAGAAGAAGATATCTACAACAAATGAAAGTATATCTTTAAAGTTTATCATAAAAACCAAGTTGAAAACTGTAAACATGTAATTAATCATTATTTTTATTTATCAATACTTAATTGTTAATGTTATTAGTATCAACTAAAATATATGTATACCAATTATTCAAGATTAGGTCATTTTGTATACAATTTTATTGTTTTAATTTCAAGAAAACAATTATTGTTTCTTTAAAAAGTGAAAACAAAACGAAATGTTGTTAACAGTTATATAATTAATGTATACTAAAGTAAAATTTAATTTTTGCTATATTAATTAAAACAATGGATACGGATTTATACATTTTTATATGAAATTTTTACAATCGTGTTAATGTTTTTTTTATTGAATAGAAGTCTTAAACATTTTTGTGTTATTTTATTGCATGGATAATCATAAAAAACTTGCACTTAATTATTGTAAGCGTATTATTAAACGATCAAGAAAAATAATTTTTAGTTTTACTTAAAGAATATCTTTAGATATTTCTGACCTTTGGTGACGATTTATAATTTTAAATGGCTAAATACTTTTAATGTAGGTATGTACTATGTAAGTCGCTAAAATTTTGAAATTTGAATTACTCAATCAGATTACAATAATACTGTATAATATACACTTCTGCCAACTTAATTTTTAGAAATTATCACTAAATCAATTTATATCGCATAGAATAATATCATACTGCGAGTGCGAATTTGATAAAAAAAATTTAGAGATAAGAAAACCACGGTAAAATAAATTGGTATGTCGGAAACTTGTGATAACTACAAAATGGCTGCCTCTTTTTTCGGGTAGCTGTGTATTTCTTACGAAAGAAAACCGACTGCCATATTGTTAAATTGATAACACAAAATGCGGACATGCCTATTTATTTGATCACGACGAAATCCCAACTTGTCAAATGGCTTTAGCCGGTTCGCACACAAAATCACAATATTTTTTCAACAAAATGTAAATTAAAACGTATCATTAATAATAATTGATTTATAAAAAAAAAATGTCTACAAAATTAGTGCCAAAGTTGTTTAACTTGTTGAAAAATTCAAAATGTTCAACATGTTTTAAACGCCATGCTTCCAATAAAGTTCTATCTCAAGATTTAGATCCCTATAGTGAGTTCATAAATTTATTTATATTATAAAGTTGTTGTTATTAGAATGGTGTCTACTTTTTGCATACAGTGACACCTTACAGCAGTTCTCCAAACGATCAACAACGGCTGTACACGTGGGGTATGGCTGAACACGGCGCGTTAGGTGATTTGAGAATAAGGTCTAGAGAACGCAAAATTACATTCATATACCGACCAGTACGAATGAGATTCGCTTATTCTCATCAAGTAAGTACTTAAAAGTAATACTATGTATACAGGCTGTCCTAGAGAAAAACTTACTGTTACGTGTTTCAGATTAAAGATGTGGCTTGTGGATATGGCTTTACAGTGTACGCTGTAGAAAGTAAGGATCATAAACTTTTCGGATGTGGCCTTAACACGGACTCGCAAATAGGTAGCAAATAGATTTTATAAAAAAGTAATACCTGTGTCTATATTAATAATATTTGCTTTGTAATGAACTTGATTCTTAAAAACTCGCCTTGTAGGTTATCACGACCCACGCAGAGGCCACCCATTAGGAATGGTTTTAGCTAATGTGCCAATTCAAATACTATTTAAAAATTCAAACACGAGAATAAAAGCAGTCGCAGCTGGTCGTGCACACACACTGGTGTTAACCAATACTGAGGGTGTGTACGCACTAGGCAACAATTCCTACGGACAGTGTGGAAGAAATATTGTTGAAAATGAAGATTACAGTAAACTGAGAGAAGCAAACAATATTGTTTTACCTGAAGATATATCTAAGATAGTTTGCGGTCAAGATCACAGGTAATACCATCTGACCAGTGAAATCAGTAATTTGATTTTGAAATATATTAATGTTATGTATTGCTGCATTTTTCAAGTTTATTTTTGACTAAAACTGGAAAAGTTTACTCATGCGGTTGGAGTGCTGACGGTCAGACAGGATTGGGACATTATAAAAATGAATCTAGGCCGACTTTAGTTGAAGGTGACATCAAATGTGAAAATATTGTTAAAATAGTTTCTTCGGCTGACTGTGTTTTAGCATTAAATGGTAAAATTATAAAAAAAAATATTGTATTATGAAATAGTGCACAATTTTATAGTCTACAAAAAAACGTACATTATACATTTTAGATAAAGGTGAAGTGTTTGGTTGGGGAAATTCAGAATACGGTCAATTGTTTTTGAATAGCGATACATATCAAGTAAACACCCCTAGAGCATTATCTTTGAAAGACACAGTCGGCAAGGTCACTGATATTGGTGCATCTGGATCGGCGTGCATTGCACTAAATGGTAAACGATGTAGAATTTTTATTTTTACATTTTGTTTTTATTAAAATCTCAATTATTTGCGAATTACAGACGAAGGTACTGTTTTTGTTTGGGGCTTCGGTATTTTGGGTAAAGGTCCAGAATTCAAACAAAGTTCCGAACCCTCACCAATACCGCCAACATTGTTTGGTCGTAATCAGTTCAATCCTAACTCGACAGTCAAGTCTGTTTACGGAAGTTTATTTCACATGGCGGCAATAACAAACGAAGGAAATTTATATACGTGGGGTAAAAATAAATGGGGCCAACTCGGACTCGGACATGTCAAAGATCAGTATTTTCCTTTGAAAGTAATTAACTATTATGGCTGTGTAATCAGTAACACATTATATTCATGATAACCAAACGGAATAATGAAAAATATTTTATTTATAGGTATCGATAGGCGCCGTTGTTAAACGGGTGAGTTGTGGTGCTGATCATATGGCTGCACTATGTTTACCATACCAATAAATTGTTTAAAATGTAGATGTGTTTGTTTAAAAATATATTTTTATTGATATTTTCCATAACAATTAAATGTATTTATTTGTTTTATTCATTTTTTTTTCTATTTACTACCATGATTGATAGTGATTTTTCTTTCGATTCGTTAGAACAGTTAAATCCGATAAAGTCTAATTGTAATAACGTCACTGTGAAATGTGTTAAAGAGAAATTACCAAAAATCAGCCAAAATGAGAAGGAATGGTGCCAGGTTGAACAATTTTCGCTCAACGATCTCATGCCTGTACCGTTCTACTCTGGGCCTGTTTCGATAAATATTCTGAAGGATCTTAAATTGCTTGAAACTAAATGTTCAGACTCGTTAAGTAAAAAAACTCCTGAAAAACCTAGCAGACACAGATCGCTCGCTACTAAACCAAAAGTAAATCTGTTAACTAAACAATTATGTAATATTTGTGCACGGTAAAACTAAAGAAAAGTTGTGATTTGTTTTATCATCAATTTCTATAAAACCCATTCCCCTCTACACAAAACATTTTAGAGCATTATTTAATTTTTTCTGCAGAACAACATTAAAGAATTTAATTTGAAAAATATAAAAACGGTCAAATCGGTGGCAAGTTTTAAAACCGGCAATAATCAACAAGAAAACAGTAAAAACTCTAATAAAAAGAGTATATCTATCGAAGAAAGTAATTATAGGAAAAATGTAAGTACCTGACTACTAATAAAATATCTACAAAAAATATTTGTAGGAGTATTAAGACTGCAATAATTATAAATAGTAATAATTAATTTGTATCCCAATAAAATACCTTACTTGTATGATTTCTAACTTATAGACTAGCTACATGAAGACATCGGTTTCGATCAGAAGGGGTAAACTCTTAAAATATTTTTTTTAAATTTACATTGCACTAACTGATAGTCAACAAATCAGGAAGATAATAATTTTGACTTGATGTTTATTTAAATATATACCACAAAGGAATTCCTTTTTAAAACTTATCGTTGTACTTAAAAACAAAATCTACTTTCAATTTATGAAATAATAATTACCAAAATGTTTATTTGTGCGGTTATATTTGGCAAAGCCGCATTTTTACTGTTTAACTAATGGTTTAATGATAATATTTAAACTATGGCATTTTGCTATAGTCACTTTGTACTTCTCTTACTAATGTGATTATTATTCACAAAAATTACTTTTTTTCTAGGTAGGTACATTTTTTTAAATTTATATAAATAATTTGGTTTTTACATAGGTGCACTTAAGTATTTAATTTTTTCAATGTACCTATGTATGTATGTTTAGTTAGCAAGTTTGAAACGGCGTGAGCAGTACGGACAAAACGTCAATTTAAGAAACTGTTCAAAAAATTCTGAAAACAAACTAAAACAAGTTAGCCGCATACGTGTATACATAAAAGGTCGAGTTGTGCTTATCGAAGTAATAATATACTATTTATTATGTGGATTGTATTGCAGAAAAGAAACGCATACGCAGAACAAGTCTTACAGAAAATGTTATCAAGTTGTACAATACCAACAGCAGTCAAACGACACGGTTGTCATTCGAAATGTAAAGATAAATATGAATCGTATGTCCGATTAAAAAACAACGACAATGTCAAATTAGTCAAGAGCGATACGTATATTGTGTACAATAATGATTAATAGCCGCCAGTAGGTTAAGAGTAGTATAAAATTATGTCGGTCAGAATGGTATTTCGATTTTTTTTTTCTCAAGATTTTCGATAACAACATTGAACGCGTTGTCATTGTAATATCACGGAACAATTGTTGACCGTGGCAATATGTTTTTGTAAATCGAGTAGACGGTTTTTTTTTGTTAAAAATTTCAAATATATACAATATACATGTTATCATATCAAGACAACCGGCGGTACCTACATAATTATTGCGGGGGGGGGGGGGTTACCTATTTTGTCGATAACGGCAGCGAAATTAAACACGACGTTTATTTAAATCGTCACGATACAAACATGACTTTACTCAACGTTTTACTGCGGTTGTCTTTTACCACTAGGATTTTTTTCACCAACCCCTGACAGTGCAGTGCGTTCTTTTCCACATAAATCGAATTCACGTACAAGTCGGGCTCGTTGCTGTGGCGGGCTTTGTACAGTTTGTATTGGACGCGGTCCTCGTACTCGTAACCGCCGTTCATGCCGAACAAACACTTTAGGTAGTCCGCATAAGTCCGCTGGCAGAAAGTCATCTCGAACGAGTTGCTCATGAAAGACCCTTGTCTCCTGGGAATGTACACCTCGTAGCACAGCGCGTTCCGCAGTGCCCATTCGTTGTGCACGCTGCTGCAAGACCGTCCGACGGTGTCGTTGGGGATTTCGGTACTCGCTTCTGTTGCCATGGACCGCGAAAAGAAACAAAAATCAATTACCACAGCATTATCCTATTGGTGTAACATTGGTGTACATATTAATAATTGTATACCGACTCGCCGATCGCGTCCGTCACTCTCCGAGTGAAATATGTGTATAGAAATCGCGTAACACAATGATATTGTTATAGTGTGTTCGGCACTTGTCTTGACAACTGGCCCGCTTTTTGTAAACCAAAAACCGTCAAATCAGCTGTCCGAGCAAACATACTGGCCACGGTGTTTCGTGTTGTTCGTACCGCTCGTTTAATTTAAAACAAAATATAAAGCACAACATTACACGGCGTTATGTATAGGCAATTTTGATGCGTACAAGTACATTTCGAGCATGTTTCCGCCCGATGCGAACACTAGGCTATTTTTTTTAATCTGGATTTTCTCTCTAGGACGTCGGTCGTCGAGTTGTTTATAAAAAAAAAAAGCCCCTATAGCTTTTAAAACACAACGGGTTAATGGTTGGCTACTTAAACGTATTACAAAATATCTAGTTAGGTATGTTATTATATATTTTTTTTATGTCGATTTCAGAACAGGTCTCAGAACCAACATGGATTACTTAGTTTTTTTTTTTTATTCACAAAAAAATATGGAAAGGTCCAATTTACTGAACTGTATATTCGGTTGCCTATATCCAGGGGCATATGTACTGCACTACTGAAATAAAAATACAATTTAATATCAATGCAGGTTTACTTTAAACCATCGTGATACCTACTACTTGTATAAATGCTTATATTGTGTACAGTATTTTATAGGAAACTGTAGTAACCTATAGTAGTATCTAGTAACTAAGTTAGATCAGGTATCAGAATTATTTTAGTAAACCTGCATTGCTATTAAATTTAATTGGATTTTCTTACCGCATTAGTTAAGACCCAACACCAGCGTTCGTCATTTAATTTACAACGAAAAAGTTGCCAACCGATCTGTTTTTTTACCAACATTAGGGTGGCGCAAAAAAAAAAATATATATATATTTTTTTTTTCGCTCACCCCTAAAAATTAATCTTTATAGTAAATAAATAAGTTTATCAAAATTTGGGGTCATTCGGTAAAGTTTAACAGGTCGCTCAACGCGGTTTAATATAAATTTTAGGCATTTTTCATTAATTTGCACAATTAAGCTATTGTCCCTTAACAATATCTATATAATAAACTTGTAAATTTAGTAATATTGTAAAAATGCCAAAAGTATTAAAACAATTTAATGAATAAAAAAAAACTATATAAGTAGTAAGCACTTTAGCACAAACCATAATTGAAATAATGAAATTATTATTAGTTAAAAAATGTTCAATAATAATGTATCAAATGTCGATATCGATATTACTTACAGAGTAAATTCCAAATTTGATACATTATTATTTACTCGATTACTTTGTAAATAGTAAAAACACAAAATCAATAATATCTAATTAAATAAATATATAAACGACATAATAATAGTAATTATAATAATAACAGCATCTGCTTTGTTTTCATTGTATTCGTCACATCATCTTCGTGCCACCTAAAAATATAAAAATACAATAATATTAATAAAGACTAAAGATTAACATGAAATTGAATATTATTTAACCCAAATTATTGAGGCTGTTGAATAAAAAAAAATTGCTATTTTGTGGATTGTTAAACATTTTAAGTTTTACTTAAAAAAGTTTTTACTTTTTTAATATCTATATAAATGCCACATAAACGTTTTTATTAAACTATTACTTTTTCGTTTAAAATAGTTTTATATTTACAATAAAATTCAAATGAAACAACTTTTGTTCTATTGAATATTTTTAAGATTTTGTTTTTAAAAATAATTTATACTCATATAAGCACCACGGTTTTTATCGCACTTTGCTGTTACTTTTTTAAATACATTTTTTTTTTGTTTTTATTTTCAAGATAGCCATTTTTATTTAGAATAGTTTTTAAAAAAGAATTAGTGAACAAAAATTGTATTTTTATTCATACATTAAAAAGTTATACTCATTTGAATTTGATGAAAATTTGAATATTTACGTTATGTTCGATTTTGGTTAATTTCATGAAATTGACAAAAATAAGTCACTATGAAACTTTTCCTATAAGCTCTGAAAAAAAAAATCTTCATACTAAAAATATTATTTAAGTGTAATTTTTGTGGGTAAATTTTTAATTTCAAAGGCTTACACAAATGAAGACTGTGATGATGTAGAAACTTTCACTTTTGAAAGAGGTTGAAAATGTTGTTGTTTTATATATTTTCGTGTAATATTTTATGGCGTCGTGCAGAATGCAAATTCTAGTATTTGTGGATGTTCAAGAAAGAGAGCTTCGAAGTTGTTGGGTGTAATAATACACCTCTAATGGTGAGAGATAGAATGAACGAGTATGATATTTTTCGTAGAACAGATTCAATAGAACTCATTAACTCAGTTATACTTTTATTTAATCGTCATTTAAAAGGTATAGTGTGTTTTAATACCAGACCTCGAGTGTATTAAACTTTTAATATTTACTTGGCCGTAAAAATATGTATTTGGTCAAGATCAGGAAAAAAAAGACTGACTAAAACCTTTTGGTTTATTTGAAAATATATTACTACACACACACACACACTGATATTCTAAATAAGGAAAACAAGTAAGGAGCAAAGGATCGGACTGTGTTAATTTTGGACATCTCATGTTAGTGGGGATTCCGAGTATTCGAATACGTATTTTATTATTATAAAAAATAGTTGTATAATAATTAATACTTATACAACTATTTATTTAACTATAAATAATAATATAATTAGTACCAAAGAAACAATATTTTGTACTTTTATATGTAGTTCAATCGTGGTTATAATATTATTATTTATTAAATAACATACAACAAACGTAAGCAAATCATAAAATAGCTATTTTATTAACATATAAAATAAAAAAATTTAAAAATACAGCAAAAGATTCTTGAACTCCTACAACAAACAAGTGAACAATACAAACAATTCAGTCTATTAACATTTACGACTATTATTACGTTAAGTAGACGAGTACTTTATCATCACAATTGTCATTAAGTACTTATAATTAAGTTACTGATACCTACGTTTTTAGTGACTTAACGCTAGTATAAGTACTATAAGTAAATTAATAATCAACACAAGGAACAGTTATTATTATTATTATTATGTACACAAAGCATGTGTACGTACAAATTTTTTATGGTACTGACCACAAAAGCTTTAATACAAATATAATGGATCATATTTGTATCAACAAGTAAAAATTGTTGCAAAAAAAAAAATATCAAGTGCTGTGTGATGCAAATATTGGATGTTTGGTTGATTGCTCTCATATCAAACACAAAACAAAATTGTTTAACATTTAAATTATCTTTCAAAATTGAAAAAAAAAAAATTGATTGAGCAATCAAGCATGCGATTTAGTATAAATTTTTTTTAAAAAATTGTTTAAACTTATGTATACATATACTTATTTGTATATTTTACTTCAATGTATAACTAATAATAACAAGACGTAACATTATATATATATATATATATATAAATAAAATAAAACAAAAAAGCATCGCTATAACATTATTATTATTATTATTATCATTGTCAAGGTGCAAAATGAGACGTGTGTGTGTTTTACAATTCATCGCCATTTCATTTGGTATTAATTTTTGTAATAATAATGTGTATTTTATTATCGTCAACATTGATAATCCACTCGGCCGACATTTATTAACATTTATTCTATGTAATTCATAAGCAATACGATTGTTGCCTACTCAACACATTCATCATCTATATTTCAGTTAGTCAATATGAAAATGACCAACTATCAACATTGACCGCAAACATATACATCATGTACTAAGCTTTTTTGTTAGAAACTCGTAAAAAATAATACATTATCTCAAGTGACTATTTAACGACGGAGGTGTTCAATAATAATTATAAGAAACCGGATTTTTTATTCTTCTCCGAATCTGAGTACATCATGTTCAGTTCGACCGATCCATAGCTCTGAAAAATAATCATCGACTCGTTATTAACAATAATAATTTTAACTAAGTCGGTAAACTTAGCAAAACTATAAATTAGTTAAATAAAAAAATTCAAAAATACAATACAGCTCAATTACATACAAAAGCAAAAAATACAAATCTAATAGCGTTAAAAAAATACAAAGACGTTATATTCCATACTAGTACAAATAAAATCTTTCAGTTTTATGCAGGAGCGGACCCTTATTTTAAGTAAACATTTATTTGATACAGTAAATACAAACTTTTTTCACATAAGTATAGTTTGACACCCTTAATAAAGTGTCTTTAATGAGATAATGAGTCAATACTCATTATCTCCAAATGATTTATTTGTTATTTAAATAAAAGATGTCCAGGATGGCTCTGTAGGTATTTTGACAGTAAAATATTTTCTAAATAATATTATTACAATATCATTATTATGTTCAAAGTTCAAGTTTTATCTTAAGACGAAAGACGTATGGAGAAATCTCTTTACGGATGTTATTATTCATTACAAGTTCTGGTACAATGTAACGGTGTTTGTTAATGTTACAAAAAAAAAGGTGTACATGAGAATATTATAATCAAACATAATTGTAGACGGGAATAAAAATATATAAAAAAAAAACTAATGCCGTTTTTGTATTTGAATTAAAATGATAAAAATAATTTAACGCTACCAATGTGGACTATAAAAGAATAACTATAAATATAACTACAAGCATTCTTTTGTAAATTAATTTTAAGATACAGTTATAACCTTTGAACTGGACTAAACCTCTCATGCCAGCTGTGGAAACTGCCCTGGTGTCTAAACGTCTGACCATGCTGCCAAAAAGATATCCAAAAAAAGCATTATACAATATGAAAGAAAAAAATGATTTTCCCATATTATGTTTAAATTGGATATTAATTCAGATAGTTGGATATTGTACTTAACAGTTGATAAATTACAGAAGTAAATATAAACACTACAAATTATAATATGTTAATCACTGAAATGCTAATTTAAAGGTTCTAAAAAAAAAAAGTGACTGGAAACATTTTCATGTACCTTCATGATTGTAACGACTAACATTATACTAAACCTCTAATGCTAAAACTTCTATCAATAAATATTTAATTTTTTTTTCCAATACTTAAACTGTATTTGTATTAAATACGTTCAATATAACATAAAACGCTAAATAAATAATTAACAAAACAACAATAATTAATATTAACAAAGGTATTATGTGCAACGTACATACACACCGTCGGCCTAATTAATAGCAGTTACAACAATTTCATCGAGGATACAATTTTAGGAATCGCAGTAATGCCTTTTTAAAAATTAACAAGTTTTATTTTTCTCTTATTTGTCAAAAATTGTGGTGACTAATTTACGACTTTTAAGTATCAGGCCGACAACATATTATTACATCATAAACTAACTATTTGGTATTTTTACCGATATTAAAACGAAAAAGCTACTCACTCGAATTGTCGGACTGCCGTTTTCATTGTTTAATAAATCTGAATCCCAATCTTCTTCTTCGTTGGCGTCGAACGAATAGAAAGGGATCAATGAATGTCTCAACCGATCGAGTCTCCTTTTCCTTTGGATAGCGATTAACACCTAAAAGCACAAGTAAATGTTGATGATTTAAAATCATACAAAAATAAGAGTTTTTGTCACACTCACAACGAGAAAGACTAGAAAAAATATTACTACGATGATTATCACAGTCAGAAGATTGAACGGCATGGGCGGATGCGGAATGGCGGATGATTTTATAGCCGTCGGAACTGTAGATCTTACGTTATGTGCATCTGTCAAGTTGGCGACATGCTGAATCATGTCATGATGCACCATCTAAAGCAAATGGAACACATTGACTTCAAATCCTAATACTTGTTTAGCGCTAACATATAATAATATACATTGTACGGTGATGAAATTACGCAAACCGATGACCCATTCGAGCGAGAACGTAGTGTGGCATTTCACTAGAGCCCATATAAGAAACACATCAAATAAGAAGCTATTATTAAGAAGCCTTTATTATAAATACAAAACAAGATAAAAATGTTTTCAAAAAGATGCAATAATATTTTTGGTATACAATTAACAAATGGTAAAGCTACATTATTAAAATTGTAAAACTAAACTACACTTAAAATTTTTAAAGGTCCAAGTCCAAACGTACTGCGATGTACATAACAATGGTAAGGAAAAAAAAGTTGATTGTTACATCAATAGGTATATTGTAATTTATTCGATTAAACAGTTCAATAATTTCAGGCCTATCTTGGTTTTTATCATAATAATGCACAATAATATCAATAGTGTACAAAGAGCCGAATATACCAATAATAATATTATGATAACACTACATAATGATGTAACCACTGTTTTGGTCGTTTAGAACAACAAAACCTACCTAGATGGCGTTATAACATCCGTTTAACTTGGAAAATACATATTATTTTGTTTTAAAAATATATTTTGTAAAAATTCTTATTTCAAAAACTTTTTAAATGCATTTCAACCAAGTTTTAAGTAATTATATAAATAAAATAAAAAAATATATATATATATACATATATTCTAATTAGGTAGTCGTTCTTATTTTGAGTAATTTTTAATTATAATATTGGCATATTTTTTTCAGCATATTAGTGACACATAATATAGTGATACAAATATATCTTGTCATGTACATATCTAAACATTCTGCAAGTAATTAAAGTGTTTGTCTTTAATTGTTTGTTTCTATAAACTATTAAAAAGAGTATTGTAACTGTTGGTCCAATCATGGTTTATGGAACCAATTAAGTTTTGTGCAAACCAGCATGAGAACGAATAAAGGTTGTATGTCATTGTAATTATTGTTCAGGAGAGGGAAAACATAAAACAAACCACTTTTTTTATTAACACATTTAGTATACATTGGCATAAAATTAAATGTCTGATGTTTTTGAGCACTTAGTATTTACGGGCTGTGTTTATCTGAGGGGTTGATAAAATGGTAAAAATTAAAAAAATATATGTAAGAAGAAAAAATAAATACTTTGCATCGAACCTTTTTTTTAGTTTATCTCGCCATATATTAGGTAAGAGATACCGTTGTCTGATCAAAATATGAGCTAAAAAAAATAAGTAAAAAGTAGTTAAAAAAACGACTTTTTTGTCAATATAATATGTATATATATATAATATATGGCAATTCCTAAATATATACCACTTAATAAATATTTTGCCGATTATAAGCAATATATTTACATACTTAAACTACTCAAGGCGGACAGAGGTTAAACAAATATACACAAATATTGTTTTTTATTTTCATCCTTGTTCGTTCTTGATTTACTCGTCTGACTGGAAATTAATTGTTGTGGATTTGAAAAAAATTAGCATATTGTGCCCTTGAACCAAACACTTGAGGCCTACAGAATACAAATCGTCTAGAGAAACAAAAACAAATGACTAATTTCAATTAAATAAATGTGTTTCGCAGGACTAATAATTAAAAAAGATTTATTGCTCTTCGATCACACACGAATGTCGTAAGTCGTTGGATAGGTTAGTTTTCATCATATTGGACATGAGTTTTTTGTTTTTAATTAAACATATAATGCTGTGTTTTGAGCGTTTGATTTTGCAATAAGCTATTATATTTTGTTAATGCACAACCGTATTGGCATTGTGATGTTGGTATAAGATTAAATTTTAAAAAAATACTAGGAACTAACATATTATATTATTTATTACATTACATCGTGTGATGAATAATCTGTACGATTTCACCCGGTTTCCTGCTATTCCGGAAAAAAAACTTGAAATAATTTATAATATTATAAATTATATTACTCGATAAATTAATCTTTACACAAGCTCATAGCATACTTAAGATTGTAATTTTCGTTTGTTTCAGTTTGATTTTACCCTTCAAATTTATCAATATGTATTTTATAAAAAAGAAAACTGTATACAATGTACTGAATAGTAAAACTGTGTCCAATTGGCAACTCGCTTGGTGAGCAGTCCATATTTATATTTGAATAAAGTTGTTTATACACGTAGAACAAATATAGAATATATTTAAAAAGAAAATTAGTTGTACAATAGTAGGCATTACAAATTGATAATTTTTCAAAAAAATTCCAACTCGAAAACTAATGACATTTTTTTCAATTTGAAATTTTTCATATTTCGGCTGAATCTTTTTTACGAAAAAAATTTGACTATAGTTTTTAAACTTCAAGTTGGAGTTTATCCATCGGAAAATTAAGAAAAATGCTCGAGCAAGTACACACACCCGCTCAAGTTGTGGACGTGAAATTTTAAAGGATTTCTCAATCGAATGGGCCGGTATCCGTTGTAGGGGGTAGGGTTGGCGGGGGGGGGGTAAGTAATTTTTTTTTTTTTTTTTTAGACCAAGTCAGAAGTCAGAATACACGAGCAAAAAACGTGCGGTTATCATCACAATATTATACACACATACATTGTTATACCTACAAAACGCGCGGTCGCGGTCCCCCTCTTCTCCCCCCATTACCCTACTCTCCTCGTGGGTCAACGTTGCAATGCGTTTCCCATATGTGTATCGTTGCTCTGCCGGTCTACCACTCGTGAGCGCCAGTTTTAAACGTCCGGCCGCCGTCAACCGCAGAGCACTCGCCTTGTTATACACCCATGTGACAGGTGGTACGACGTGTATGCGAATTCCGTTTTGTTTATTATTATTAAAAAAACCAAAAAAAAAAACAATAGAACGACGTCTTGCGAATATATTTTGATAACGTTTACTTTTTTTTTTTTGATAATTCTGATTTCCAAGACATTTCGCGGTCACCACCGGGGCACGGGTTCGACGCCGTTACCGTACCGTAACAATAGTAAGAAAAACCAAGCATAGTACAATAATTGTATTTTGTAATACCAAAATCGAAGGGGTGAGTGGATAAAGGTGTGTGTGTGTGTTAGACGTTAGCGCAGACTGAACGCTTGACATTTTTCGGTTTTGATTGTTATACTATGATATTTTTTTGCTAAATAATTGTGTAACACATGCCCGAACGACACCTTTTGTTTCTAAAACTGTTTTACAAAAAAAAAGAAAAAACTGTCTCTTACACCATTATCCACTCGCCCTTTTAATTATGTTTAAGTAATTATCGTTGAAAACAGTAAAAAATTCTTAAAAACAAAAAAAAAAAACAGTGTAGTTATATATTATGTAGGATGTTCTAGGTATTTTTTTTTTTTTATAAATAAGTAATGTAACGTGTGGGTAGACTTTAATTTTTAGGCGCTAAAAAAGCAATGCGAGGGTGAGTGCGTAGGACACAATATTTACACGGCATTAAGACGCGTTAACGGTATACCTACTATAATAACATATTAATGGAAAACTCGATAATTTGAACTTTGTGTTTATACTATTGTCATGCCAAAGGCAATAATGTAAATAAGCTGTTGTGCGCGCAATTCTGTTGTTTTTTATTTTATTTTTACAACGTGTCCAACGCCAACAAAATATTTCGTGTAGACATTTATTTAAAATGGCAATCGATTGCGTACTACGACGACGATGAGTTTTTGCTCGATTGAGTAATGTTTCGTTTTTTATGTTCAACCCTTTTTTTTTTTTTAATTTTGCAATAATCTGTGTCCTTGACAGGGTCGGGGGGGGGGAGAAGGATAATTTTCTTAGGCACCCTTTTGGTTTACCGGGTGCTCGTTTCAACAGAGACACATGCAACGAACGATTGTATTTTATTAGCTGTTGATAATAAAAATGTATAAACTGAAAAACACTGGTGGCTGCATGCATAATAATAAATCCATTTTTTTTTATGGTGTAGCGTCCAAAGCGTGCATTCGTTAAGCGAGAATGGGTGAACTTAATCCGACCCTATGTTTTGGTCACATCGAAAGATTATTGGAAAAAACGATCATTACCGTTGTATGCGATCGGTGGCTACGTTTTAATCCCTATTGTAAAACCATTACACTTCTCAGTGGCGCGTTGGAGCTAGAAAAAAATAATTTAAATACACAAGATAGTTAGATACAGAACGACAAGGACAAGATACAGCAACGATTTTTACACAAAAAGCAAACGTGATTAATCGTTTTTACTTTAATGAGCTTAAACACACTTGATGTTTTTTTCACCTACCTTGAGAAAGGCTCCGGTCAGGTTTTAAGATGGTGTGTTTTTTAGATATTTTTTTTATTTTACTATCCAGTGTAAAAATACACATTTTAATGACCGTCAAAGAAGCGCACCGTTTTACAGGGAAAAACAGTGATCGCGAGCTGAGTAGTTCACAATAACGGTCTGTGAACTTGTCAACGACGACTTGTGTAGTTCTTATAACGCAGTAATCGATAATAGTATTATTCAATCGATCAATCATAACTTTTAACATTCAAACGGGTTTTTAAATGTAACCTATAATATCAATTACTTCGTGACAATATTGTTATTTTTTTTTTTTTTTTATTGCATAATATTAACGTCCAAGTAGGTACACAGCTATTGTTGAACAAACAACGTTTATTAAACGATTTAAAAGAAATGTTCTCTTAATTATTTAAGCGCATAAAATAGTCGTACCTGTATAATAATAATTAGTCAAATCACGCGAAACATTTAAAGGGGCTGTTCGGGGGGTTTATGGCGTTTAATGGTTATTAACATGCAATTGAAATTGAACGCAGAGAAAATATTAGTAATGTACATATTAATTGGTGCGGTCTACACGCCAGCGTGAAAAGTCAAAACCCTAAGTATTAAATACCCAATGTCCCCAATACTACTTGGGTTTATATATAAGTAGGCACAATAATGCGCTACTATCACTAATGGGTAAAACATGTTTTTCGTCAAACACAGATGATGGATGATAGTACAGCGGATGATGCATTGTTGTGAATACATTTGAACTGTAGCACTCTGAATAAATGCAACTTAAGAAAACTTTTTATCTAACAAACGAGCGCTTATGTAAAGTATTTACAGTGTGTGTATAATATTTTATACATTATTCATACACTAAATTGTGTTATTTTTTTGGAAATCTTCAATTTTATCGGTAGTGTGGTTTCAGCACCAGGACGGTTCATACTTGTATAATGCTGACTTGGGGGCACTTTTAAAATAAATATAGTTTTCAAAAAGTAATCTTATCTTTCGGAATCCTCTTTTGTTTTATTTCTCTTTTACTCGGCTGGATTTTATTACATTTCATTAACCCCCACCGAAAAAAAAAAAGAAAAATACCCGCAACCCCCTTAGATTTAGTACTTTAAACAAAAGTAATAAGTATTAAAAGTTTTAACGATAATTTGTATCGCAAGACAAGACGTCGCGTTATCAGCAAACGAGGTAAAATAAATTACATTTTAAAACTCTAGTGCAACAGTGTGTAAATGTTTGGTAAAAACACAGTAAACAGAGAAAAAAAATGAGTGCAAAAACACTGAAATTCGTACATGCGAGAAACTTATAAAAAGAGAGTAGGTAAGGATAGAATAGCCGTATTTAAAGTATAGAAGTTAAAAACTTTTTTTTAAAGTTAAGATCGACGAAGAAAGATTTCTTTTTGGAATTATTGTATTTTTTTTTTTTGTACATAAAAATACAATGACTTTTCTTTGTGTGTTAACCATATATTTTACATTAACCAATAATTAAAGGCTGACCGATTTAATGATTTGTGTACTGTAAAATAATTGTGTACAACAGTGCAAATTTGAATGCAATTTTTGTAATTTATTTTATAAAAATAACGGCATTTACATATTTTTGTCCCATTGGTTACAATCACACCGCTAGTGGTACCGGATATCTATCTAGCAGTTCTAGCTATTGCACCTGTGTACGGTGTATAAAACACCAATGTTGACCATTTCTCAAGGGTTGATTTTTTTTCTCTTATTGTTGGACAATAACTAGTACTATTATCCTATCCTATTGAATGTCATAAATTACCCATAAAACAGGCGCATATATAATTATTATCGTCTCATCCGGGTCGCGTTCAGCGGGTAGGTACACGTTACCGTTGTTAGTCCCGGCATTTACCGTCCAGGGCCATCCGGAACCGGGACAAACACGAACACGAAGGAGAGGTTAATGTCTTGCCCCGTTCCCACACCTCTTCTTCGGTCTTTTCAAAGGCAGCGACAAAGGCATAGCTGCCGCTCGTTCCGGATGATAACCATCGTCGACGATGACGACCACCACCACCACCACCACCGCCACCAACCACCACTTCGATGGACCTTCGTGCCGAAAGAACTTACACAGCGGACATAATACCTATACAGCGCACTATGACCCGCCTATGACTGTAATAATATTATAATATCCACCGCAGCATTGAAATATCGATCCCGGTCGGCTACACCGGACATTACATAGCCGGTGTAGCCGTTTCTGTGCTCTACGTAGTCATCATTGACATCATCACCTCAACAATAACGTTATTCGACCGACTTCGGTACTTACAACTGCCCGAACATGACGCGCCTATGCCTATAGTTTGTGTAATGACTGGTGTATGAGCTGGACCACTACTCTTCCTATTGTACCTAAAATAAGTTTCCAAATGGCACCTTACCCATAATAAAGTGTGATAAGATACCGCAAGTTGTGATTATAATCACTTTTACAGTTATCGACCTATTTAAATTCATGTATTTTAATTAACTTGTTGTGTCCAATATAGTTTAAAATCTCTTAATTTCAAAAACGATAATGGACAGGGGAACGTTATTCCGGGAACGTCCCTGAAAATTAACCTCGGGTACGGTAACTTAAGTAGGCAAGTCATACTTTTTTTTTCAGGCAGTAGTTTTTGGGCTTAGAGTCGAAAAATTTAGTGCGTCCCTATAATTAATATTATAGCTACATATAATGGCTATGCAGCGATATTATACTGATGTGTAATAATTTTTATCATCTACAGATTCGCAAGGAAGCGTTTTTTTTTTCACCGCTCAGTTATGAGTGCTGGCTTATATGATATTAATAATAACAAAATAAAAAAATATTTAGAATTAAAAAAAACGTCATATTATTATGACAATAAAGGAGATAATTTTCCATTTAGTATTTTTTTTTTTTTTAGAATTTCGTCAGTAAAAATACAAATATTATTATCGGCTGCGATTATTTGACACGGTTCATTGGATTTTTAAAAAACTACCGTGTCACACTGAGTTTCTGAGAAAAATTGCCCATGTTATATTATCACTTCTTCACCCTAAACCTATAGGTCGCGTGACGTGACTTTACAGAATTATTTGTCGTCGCTACGGTAACCGCGTTCGCACGTGCTTGCGCACAGAATAATTTATTGTAATATCCAACACACAACTTGGGCGATTTTGGGAAATATATTTTGCCCCAAACGAACAAATTCTCAATTTGATTTTCATCAGGTCCGAATTGTCCATTACGATTGAGTATCTTAAACTTAAATCGTGTGCTAGCTTAACAACAACTGCTGTGCGTGTTAGTCAAGTTTAGCGTATAAAATTGGTCTAAAACCAAATAGAGCTAAATGAGTTGAGGCGATATTCTTTTTTTTTAATCTTTTATTTTTCTCTTCCGCTATGTGTTTTAATCAACGTATATTTATACTGGTAGGTGGGAGTATAAGAAAGTCGAGGACAATTCACAAACTACTACTGCGATTTCTGTCTATACATTTATATATATTTTTACTTTACTTTACTGCTACAATGAATACAATATTCGTAACACGTGTTTGCAGCTATTGCGAGCGTGAAAGTACTTCATGTCATATTGTGACTCGCGTTACGCACAAACGATATAGTATCTACCAAAAGAAAATGACAAAAGAACATATACTATTACAATATATGTACATTGCCTAGGGTGCTGTACGGCGGAGGTAGATAATTATCCATTTGCATTGCATTAATCACCCCTAAGTAGTACTGTTTGTGTCCAAAGGAATGAAAACAAAAGATAGTGCGGTTCTAACATTGCGATAATAACTATTTTTCTTGTGCATTTTACGCAAGGCTTAATGGTACTCAAGCACGTCAACGTTTTATTCCCACTCGCAGCAAACGACTATAACAAAATAAGAAAAAATCCCTTGCCGGACAACAGAACATTTTGCTAGGGTTTGGTTTTTTGAAATGCAAAATGTAAAAGATTTGTATGGTCACATCTGGGGACGATCACATGTGTGTCGATGATTGTTCACTGCCATATGGAGCTTCTGCGATGTCATTTGTCTTCGACAAAGTAATAACAATAATGATATTACTCGAGAATTAACTATGTCTAATGGTAAAATGAATTACGATCAAGATTACGTTTAGATACCTATTATTGAGCAGTCATTCGACCGAAAACGGTTATTAATATACCGACAGTTTAACCGCAGTTATGATAATAGCCAATCCCGTCGGTAGCCGAAGCCAATGAACTGGAAATGAGAATTATTATATTGCTTGAAAACGGGCCGAATTCGGATTTATCGGGAAATGTTTATTTTTTGCGATTTTGTTTCAAATTGAATGTGAAGTTTTTTAGTATAGTACAATAATTATTAATCTGTGCTCGGTTTTAAACGAGTTAAGACAGAATTGTCCAAAAATGAGGTTTCAACTCATTTTAATCTATGTATTTTTTTTTTGATTCGGATTAATAACTTCTAAATTAAATAGGATTCAAATTAATACAATAAGGTCGAGTTATATATGTATATTTTTTTTTTTTAGCAAATAACGAAATGAGTTAAGATTTTACCTATTGTTTTTGAATTAATATTCCAACCATAAATGCGATAAATTAACTTACTCGATAATAAATGCCATCGAAACGGCACCATGAGTAAATTCGAAATTGTATAAAAAAAAATTTTTTTTTTTAAATGACGGTGTTTATGACGTGTAAAATTAATATTATACATACTATATTTTAATTTATTAAAGAATACACGAAATCAAAGGTCGTTTGTTTGAACTGTACGATTTTTTTTTTTCGTTGACTGTAGAAGAAAAATAAAAACGACAGATTATATTACCGCTGTATATAATATTGTGTTTTTTCAATGATTAGATAAATGCAGTGTTGGTTTAATGTGGCATCATTTTTTTTTTTTTACCCGTTTGTTTGGGTGAACACAACCGCGGTCTTATTGAACACAAGCGAAATAGCGTTTGCCGCCTGATAAAAAATTTAATAAATTAGTTGCATTCGGATTTCGTACACACATAATACATATTCATCGAATTACCATGTTTTTGCCCGTGTCGATAAATATACATCAGATGGGTCAATTCGTTTTGTGTCAACCGGTCAAATATTATTTAGTTGTCCTTGCCAAAATGTACGCAAAAGTGTTTTAAACATTTTTCCAAATCTTTGTCAATTAAAAGCGTTTTTTCAATATTATATCGTTATCCAATCGCTTTGCCTACAGTAGGAAAAGAAAATCGACTATAACACGGTAATAACGATGACGGGGGATTTCTATTATGAAAGTCGTAAATGACTTGGGAAATTTAATTTGCAGGGAAAAACAAGGATTCGCTATAATACCGACAATTTATTGGTCTCAAAAAGAAATTTTACCAGACCACGTTATTTAATAAATATTATTATTACAATTAATGTGCAAAAACCGTCGCCCGGCAAACTGCAGTTACAGTAATTCTCTCGGTATTATATTTATTTAAATCGTTTCAGATTAATACCATTACTATTGTTAAAAGGTACTATATACACGCCGTGTTTTGCGTACAATAACATTCGGCCATCAGGGCCAATTTATTTTCATTGGTTCAATTTGCGACGGACCGATTTTACAGACAAACAAGCACGCTTCAGAATACACAATCGCGAGTAGATAAATATATATAAACGAATAATATTATGCAAACGTTGTCCGTGGGTTTATAATATTGTTTTCATATTTTAAATTAATTTATTAATTTAAAAAGTAGTTTTGCCAAAAATCTGGCTATCTGGTAGTATTACACTTCGACAAATCTAATTTTATTTCTAAAATTACACTGGCCGTTTATAAAAATAATTAAAATATGAGCTAAAACTTAAAACTCAACAAAATCAATGTTTTATGGTTCAGTAAAAATACTTACGTCATGTTATCATACGAGTCCCTCTTATCACTAATCCCTTATGGTTTATATCTTATCAGTAATGATCCTAATCATTTCTTATCAGTAAAAGCAATTAAACTTACATTTTTTTTAGCGTCACATTAGATATCTTAAATATTTGATGTTAAACATAATATTTATAACATATTTCTATATTTTTTGTCAATTTATATTTACATACATAATGCATATGACATTTGAATACACATTTTTTATCATACTTAAAAAATGAATAAATAGTAATAAAACTAGTTTGGACTAAATGTTCTGTTGTGTAATTCAAACACAAAATTATTGTACTTAGAATTTCAGTAACACATATGAAAATTATTATTATTTTTATTAAATACGCTAAAACGCACTATTATGTTAGTATTGCCTTTATATTTGTTATTAATATTTAAACATTTTCTCTTATCTAATTATTTTTTTCACTGGTTTTAATATTATAGTTATAATGAAATATTATACCAAAAACGTGCCTAATCAATAAACGAAGAACGAGAAATAATCATAATATTAATAACCATAACGAATTAGTAAATAATATTATCCATTTTCATATGAATAACAAATGAACAACAACAACGGGGTGAATTGGTTAAGTGATAATATTAAAAATAATTAATACGAATTAAAACGATATTAACCATTTGATGATATTATAGCATTATTATGATATTATATAGCGCTATACATTCTTTTAAATAATTCCTTGAGTTGTTTTTGCCCCTAACAAAAAACATATTCAATGATAACAAAAAGCAATATGCCTTGAATTATTTTTCACTGAATTTTTTTGTCAACAATATGGTATAAAAATAAACAAAATTTTAAAACAACACATTTTTAATATTATTATTTTTTTCATATCAAGCATTTTCATGGCAGTTAAACGCTGCGGTGGATGATTATGATTAATGCATATTATTTCACACATCACCAAAGTGAGGCGCATAGCGTCAAAACAACTTAAGCCACAAAGTAAAATTAATTATCGGAGACGGGCAATTTTCGTTTATTTAAATATTTTTAAACTTTTTCTTATTTTAATTCAACGAAGGAATACGAGAAAATATTATTGTGTTTCGTAGTACGTTTCTCATAACATTTCTAAAAATACTACATGCCATAAATATGTATATACATACATTGTAAATATTACAACTGGGAGTTACGCGATAACAATGGATCGTCGATCCTTCTATAATGTGATCTATATAACGTCGTCCCATTATAATTTTATATATACTGTATAACACACATTGATATAGAAGTACAAATGGTTGGACGTGCGCTGCAGATGAAAATTCGATCCAACAATAAAATAGATGGGTAATAATAATACAATGTAGGTACCTATATTATATATTATTATGTATTTATATGTTATACACCATATGGTACATCACAAGAGTGACGAGGGTCTACGAACCGAACGCGGTGGTGTATCTATCTAATAACAATAAAATAATTAAATATTATACATTATACATTATTCGACGATATTGTGTTTTTCCGTCTCACATTATTGTTATTTTCCATTCGATTTTAGATCTATTGTGTAATATTGACAACGCCGTTTGACGCGTTAAACACATTTTCACGGTGTGTACATTGTATAAGTTTATGTTATTATAATGATAGATATTTTTCTATTATATATCTGTATATTGTCTTTGCGCCATTTCCGATTAAACGTCACGTCTCGGGTCTTCGAAACTAGATAATCGGAAAGAAAAAAAAATAAGAAGATTAAGTAAAACATTACTTATGCTATTTCCCTAATAATTCCCCAAAGCTTCCAAAAACTTGGGTGTGTGTGTGGTGTAGGCGAGAGTGCTTGTAAACTTCATCGCAACATTATTTATATTATAATGTTTATACACAATAATGTTTTTCTATGTCAAACGTCATCGGCCAGGTGTAAAAAGTAAACAAGTTTTAAGTGGCGCCACGCGAAAACTGTAATACGTTGTATATATATATATATATATATATATATGTATATTATATGTTTAAACGGTAATTAATAGTATTTTTTGTATTGTTAAAGGTCATAGACGAGTACGTCACAGGCAAACCATGATAACCGACGTGGAGTAAAACGTAATTATTATTATTATCTACATCAGATTATTTATTACTTTCGTCAAACAAAACAAAATTTACCTCCACAAACGGCTTATCAAAATATGTTGCTACTTAGGCGTGATGAGGTTCAATTGTTTGTCGGTCAAAAACCAAATAAATTTACCCGAGAAATGTTAACCAAAAGTGAATCCAAACTATATAATTAAAAACAGGGTTAAAATTTGAAATGTGATAAGTACTTTTATAGGTCAGTTGTGGTGGTAAAAATTGAACATTATATTTGTGACGGTTGCCCTTTCAAAAAAAAAACCAGTTTAATTACTTAATCAAGTGGTTTCTAGCAGGGGTGGGACTAGCTCCGTTAAACCGACCAATGGTGCTGCATTATTTCATAAAGAGCCCTAGAAAGTAGCCCTTTTTTTTTTGCTATATTATATTGTTTTTTAAAACATTATAATTAAATTTTTTATTTATTTTTGGGATATTATTTTAGTTATTTGAGCATGTATTTTAATATAGAAATATTTTACTACTTCACTGCTAATTTCCTAACAGCATGCACTTTAAGGAGTTGTATAATAGTTCAAGCAATATATTAATCACGTGTGGATGAGCTGCATAAATAAGTAAATCCTTTTTTTTTATTGACGAGAATTTTGCCCGTCCTTGTACAACAATATAGTAGGAATAGCGACGGCGGAGGCTCTGGCAGGGATTGTAAGCTTACTACATGTACCACAGTTTACAACTATATGAGAATATAATAAAGCTGCTAGGAAATAGGCTGTTGTTGTTATAATTTTTTTTTTTTGCACACGGTCCTGTTATTTTTTATAATAATGCCTAACTGCTTCCCCGTCGTAAGGTAATAAACGTTACAAGGAATATGCATAAGAATAAATACATGTAGACATGATCGTATAACATGATGGCCAGGTCCTTGGGGATAATAATGGTCTATGTATATATAAGGGTCACTAATAAAATCGCATAACAATAAGCGCTGTTATAAACATGATTATAACTTAAAATGTTTAAGACGTTATACATTTTTGAACCGATATATTATAGAGTCAATCCCGTATGACATATCTCAACATTTTAAACATATTAACAGGAAGTTATACCACCTATTTATTAAGGATTATTAAGAGTATTGACTACTGTACATTCAATTTGTTTTAAAATATTTAATTAAAAGCCTAAACCAAGTATGTATATTTTTTTGTGTTGTCACGCGGATTCTTTATTGGCAATTAAATTTTTATCAGATCATCACAGCGCTCTTGGCTACGTTTTTAACTATTTTTCTAACCTAAACATTGCAAAGCCCCCCGCTTTTACAACAAAATCTGAAACACATACAATTGTAAAGAAGGGATGCTTATATTAAAATGAGGCGACCTAAGCACACCCAAGCTCCCTCCAAAATTAAGCTTATGTGTATAATGTAGGTAGCTAAACATTTTAAGTCTCAAGTGAACTAATACTAAGACTATAACTTCGTTATAAAACATTTTGAAATTAATTTTAAATTAAAACCTAATGCAATTTTAAAGAGACGTGATCTTTTTACAATATATTAGTCATTATTTAGTTGAATACTTGAAAATTAAAAAAGGTTTTTATTATTTTTTTTTAAGTGATAATTTTTTTTTTCTAGAAAATATTTTGATAAAAAGGTTATGACGTTATCTACAAAATGTCGTTCAATCATTTTCATTTTAGAAGTTTTTCAGCGGAGTACCTACCATTAAATTAAAGCGTTTTCTTAATGCTTCTAATTGCCACGTGCGCAGTAAATAAATTTATATGTATATATATATATATATTGTATGGAATTTGATGGGTGTTACGAACCGTTATAATAATAATATATTGTATTGGCAGTTGTTCTTGCGAATTTTTAATTTTTAAATAGACAAGACACTCCGTCGGTGTCCAGAAAAGAGCGAGGTCGATTCTCTGAGAGAGACCGACCGGTGTGATTGTGTGGCTTAAGAGAATACAGTATAGTACGTTTTGTGCATTATTTCTTTTTTTCATTTATTTATAAACACGTTTGTCACAAATTGGATAACTACCAAAATGCCCACGTTTCGTTCAGTGGGCCGTCACGTTAAAGCGAACATCGGTCAGGAATAAACAAAGTTTACCACCAGTAGGTGTATTATAACTCAAGCATTGTTTCAAAGCGTCAAAAAAGTTTTTCTTCCTCAGTGTTGTTTCAGTTGCCGTTCGCTTGGGGAATTGGATAAAATATACCTTACCGTGTACTTCTCTTTCAATTAATAAATATTATTTTACCGAAAGTTGAAACTCTAATGACGTTATAAGGGCAGCTATTCTCAGAAATAACACAATATAATCAATACCTTAACTATACAACGACAAACAGTTCGACAGTTTAGTAGCATAAATAAAAAAAAATGAATTGACTAACCAGATTTGTTCGATACGATTGTAGAAATTAGTCATATAGCCGAAGATTATATTATTTCCATGTGAACGTATTATGAGGTTGATTAAAACCAAGGAACTATTTTTATTCGAATTTTATTCGAAATAATGAATTAATTAATTTAAATTCAATATCAAATATATAGTATTAATAAACGTCTATTTAGCATTTTTTTTTAATACGTCATACTCATATGACTTTTATCAAGTAACCTGCTATTTTATTAAATTGTTTAAATAAAAATTATTTAGACATTTGATCAAATAAAAATAAAATTGTACTTGATTTTTAGGTGTACACTAAAACAAAAATAAACAGTTTTCGTAGGTCAAAATTGCAATGATTCGTCGCTAAATAAATGTTAACAAAAATATATACGTTTGACCTTTAGATGCGTCAATAAATCAATATTGTCGTACATATTATTATGATAACTTAAAAGTAATTATTGATAATTATAATTTAACATTACTATTTGTCGAAAAAAAAAATTAATGTCACTTTTGCGATAAAAAAAAAACAAACAAACAACAGTAGTCCACACAAACACAAAAATTAGACAAGAATCATAATATCAATATAATATTTGTAATAGCACCTAACCGGGTTTGCTGTTGATTTGCAGCAACTCCAATGCCGGACTGGACCGTTTTGAAGGTTTTTTTTTTTTACTTTGTGTTGGCGACCGACTGATCAAAAGAAAAAACTCAAATAAAGGCCGGACGGTGCTATCGCCCGGTTTGCCTACATCGCTTGCAGATAAGACAGGACTCAAAGTACACCTGCGTTATGTAAAGTAAACTAACCATTGGCTATCGATCAAAATCTGATGCTTAATGGTCTTCTTTTTTTTCCCTCCTCTGTGTTCTTTTCGCCCAATGTTCAAAGTACACCACGTCGTACACGTTGTCGATTATAGCACACACACACACACATATACTTGTATACAAACCGACCGATCCACACACAGTGTTTGTGAGGCGGCTCAGAACGGTTATTGTTATATTTATTAAAAAAATTTCATTTACCGTAAACCGCTATGAAAAACAATAATAACAATATTGTCATCATCATCAGTCAGTGTACCGTAAAGACGTTTTACGGATGACCTAGTGTATTTAGTGTAATTTAATTAAATTTTTCTCATACTCGCTTTCCCGTTATTATTGCGAACGCGCACAAGACGATGCCAAAATTATTTTGGAGAAAACCTAGGGTGAGTACATTGGGAAATACAATCGAATAATATAATACATCAAGTTTCTCGTTGTGCAACCACATCAACAGGTGCGCCCATTTTGAAAGGGCGCCACACCAAAAAACAACCGAGAAGTTTGTTTTAGCGCATATTTACATAGGTACATAACATTGCGAATAAAGTTGTTATAAATTATTGTAAATAAGTTTGCCTACGTTTTTACATAGGTTTTTTTCGATAATGTTACTGTAGAAAACGAATTTTTTAAAAAAATTTCGATTAAATATAGAACTTTGTGTTGTTAAAAAGGGCAAATATAACGAGATAAACTCGTGATACTTTAGTGTGTACCTACATAATATTATGTAGGTGAATAAACCCTGTATAAGTTATGAAAGTTGAGCAAAAAATATTACTCTTTGCTATGTTGATACATGAGTTTACAAATTTTAGCTTCGCGTTAAGATTTATAAAACAATAACTTATACTTAGTCCTTAATAAATTGGGGATTTGACGCACTCTTTGCGCCTTATAGGTAAGTTTTGATTTTTTAGTTTGCGCTTTACAAAATGCAAGCGAAGCGCAATACCGAATTTTTATCATCCACGACTGATTATCTATTAATAACGCGAACTTGTACGTATTATTATTTCGTTAGTCTAAAATAGACTTTATTTAATCTATTGAGTATAAAAACGAAAGGGGGGGGGGGGTGGAGAGGGGAGAAAGAATAATCGTTTTATCTACCTGCGGCATAATAAACAATTACGACATTTCAAGAAAACCAATACCTACGTACAACCGATAAAGAAATGAACTGACTAAGACTACTAAGAAAATTTTTACACGCTTGTATTATTATTATTATTGTTTTCATTAGTACTATTTAATGAGATAAAGCAATAAAAGTCAACATTTAATTTCTAAGCCATAAAAAATGTACGAGGGCAAAGCTCCCTCTGTAGGTGGTTAGGTTAGATTTATTGTAAATAACATTTAATGTAACGTTTTACAATAATTGTTATGGCTGTTAGATGTGCAGTTGATTGCACTATATGTATACATAATCATAGCCTTTTCATGTGTTAAATTTACTGTGCATAATCGCACTATATAGTTATTACAAGGTTAATTATTGCGTGCGTGCGAATAGAATTAATATACCGAACGCCGAACGGAGAACCCCACGATAAGATTTGTTCAGGAAAAATATTAACAAAGAGTATCCCCGTATTATATTATATTATATATTTTTTGAAATTAATGTTGCGTTGTTGTTGTTGTTATTTTAAATATATTATAATAATATAAGAGTTTGAAAAAAATCACGCTTACCTACGCTGTATCGTTTGAATAACTGATTTAATCGTTTTTTTTTCTAAAATAGCAGCTTTATTTGCAGAGATGGAAATATTATATATTATTATCAATTATAAATTGATACGTTGATAAAAAAATAATATTACAACATCAATTTATTGTTACTTTTAAAAAGTGATGCGCATTACGTTAGTAAATTAGATACGTGCAGCACGTATCTAATATATACATCCAAATGTTGATGTTGATAAATTTAAGAAGTAACTTGTATTTATATCTAAAAAAAATTACTATCAATGTCCACTAGGGAGGATTAAAAATGTTCGCTTCTTGAACAGGTTGCATTACGATCTAAGAGGTGCCTTCATTGTGAATAATTAAATTTTTTACAAAATCTACAAAAAAATAATAAGTTAAGAGGGCGTCGCACCGCCTATTTTTAGGGTGTAAAGTATAGGCAATTTTTCACAAAATCTTAATTTAAAGGTTAAACTGTGATGTGTAATTATTAGTTCAATAACTAGGACTCTATTTTGGTAGTTAATTTATTTTTCAGCGATTAAAAAATGTTTTTTCATCTCTACATGTTTAAGAAGACTGAAAATAACTCGCATAATTTTGGTTTTAGAGTAAAAGCGCCCATTATAAAATTAAAAGAGAATAATATTCCGGAGGGCAAGACGGTGCGTTTTTTTTTCATTATTCCAAGTATAACGCTCAATACATCGTTTAGAAATAACGACTATTTTAACATTTTTAAATGACTGTAACTTTTCAAAAAATTATTTTTTTTTTTTTTAACGGGTGCTTTTACACTAAAACCAAAATTAAGCGAGTTATTTTCAGTCTGCTAAAACATGTTTTTACCACTGTAAATCACCGGTGCGACGCCCTCTTAAAAAAGACATATAAACTATTTTTGAAAGTTCAACAGTCTCGAGGCACCTCAAAACTTAAAAAAAAAGAAGTATAATTAGAGTACCTTATATTAAAATACAAAAGCAGCATTTGAATACATTATAATAATGAAATAAACATTTTTTTGAATTTTAAAATACATTCTACACAGGTAATCTTGAGTACACATTGACGAGGAGTCTTTATTGGTAGCTCTTTTTTTTTTTAACTAAACGACTATAGCGCCTACTCACTAGGTATAATTCTGTTCTGTCACTGTGTAATGGTAATAAAATCTTAACATTTTTATGACGCTTAAAAACAACATTAAAATACAACGTGAATTTTTTTTTAACCTTGATTCAATCATTTTTTATTAAATAAATGTTAAAAACATCGAAGCTTTAATACAAAACAAAACGGTTAGGTTAGGTTAGGTTACACTAATAAAGTTTCTGCACCACTCGGGTAAAATGACAAGAAAACCATTTACTTCATCCATATGCTCTTTACTGTTGTTTTTCTCCTTCGGCTTATCAAACGCCAATGGGCATTTGCCATTGTTTCTTTATTCACTCTACACATCTAAACCTTTAAATATTTCTACACTAATCTCTCGCACCGTTTTTACTGTTTCACTTTACTCACAACTTTCTGCACTGTACTCGACCATTTTAGCTGCTTTTGGCGCGATTCCCAAAAATCATTTTTTCTCACTTATTCCTATAGTTCTGACCAACCTAGGTCACGACCACCATCTCGACGTTCTCGTTTTAGCTACAACCATTCGTACCCTATTTATCGGTTTTATTCAACGCGTACATCATTGCATTTGATAATAATTTTCTATTCCAAGTTTGTGGCTATAAGTTATACCTAACCCTCTCGGCCAAGACCTAAATTCCAAAGTTCATAAAATAACGGTATACACAACAACTGCTAGACCTTAGTATATGTGTGTGTGTGTGATATTTACGGTTGTCTAATAGCGTTGCGTGTCCGTTGATGTAAACTTGTCGGTGTATTTCGTTCCATAAAATATTCATTGAAATACATCAACGTGGTGGTGCATATTTCCAAGTATACCGGTCGACCGCGGTTTTCTTGTAGAAATATTAAAAAAAAAAATAAAAAATAGGTACACTCGAGTCGATATCGTCTTACCTCGACAATCTTATCGCGTGAGTTGTATTTTCGGGTTCGAGTCGCAAGTATGATAATACAAAATATATATTAAGTATTATGTTATGTTTGTCAATTTTTCGTCGAACATGCCTACTTGAATTTGATAATAATTTTTGACAATCTGACTTTTATCATTATTATTAGTACTAAAAAACAACGTCTTCATATTAATTACAGAATTCGAGTTTTAATTGCTAAAACAAAGATAATCTTTTTAATGTATATTTTAAATAAAACTCGTATTACAATTATTGTACACGAATTAAGATCGATCATTATAATATCAGATTATAATTTGTCCAACGTCAAACAACACCCTTATTGTTATAGCCATAGTAGTTATTTTTTTTTTTAAATTGTTTTATGCCGTATAATATGTACGAAGATGGTTGCTAGGGATATAAATTATTATTATTACACTTATTATTTTTTGTTTTATTAAAATATTTGTATAATTCTGTCAAAAATTGTTTTCAACAATGGTACCTAACTTGTTTACATGTTGATAAACTTTCTTATGGCCTTTGTTCCGGACTACAATTTTACCAAGTTCATTGTTCATCATAAGTTTTAAATTTTGTGTCGTAGATTTAGAGTGCATTAGAAAACAAATTGTAACCGAACTTAACCGTGTATTATACGTTGTAAAAAAAGTAAAGGATAAATTCGTTTTGTTTATCCACTTTTCCATCTTAATAACACCCAAGTAGAGCGCAGAAGCTTATTTTGACAACCGTGCGCGACCGGTACACAATCGATAAAGCCGCGTTAAGATTTATGCGGCCCGTACATGTCTCGTGTGTGAAATAACGCAATTCCAATAAGAGTATCGTGTACGTCTTTATATTTATTTATTTTTTTTAACCAAGACGTTATTGTAATCGGTACGTCCTGTTTAGATAATAACACACGTTTTATTAGAGGAAACGCGAGAAATTCTCGTCACACACACACTTGCTTATCGAGCACCGGGGTTGTTAGGTAGGCAACACGTCGATAGAATAGATTTTCCAATATTTTACCTACGTATTTGTTTATTGATTTTTTTTCCTCAGAGTTCAAACGACCATGTTGCAGCAGCGATGACCTTGCACGAATCTGTCGCCGACGAAAAGGCGTCGCCGACAAAGATCACAGGTTTGTTGAATTCTCATCCGGACGAGCGCAAGTTATAGCAGCGGTCGGTTTGAAATGCCAGCTACTAACTATTTATCGGTTATTTATTTTTCCTCGTACAGCCTACCGGAGAGCGATCGACCACTTGGAGAACGACCGGAAATGGCAGTCGGACATGGCGGTGGGCAAGAGAATAGGCCTGTACAAGCTGAGCGGCGAACTCGGCAAAGGCAATTTCTCGCAAGTGAAAACCGGATACCACGAGTTGACCAAAGGTATGTCGATATTGCCCACCTCGACGTTTGACCGTGTTGGAGCGATATTCGGGTTTGGCTTGCTTAGCATCCTTAAAATCGGTTTCATGTCTTCAGTTTCATATACCGTCGGTGTTTAAGTACTCCTATAACCGTGACACGTGACCTTAGTCGATTAAAAGGATCAAATGAAACACTTTGACGTTGTAAACGGGGGGGGGGTAGACAGTTCAATCGATTGCTATATTATTATCGCGCATTATACGCTTCTGCAATGATATTATTGCAAAGATAATTGCGTGCTGTATACTGCAGTAAAAGTGAAGGCTAATAATATTGCTGCCCAGGCGGCGGGTTAGGGTAAGGTAAACGATATCACGAGACGGCAATGTCGATATAAATTTAAGGGCTCGCGCAGCGCGTGCGGCTATTTGCCAAGAGGCAAACTACTATTTTTTTTTTTTTTTTAACTTTAGGATATAGTTTTTATCGTACACTATGTTTCATACATATTATATAGCCGGTTTGCAATGGCTTGAAAATAAAACAAAAAAAAAAATTGACACTTGGGAAATGAAAATGGCGTGTAAAAAAAAATGAACGAATCGATATTTTAAAAACCGTTCGAGCAATCATGATAATATCGTAGTCATACATGCACGCGGTTTTTATTAATTTAAATAGTAGATACATTCATTTTAGAAAAGTATTGTGATACAGATAAGGTATGTGTTTTTTTTTTTTTTCAGAACGAGTGGCGGTAAAAATCCTGGACAAAACCAAATTGACGGCGAAAGCGAAGAAAATGTTATCCCGCGAAATCTCCGTTATGGAATCAATCCACCATCAAAATGTTATTCGGTAAAATGATATATAATGTTTTTTTTTGTTATTATTATTATTATTAGTATTATTGTCACACTGCGCGAATGCGCCATACACACACAATGGACGGAATATGCGGTTATTTTTTTTTTCTCTTTATTATTGTTGTAATAATTACATAATAACGCGCATTAAGACGTGAAATTGACGTTTTGTATGTGGCTGCTATGATATAAGGAAACCGTTAAAATTATAGATTGTTCGAAGTGATCGAAACGTACACCAAGTACTATTTGGTCATGGAACACGCGGCCGCCGGAGAGTTGTTCAAAAGACTGATCTCCGAGGGAAGAATGCACGAATCAGAGGCCAAAACGATTTTTGCTCAGCTCGTCCTGGCCGTAAAACACTTGGTGAGCACAATATTATTGTCAATAATATTAAAGCCAATTACACTTCTCCCAAACCTAGCTGGGCGATGAAAACGTATGAACACTGTCTACGTATGAATACTTTGATCATTCGTACATAAGTAATAAATATACTTCAAAAAAAAATGTATAAAGTATCATTTATTAACAATTTTGTGGTGCTTGCGAAAAAGTAATAGAACAAGACGCGAAAATCAAGTATTTTCCATTTAGGTTTCAAGTAAATTTACCGTTTTCTAAATTTCAGTACGGATTCCGAGTAGGCTAGTTCTAGTTGTCTTCTTATATATGTATGTATTTGCGTTTAAGTCAAGGTTTATCACTAGTGAAAATATAGGTTAAAGGCTAGTGAACTATACCTACTATAGTTTAGACAAGAAAAAAATATGTACAATGTTAACTAATCCCCCTTTTGTCCAAATGCCACAGAATTTATTTATACATTTAAAAGTATCGATTATAAATTGATAGATTAATTATAAAAATGAAATCGGTTACCTCGTAATTCACGAACGTTGTAATTATCAATGTAATATTATTGTTGCAGAGTATAAAAGTCGATAAAAATAAATTACTAATCAAATTTGTATTTTAAAGAATTATTTATCAGTAACATAAGTGATTTTTTTTCATGTATCAAAAAATAATAATTTATGAGTAAATAATAATGCTTGATATTTCATACTATTAAAACATGACAATTTTCCAAAATTAAAATACTCTCAACAATATGCTTTTTGTACTTAAATAAAAAATATTGCTTTGAACTAAAAGACGTTTATAAAAAAATAAATGAATAAAACTCAAAGACTTCAAATAGTTCGAATTTCTCTCTCTTGTGTATTCAACCCTTAGGCGGCTTTACAATTATTCCACTTCTCCACTTCAACCGATATCTCTTCCATTTCGTTTTATTTAAATATTTATACATAACACTCCAGCGTCTTTATGTGTTCTTTATAAAGAAATTCGAATGACAACAGACAAACCATTATTTTACAATTATATTATGTTAACATTTTATTTTACAACATTTATCATAGTACAATTTTTTTTTCACTGTATTTTCTTTATACATTTGTTTATATTTTTTTTTAAGGATTAAAAATGGTTTTTAATATATTAGCTTACAAATTATTTGAACAATTGTCAAGCCAACAATAGTAGACCAATAGTTCGAATAAATATTATGTATTTGAATATACTATGAATAATTCATTGGAATAATTAAAAAGTATTTACTTGTAAACTAACTTTCCGCCTTTTCTTTTTACAGCATGATCGGAGTATCGTCCACCGAGACATTAAAGCGGAAAATGTGTTTTTGAGTTCCAGAGGCGTCGCAAAACTAGGAGACTTCGGTTTTAGTATCACCGTTTCGAGTATGTATATAAACTTTAAATGCGTTTTTTCCATATTAATTTTATCACAGTCTTCGAGTATGTGTATAAACTGCAAATGAGTTTTTTTAATTTTAATATTTTAACAGTCCGCCGGATGAGAGAATTCGTGCTCTTCCTTGATAATATATTTTATTTGTATATTTTAAAATATCAAACAAACAACTATTTTTTTTTTTCTTAAACACTATTTAATTTTTGACGGTTTTCATTGAGGAATATTAACATGTAAATGACGATTAATTGCGTCGGACAACGGTTGTGTTAAAGCCGGACATCCTCATTAATTCATGTTAGGTTACACACACGAGTGTTCGCCGACGCTTTATTATTATTATTATAATAAACTGTACAACCGCACGACGAAAGTCTCGTTTAAAATAGTCTTTCGAGTGCTTAAAAAAAAATTGACAAAATCCAAAACTAAACATTGCCTAATTATTTCAGGCGATGAGAAATTGGAGACGTTTTGTGGATCTCCGCCTTACGCGGCACCAGAATTGTTCCTAGACCAACGTTATGTGGGTCGTCCGGTAGACGTGTGGTCGTTAGGAGTACTGTTGTATTTTATGACTACAGCTACAATGCCATTCCTAGGGGACAACATGGCCAGCCTCCGGCAGTCCATATTGGCGGGAAGAATGACCACCCCCGCGTGGATGTCGCAGCCATTACGATTGCTCATAGGTAAGCACACGATGCACAATGCCGATAAAGAATGCACATTGCTGCTGCTGCTGACGTTTGTCATTGTTAACATTAAAACTGCTACAGTCCTCGCCCGTTGCATATTTCAGAATCTATGCTTAACACGTCGTCGGACGGCCGCATCAAGGTCGACCAAGTGCTCAAGTCCGAATGGCTGAAGGAAGCGTCGGCGTACCAGAACCGGTTCAACAACAATTCGGTGTACGGCCACTGGTGCGCCTACCCGACGGCGGATTGCTCGGAAGCCACCGACACCGAGCTGAACGCCAGGCGGGCCCTGGAAGCGCTGGGCATCGGCAAGGCCATGCTGGACGAACACGGTCCCAGGGGATCCAGGAGCAACGTCGTGGCCACCTACAGGATAGCCGTGCACAGGCTGTTGCAGCAGCGCCGGCTCATGGTGCAAACACCGGCCGCGCCCGTTGCCAAACCGTTGAAGAAGACCAAATCCAGATTGTGCGCCATAACGTAGGCAAAGGCGAGACACGGACGTTCCCTCGGGAACGGCGCATCATCATCACCACCGTGTTTCCGGTTTCCAAGGATCGAGCGAGTGAAACGGATTTCTTGTACAATAAAATAACCAATGCCGCCGGGCCCTACCGCATGATAAGGTCCTGCGAACCACATCTTCTCACTTACGGGTGTCACTGTTTTACGAAAGCCCTAAATCGTTTTTATATCGTACGTGTTAACTATATATATATATATGTTATGTAATTGTGTAAGCGTTAATATACTCATTAGATTTATCGAAAGCTATCTCAAACTCGCCTGTTATTATTACAGTGTACCTACAATGTTTCTCTAGCTCTGTTGTTATTATAGCTGTTTTCTAAATATTACCAAACTATTATTGTGTAACTGTTATGTTTATTTTTAAGCCTTGTGATTTTTTTTTTTCGTGCGTGACTGTAAATGTTAAACTTTTTATGAAGTTATAAATAGAGCTTGGGTTTTACAAGCGAGTATTAAGCGTAACTTGATTTTTTTTTTTTTATTGAAGCGCAACCCCCCCCCCAAAAAAAAGGGCCATTTATGAGATCTTAATAGAAATCAAAATTTACTTGCTCACATTTTTTTTCGGAAGGTAAATAAATATAAGAAATTTTGTTTACATCAGTTTAATTGTCTGTTTAAATATATTTTAATCTGTTTTATTACTAATGAAATAATTGTATTCTATGTTGAGTACTTCCAATTATAAATGTTGTCTCAAAATATATTGAAATATTTATGAATATTAATTTTTGACAAGATTTATCAAGAGTTATCTTTGCTGCCACTGTAGTGACAAAAACCTGTAGAAATTTGTCATTTTTGAGCAGTAATATAAACTACTGATCGGAAATTAAAATGTTGACCCCCATTTAAAACAAAAATAATTTAATAAATCGAAAAACATAGGGGAGTTCATCACAATGAACGACACACGTGTACAAAATATATAATCGATGAAACGATTATTGGAATTATTACATTATAATAATTCGTGCGCGACGTTATAGCGCCTTATACATACACCCTAGGCAACATAACATACACAAACGCCTCGCTTTCTCTATTATCTTTTATTGTCTATGGTTTTTAATTGACAAATATATGATTGCTAACTTCATCGTGGTATACATTTTTATAAAAAATATTATATATTATTATTATCATGGTCGATTCGTCAAAATTGTATTTCCATCCAACACCACAATATAACTGATTACACATTGGTCCGAACGAATACAAGACAGTGTGGTTTTGTAATTCATTAAAATTTAATAATAATGTTCGAACGCCCTGTTTATATTTTCCCGTTAACAAAAGTAGTAGAGAATTACAACAACAAAATAAGACCAAATAATAACATAGCCGTTGAAAAATCGTATAGACCTGACCAATGGAGTAGTAATTTGAATAAAACATTTTCATCAGCCATTTTTTACCGCTCTCGAGAGAACGGAATTTCAAAATATCCATTATAGTTTAATCGCAATGCTGAGAACGGTTTTTTCATGTATTTATCTAAAATTGGTTAACCATCCGTCAAAAAAGACAGCAAATTTTAGCTTCGATGCAAAGCGAGAAGGTATTTCATTATTTAAAAAGTCAATTAAATATGCACGTTATCACTTAAGTTTTAAACGTTTATAGAGTTCTGGGGAAAAAATATATACACATTTTAGTGTTATCTAATGTTGTAAAAAATAACAGTCTGACAGTGAGTACAGTGAAAAACGAAGCCCAAAAGAGGGCTACAAGTTTTTTTTCCTTGCAGAAATACAGTGCCGAAAATGTCAATATCGAAAATAGTATTCGACGAGTTAATCTTTTTGTCGACTACCTTAAAAGAACATTATCCGACATGGATTTTTTTTCAGTTCATTTTTTTATGAACACCTATGCTCTATGAAAACATATTGTGTATTATGTTATTTACAAGAAAAAAACTGTTTTTTAAATAAAACTATACTTTTGTTTAACACTTTTAGTTATTATTTGTTGTTTGTTTCTTTTCGTCACATCAGATAAATCTAATGTTACAATTAGTCGAATTTACACATACGTTTACCTATGTGTTTGTATTTTTCAATAAAAATACATTCAAAAAATATTTATATTGTCATCTTTGTTTCAGGAATAGTATTAAGTATTTTGTAGGATATAAGCAAAAAGATCAACTAGCTGATAATAATTTAAAGCGTTGACTATTTTATGTTTTCCAGTGTCGTTCATAGTAAATTTAGACGAGCATACATTGGTATTATAGTATGTAAAGTGTAAACATAAGTATACAAAATATTATACTCTTTCAAGGCGTTATGAAAAAACCAAGAAAACTATACAACAACAATAATTATTATTATTGATGATCATTCCTTGATTTTTCAATAATCAGGTGTGCAAAATACCTTTTTATTATACACAATAACACATAGCTACACTATATACACTATAATAAAACGAAAAATATTCTTACTAATAATTTATTCGTTTGCATAAGTACCACGGCTTACACTTTTGAAACAATTTTTAAAAAACAACCATGAGACATCAGAAAGCCACAAAAATAAAATAAAAAAAGTAACATCTGATGAAATATTTACCAAGTTTTTTTGTGTTAAAGGTAAAATTTTTCTATTACGCACTTTCAAAGTTCGGTTTCTTTTTACAGCTAGTAAAAACTAAATATATTAGTGACTTTTTCGTATTCTCGCCAAACTGTAAAGAGGCCCCACTGTCGTATTTTTTTTTATAGATTGGCATATAATATAAAAACAAAAAGCCATTGAATTCTAATCTGTCCACAGTGAATATTTTGGAGATATTTCTAAGTAGGTTGCAATTGGATTTCTGCCTTGAAAAAAATCCCCAAAAAAAATCGAATATCTGAAAAATCTTGTTACAAAGTTACTTTGGGGATTTTTGTGTAGGTTAAGTTGCCTATCTATTTTTTTCAGGGCCTTAAACATTTCTGGTATATGTATTTGGTTTTTTATCGTCGTTTTTATATTAAACATTTTTTAAAAAATGTATAGCACTTTTTTTTTGTGTAACGTTACTCTAAATATATGAGTATGGGCTTTAAAAATACTTACTTAAGAATTCGTTAATCAGGCTATAAAATATTTGACTAATGATGAAGTGATCTGCAAATTTAAAACCGATGTGGTTAGGATTTTTTTTTGTTTTGTCGTATTATAACCAATCTATAAATTATTAATAATTTATGTACATACACCAAAAGTACTTGTTGTGACTAAAAGTTGAAACGCTTGAAAAATTTTAACGGGTAATCGAAGAAATAAATATAAAAAAAAAATCTCTTAATAAATTAATAGTGTTGTACATACAACAAACAAAAATTGTCATTGATCGTTATTATTATTTAAATACCTATTTGTTTTATTTGAATAAATATTCTTTTAATTTTTCAAATAACTTAAGTGTGTAATTTGGGGTAAATATATATATATATTTCATATAATTCGTTATAAAGATTATTTAATTTAAAAAATATATATTCGAATAGTTTTTCATTTGAATATTACGAGGCACGTCCAGAAAGTAAAGATACAAGCCCCCCCACGGCCGTAGGAAATATTTCACGAGAAAAATCCCTGTGACCAAAGTTTTCAACGTACTTAAATCATTTTGGTCTTATTTCGAAGGGGAGAAGTTAAGCTGCACGACAATGTAGCCGACATAGCGAAAAAATATTTCTTACGGCCGTGGGGGGGGGGGCTTGTATCTTTACTTTGTGGACGTGCCTCGTATGTTATTTAGAAAAACAATGCATTCGAACAAATGCTTAAGTGAGTGGAAAAACATGAAATGCCTGTGTACCATTTTTTCCATTTTTTTTTTTAATTATAAATAATAGTTTTTTTTTTTTTTTGTATTATTAACCATACATAATATAATTATTGTGGACACATATCGTTAATGCTTTATCAGCAAAGTAAAAATGTGCTGAGATTTGTAGTTGTGCTAGCCATTTTGCGTTTTAAATATTTTATGAGAGACAAACCGTTTGTAATTTTTCATTAGTGTAGTTGGTGTATTCAAGTTTCCAGGCATAATAAGTGAACGCCATTATATTATTTTAGCATCTATTGAAGTACAACGTAGTGGACTAATACATTTTTTTACAAAAGTGATTGTTTATCTATTGCTTTGCTTTAAACTGCTTTAGGTTATTTTCTCTCAGCATCATAATATTATTACAAATGCCCGTTTTGACCACTAAAATTAAATCTACACTTAGAATGTGTTAATAATTCGACTGGACTTATGTAGGTGCTACAAATAACGAACACACATTGGCTACCAATTAATGTAAAACATTAAATTATTATTAAATATAAATGTAAAATAAAACGTTGGCAGCATATCAAAAAGTATAAAGAGTTTTTTCTCAAAAAACCCATTTCCCGAAAATTAATTAAAACAAATATAACTCGGCCAATTTTCAAGATAGGAGAACGATTCTTGTCTCAAAATTATCAGGATTTGGAATGACTCAAAATTTTCTTTTTGCGACAAGAGGTCCCTTTTCTCTTTTCACCTCACATAAAGTACAATATTTAATTTAACTAATAATAATGGTCATTGGTGATGTATATAAATTGGAAGTATGTGTTGTCGAAAAATATTCAACGAGAAAAAAAAAATGTTTGAATAAGATATTGTTAATAACGTTTTTTTTATCGGAGTTCATAACATTGTCCTTATAAAGGAAGTAAAGCATAAAAAGTATTGGACTGAAGTAATATTATAGCAGTATAATAGCAATACTATATACCAACTAAAATCTACATTTCAGATTTATAATTTTTCATAGAAGTATATTATTAACTTTTTATTTATTACTTAATCATATATTATCTAATCGAATATTATGATAAAAAATTTAATCTGTTTTTAATAAAGAAATAATTGTATTCTTTATTGATGTCTTCCAATTATAAAATACCTATGTTATCTCAAAAATATATTTTTTTAATTAAAAAATTTAAGTACTACTACTATTTGTATTGCTTATATGAGAAAATGTATACATGGCTTACGATTCGGAGATTTTCTAACTTACAACACAAATAATTAATTATACAATGAACAGACCTAATTAGTAATATACATATCTATTGTATGATTGGTAATTAGTATATAGATACGAATTTGTTATTAAAATCATTTGGGTTATAATGCAACTAAAATGTTGTTATCATTTATTCTGAAGAATATTTGGTTTATCGAGTTAATGAAAAATAATTGTGTTGCTTTTAATAAGATTAAAATGTGCGTATAAACAGTTAATGTTTGAAATATTTCATGTGTATCATTTTGTTTATAATTTTCTATTGCCGTACCTAGTTGGCGTGTTGAGTGTTAATTAGGTTTAAGTTTCAAAGTTTTTGAAAAACAACGATGTGAGCAAACAAATTATACACAAACTTGACTGCGAAACTACTTTGTAAAAATGTAATATCACTTATTTTTTCTTTTAGTGAAAAGTTTCTGAAATATATATCTGTGTTTCGGGTAAAAAAAGGGCCTGTGTACTGCACCAAGTTTATTTATTAAGATTATTACACCTGTCATTTTTTAGCAAATATTCTTTACACCGGTAAATGTGTATGATATAAATAAAAACACATTCCACAAAATCACAATAGAAAATATTTGGTTTATGAAGTAACCAATTATCGGATATTCAGACTTACATTCAATTATTAAGTATACTATGTATATGTTGTGTAATAAATACAATAAATATTGTTTGATAGAAAGTTAAAGAAATTTGAAATATTTAAATGTAAAAAAAAAAAATGGCAATACTCAATTGTTTCAATTTAAAAATCATTAGGTTTAAAATGTAAAGTAGACAAAAATCGGTCATTTAGTAGAGTAATAATAAAAAATGTTTTTCGATCAATTATTCTATTGCATAATATGACATTTAATAAATATATTATTATTAAGACAGTATAATTATTACATAAAGACAAATGACAATGATGACAATATGAATGAAGGCGCAATGTTGTATACCAGTGGCGCACGTCCTATAGGCTATAAAATATAGTTGCCAATCCCCGCCATTTATTACACTAACCTTAATGCACAACATGATTGAATGGAAGCCGTTTGAATTTTAATAAATGTTGTCATCCAAGACAAGTGGTTATTCGTTGTATGTGTGCGTTCTGTTCACAAGTTAGAATATTGGCGTAGCAAATTTTATTTCCATACAAGCTGATTTGAAGTTTTTGAAACTATATAGCGTATAGGATCAGATAGACGTAAGTGTATTTAAATACCTACTTTTTGTAACACTAAAACCATTTATTTTTATAATTTTTGGTGGTGATTGCGATTTACCATTATTATTTTGTCGTTTAAGTATTTGCCTAGTGAATGAAAAATTGCATCGGTACTTATAAATATACGTATTTTATAAAATAATTTTGTAGATTTTGGATAAAATATTTTTTCCTTTGTAAATACTATTAATCCTATTAATGATGATGTGTAAATAAACTACATTAATTCTAAATTTCAGTTTTCACTAATTCTAAAAAATCGTCTTAATAAATTTAATAATTTAAACGCACCTTTATTTATTTGGTATCATTTATTTAAATAATTATATGCCGAGTTAATCTTTTGTAACTCTGTACACATATCTTGACATTTAGTGTCTTGGAGATGGTCTATTTTTAATTGGTTTTATTTAGACAATACTGGGCAATCACATGCTGGAGTGTTGTGAGAGAGTGCGTTCAGAAAATTCGATCATTAGCGAGTGTGATTTGAGATTTCTGTTACAAATTGCAATTCAATTAACATTAAAAACGTATTGTTTACTTCATTGAATTATACAATGGTTAAACAAATTAATTTTATTAAAATGTTGTACATTTTTTTATTGTCTTTTATAGTTATCTATAAGCTTTATAACTATATTTAGTATTACTAATGTCATATGTATAATGTGATAGAGTATAACTAATTACAAACATCAAAATTAAATACCAAAAATATTTGAGTTAACTCATATGATAAGCATATGCTCTTAACATCCACTCGTTTAGCAAGTGAAGGGCACAGGGGAAGAAGGGTGGTCCATTTATGAAATTTTTTTATCCAAATACTTTTTTTATCAAGACATGCCATTAATTTTTTTTATTTTATGTCAATAGATTGTCTAAATAAATACATTTTTCAGTAGAATAGCACTTAATGTGATTTTTTTTGTTCTAATGCAAGAGGTAGAGGAATTCACAAACTTCGTTTTCGCTATACTCTAAAATGTTCATACATGGACTACTACCCTTCTTCCCCTGTACCCTTCAAGTGACCTACCGACACTCTCTCTGGTTCAATATGTAACCTACCTGGGGTTTTTTTAATATTAGGTATACAAATAAATAATTAATATAATTATCAATGAGAGTCGTTTTATTGTATATATTTACTGCTTTCTTATCGGCCTGTAACCGATAAGTAAACCGGTATAGATGTGCTATGCAGTAATTGAATGCATAAGGCCAGTATTTAAAATAAAAATTGTTCGAATAATATATGGTGTAACTCCAGATACGTTGTATTGTCATTTGATTGAAGTATGGTCATAGGCGCAATTTCAATCAAATAACTGGGGGTGCTTAAGCTGAAAGCTCTGCATTTTTTAGGTATTTCAATTTTTATTTTTATTTGAAGTTAATGTTTTTTTTAGCAAGGATGTTTTATATTAATTTAATATTTAACACTCAAGTTTTAATTTAATTTTTTAATTTTAAAGTAGGTATGAGTAATACAAATAAAGAACTGTAAGATAAAAAGAAATGTTTTCCAGGTGTTTCTTATTTTATTGAAGTGGTATACGCCTTTCAGATTTAGCAAAATGATTAATAACTGCGTTTCTATTTATTGATGTTGTTAAATAATTTCCAATGTAAAGTATGGCCAAGTCTGTTAATCTTTCCTGCCCCATCGATACCCTTAGCCAAGTTTTTATTCTCCTTGAAGTCAGTGTGGCCTAATCATGTGAAACATAGGAGAATTCAATTGTCTATATTCAGTTAGTTTGGCTCCCTGTTGCAAAAAGAAATATAAAATATGACAGTCGACCTTTTCGTCGGCTTACCTGTGTATTTTTTTTTTAAAGTTTCACTTCTGGTTTTTTTGTGGTATAATCGGGTTCCGTAGAAGATAAAACAGGAAATAAAAAATAATAAATACTGTTATCAACTCTACAAAAAAGTTTTTTTTTATTACACATTTTTAAAAGCAGAGTTTTTAATACATAAACACGAACAATTTTAGAGGGTGCTAATACACCTCAAGCCCCCCTCCCCAAATTCCGCCTATGAGCATGGTATAGACTATAGGACAAAAAAAAAAAATAACAAATTTTTATTATTTTTAGTAGACATTAGACAAGTTTATTGTAGTAAATTGTAATAAGTTATTAAATGTGAAATTATAATATTAAGAAAAATTACACAAATGTTTTAATGACCTAAAATAAATAATATTTTTTATATATTAATTTTTAACGCTTAGTAAGTGTAGTAGGACACTGTTAAAAAAATGTTGGGCACCATTTTTCTTGTAGGCCATCTGCTAAACGAATGCCTCTTTTTGACAAATTGGTATACCAAATAAAAGTAAAAAACAAATAGTTTGATTTATTATTTTGTTTTTTTTTTTTTGAAAGTCTATAGTAGCATACTATAGACTTTCAAACTATAAAACAAATGTAGTTAAATCAAGATAAATAATATAACAGCCGGTTTACATATTTACTCTATAAACTTTTTACTTGCTTATTTAATATTTACCAATCATAACATTATGCTTTACTGTTTATTTACAAAAAAAATCAAAGATAAAACCGTTTTCTAGAATCTCAACCAATTTAAAATGTTTTGATCAAATTTTATAAACTTGTTTGATGACCGATTGAGATAGCCCAACCTACATTAATTCAAGTATCATTAGAAATTAAAAATATTATCATTTCTTTTTAAATTAACAAAATGTTCTTATAGTTTAAAGAAACTTTTTATAATAATATTCAATAAATGCTAGTGAGAATACGTTTTTTAAGTTCTGTCGAAAAAAAATTGAAAGGCAACATTTTTTTTTTAATTAAAAAAAAAGAGAGTTTTAAAAAGTATGTTTTATCTAATCGTACACAGGAAGGTTGCAAAAAAAAAATTGGTACATCGCAACGTGTAGGATAACATATTCTATCAACGTCCGACACGCCCACGTACCTACTAACTTCTGATATGTGTTACTTTTTTAATATTATGCATTTGTGCCGACTATGATTTTTATAATAATAATATCAGAAGCAGAAAAAATGTTACGCCATAAAATAATGTAAATGTATTTTAAGGGTGTTGTTGTTGCTAAATATAAGACATGCAATTTCTATTTATTTTTAATTATTATTTTTTGGTAGACATTCCGGCATAAAATTAAGTTAACCTAAATAATTATGATTGATATGCATTAAAGCCTCTTTTTTGACATTTTCATGTCTTAGCTCTGGCACATAACCGAAAAAAGTGTTACCAAAAAAGCGTTCTTTACAAAAGCGTTACAGGGGGTAGGAGATATGAGGTGGGAGATATGGGGTGGGAGATAGGGGTAGGAGATAGGGGGTATGAGATAAGGGTAAGTGATAGGAATAAGCGATATGTTGTACGTTCAACGTTCAAATTAGAGCTAAATGATAAATTCATAATAGTTTAAGGGCCCAAATTCTCTATGAATTGTTTAAGCCAGATATTAAACACTACAATATTAGCCAGAAACTTGATGTTTTAATGTACTAGCTTGTTACTGCTTCTTAATATACTATATCATTATCTATAATTCCACCACTACTCAACATTTATTCGGTACTTCAACGAGACATGAAAATGTTTTTCTTTAATATTGCCTTTACAAAACTCCTTAAAACAGACCGTATAAGGGGAACGGAAAGCGTTGTTTATTAAGGGGCAAAGGATAGGCAATATTTGACAGAAATTGTTCCAATTTTATTAGGTCATGCCATTTTTCCATTTATCATATGTCTACCTATTTCAAGGCGAACACATATTACATTTTTCTAATTATAATACTTTTAAAACGATTTGATTGATTTGATGACGGAAGTTTGATAACAAATGACTTTCGTAGCAGTCATTTTCTGGCGTATTTATTGGACAGATATCAAGTTTTTTTGTTTTTTGCAAAGCTTACTATTTTTTCTGTGGGGGCTAAAAGGCCGATTTTTGATTTAGAGGTTAAAAAAGTAGCTAGATGTATTAAAAAACACTATGGTTAAAATGGTTATAAATATTTTTTTAAAACAAAAATAAAAAATCGGCCTTTTAACCCCCATAGAGAAGATGTTAAAATATAAAACAAAAAAAAACTTTACTTATTTAAATAATATATAAATCATATTTATTATCATAATTATGTAAGTAAAATAACTTTGTATTGTAATTTTTACAGGTCTCGTATTATAATCTACATCGTAAGCTGAAAAATGAATTCGTTGATTCAAGTCATCAATAAGCTTCAGGAAGTCTTTTCGGTAATTGGTCAACATGACATTAATTTACCACAAATCGTTGTTGTCGGAACACAAAGTTCCGGTAAAAGTTCAGTTTTGGAGAGTCTTGTTGGACAATCGTTCTTACCACGAGGAACTGGCATAGTCACTCGAGCGCCATTGGTGCTTCAAATGATCAAGTATACAGACAAACAGCGTACGGACATAAGAAATAGAACAAAAATTGAAAATCTAAATCAGTGGGCAGTATTCCATCATAAGCCGAAAGAAATATTTTACGATTTTGACTTAGTACGGAAAGAAATTGAAATAAGGACAGATCAACTGGCAGGTTCCAACAAAGGAATCACACATGACCAAATAATATTAAAAGTCTATACGGATTTATTCGATCTCACGTTTGTAGACTTACCGGGTATTACCAAAGTTCCCGTGGGCGATCAGCCTGAAGATATCGATGAGCAGATACAAGCCCTCATTACTCACTATGTGGAAAAACCCAATTCCATAATTCTAGCAGTTGTCACAGCTAACACTGACCCGTCTACTAGCGAAAGCTTAAAAATAGCTAGAAAAATGGATCCAAATGGCCAAAGAACAATAGCTGTTGTTACAAAATTGGACCTCATAGACAAAGGCACATTACAGGACGCAGCTGAACTACTGTGTGGTCGCAAGATTCCCGTCAAACTAGGTATCATAGGCGTCGTAAATAGAAGCCAAAAAGATATAAACGACAACAAGCCGTTAAAAGAAACGATTAAGTCTGAAAAACAATTTTTAAAAGAAAATTATCCAGATATTTACAAAAAACACGGTAACTCGGCTTTAGCGAACACTTTGCAACAGATATTAATCATGCACATTAAAGAAACATATCCGGTTTTGAAAAAAGAACTAGAAAATATGAAGACCACGCTGGAAGCTGAACTGATGAAATTAAAAACACCGGACAGCAATGCGTCTTTTATCCTTGGGATATTGAAAGACATAAATAAATCTTATTGTGATACTATTAACGGTAACCGAAAGGATATTTCGGAAAACGAAATTACAGGTGGCGCCAAAATTTCCAGCATCATTAATAAAAATTACTTGAAGGTCGTAGATGATATTGATCCATTAATTGACTTGCCAGAATCAAAAATCAGCAATATTCTGTTAAACGCGGCTGGAACCCAAAAAAGCTCTTTTGTTAATGAAAAAGCGTTGCAGAATATGATCAGCCGTCAATTGCAATATCTAATTGAACCGTCATTAAACATTGTTGATCTTGTCAGTGGAGAAATGTTGAAAATATTTGACACAATTGATAAAAGTATATTAGATCAACTAGCAAGATTTCCTATATTAAACTACGACGTAAGTATTTTACATTAAAATAAAAATATATACAATTATTTTAAGACCATCAAACATTGTTAAGCTCAGTAATTTGTCCATAATTAATTTTCGCAAGGTTATAAATTGTTAATGTTTGATAAAAAAAAATATATTCCTTTAACTTTGAATTCTAATAATTTGTACAAATAAACTTGTAAAATTAGTACTCAAGCATTTTAAGAATCACTTTTATTACTTCTTTAAAATAGTTTAAAAATAATGGTTAAATGATGTAAATCAGTAACTCTCTTACATACCTAATAGCTATAACATTTCACCTTAAAAAATAATAGTTTAATTCCTAGGAGATAAAACTCATTGTTAAAAAATAAAAGTATTTTATAAATCTTTTTTTATCATTAATGTATAGGAGGAAGACTACCAAAAAACTGAATCAAATATTTATAAATATATAGAAAACATTAGTACCTATCAATAATTATTGGTTTGTTTTTTAACTTTAGAACATTTTCTTTTGTTTTAGGTCCGTTCAGTCTTGGACAACATGCTAGAGGATACTTTGATTGCTATAAAAGAATTCATTAAATCATACATCGATACACAACAAGAATGTATAAACACTTCTAATCCCGATTTTATATTTCAGTTGGTAAAGAAAAATGAAAAAGTAAAAGATATGTACGTTACACAAGTCGTAAAAGTAGATTCTTGTAATAAACCGTATTATCCAGATAATGAAAAAGAGCAGGAAGAACAAAAAAAACAAATATTATTACAAATGTTGTCAGGGATTAATGACTTAGACCAATCATTAGAAACATCAAAACAGGTCAAACTACATCAAAATCTAACACAATGCTATTTCGATTTTATAAGAAGAAATGTCAGAGACTTTGTGCCGAAGAGAATACAACACAAGATGGTTGATAATATATTACTGAACTTCGATAAGTATATGATCGTTCACGTATTTGAAAAGTATTTGATCGAAAACAAGTTTGCCGAAATACTTATAGAAGAAGAGGGTGTAATTGAAGACAGAGAATTGGCTATGAAAAAATTAAATGCAGTTAAAAGTGCATTGAAAGTAATGGTGGACATTCAACTAATGTAATATTGTACAAAATAGTGCATTTAAAGTAAAAATATTATATTTTGTTTGTGGAGTTGAGAGTTAAGATTGTTTTTTTTTTTAATATAATTAAGTTTATAATGGTATTTTTTAAAAAATAATGTAATTATTTTTCACTAAATTACCACTCATTTTTTTATGTTGTTTAGATATTTTGTAAAGTTTTTCAGTAAATGAGTTTTGATATATTACTAGTATTTAGAATACTTTTCAATGAAGTGTTTGGATGGTATATTACTGAACTTCGATAAGTATATGATCGATAACGTATTTGAAAAGTATTTGATCGAAAACAAGTTTGCCGAAATACTTAAAGGAGAAGAAAGTGTAATTGAAGATAGAGAATTGGCTATGAAAAAATTAAACGCAGTTAAAAGTGCATTGAAAGTAATGGTGGATATTCAACTAATGTACTACTAATGTTCAACTATTGTAACTAATATTGGAATTTTTACAAAAATGTGCATTTAAAGTAAAAATGTTATATTTTGTTTGTGAAGTTGAGACTTAAGATTGTTGTTTTTTTATATAATAACTAATGGTATTTTTTTTAATAATTACTTCCATGAAAGTATTCTAATTTCGAGTTCTTTGTAATGTTTAATATAATTATTTTTCACTAAATTACCATCCATTTTTTTACGTAGTTTAGATAATTTTGTTAAGTTTTTCTGTAAATAAGTTTTAATATATTACTAGTATTTAGAATACTTTTTCAATGAAAGGTTTGGATGGTATTTAAAAATGTTTTCTAAATGTAGTTTAAGTTTTAAATACCAAGAGTCTACAAATATTTTTTTTCGGCATTAATTATTATAATAATCCAATGTAGACCAGAGCTCTTATTTCTAAAAAGTAAATCTAATCAATGTTGATTGTTTTTTCTCATTAAAATTTTTGATAATATGTTTAATAAGTTTATTGTAAAATGTTACAGTATTTTGTTATATTCATCACATCTATGTCATGACATGAGATATACTTGTAATTGTTATTAATTACTATGTTTTTGTTTTAAATGTATTTGAAAAATATCTAAATTGTTTTATGTACACAATTTTTTTTTATCCCAAATACCAAGTTCAAAAGTAATTTTTAACAGATTGATTAAAGTATAGATAATTTTCTATAATGGCAGTAATGTAAAACATCGTTTTTATAAATTATCCTTAACTCATTTTTTTTTTAATTATTGCTTTATCGTTCTAAAACTTTTGAATCTAGAATAAAAGCCGCAATCGTAGATAAATACTAATTTGAAACTAGAATGATAACTTATGATAAAACGTGAAGGCAATGGTATCGGCTATTTTTGTGCCAGTGTATTTCCAATATCTAAATTGTTTTATGCACTTGCCTACATATTATTAAACAATATCAACTTTTGTAAAAACTAAGAAGTATTGTGTTAACGTTCATGTTTTAAACTTTCTTTCAATAGGTAAAAAAATGTTGACTTCAGATTATATTTCAAAATAGTTTAGCAGCAATACAGTTATCACAACACAATGATATTGCATTACCGATACATAACTAACTGTTATAATTATTTGTGTTTTGAAAGAAACTTAGAACTTGGAACGAATTAGAAACTCATTGTCGAGCACATACACAAATTATTGTCAGGTACATGTACGTTCGATAATAGAATATTAAAAAATATTAACATAGACTTACAAAATAGCTTTTATTGTATTCACGAGCTAAGTGCATACTATAGAGTAGGTCAAACGAGGAAATCGAAGAAATCACGTGAGAGTGCATAATTGTCTTTCAAAAAAAAAAAAGATAATAACAAAGATAGATTCGACTGACTCTCGTTGCCGTCTGTGCACGTGTAAATTACAAATGTATTTCCGGATTTCCGGCAACAATAAGCACTGCCCACACTCCACTGTATATATATATATAATGTAACACTAAAGCACGTAGGTATATTGTAATTGTTATTAGGTACATCCGTACTTAGGTCCGCGTGTGAGAAAACAGTAATTATAACACTAATTACACTAATAGTGTATAATATTACTTATAATTATTTAACCAAAACATTTTTTTGTGGTTTTCATAATATATTATACAGAAGAGCAAATTAAAATTCATATTTCACACTTGTTTTTATGAGCATTGAGCAATGTTGATTACCTAGCAACATGTATACATAATTATATATATGTTGTTAAAAAAAATTCCTTCAACTCGATTCGGATGTTAAGTCCTTTCCTAACAATTTTTGTAGTATATTTTTTAACGACAAAAGTCTTGACGTATATTAAAAGACAAATGTTCTTTGTTCTGACGCTGAAAGAAATTTAAGAATTAGGATAGGTAGTTAAAATTTTAGTAGAAAAAATATTATAAAACGATTTATGAAAGGATTTAACATCCGATTCTATGTACACGACTTACATGTAAAATACAGTATAGTATTACAAGCACGAAAGGTTAATTATTACCACTTGACACTTTATACCTACAGCTCCCATTTAAGAGTTAAACGATTAAACATAGTTAAACGCTTGTTAAAAAAAAAAAAATGTATTTTTTAACGAGATTTACACGCAACTGTACAAATTTAAATTTCAACATTTATATTATGGTCAAGAAGAACATTGTATTTTTATTTTTAAAAAATGCAATCTACACAATCATCTTGATAAAGTAATAACTAAAATAAGAGACCTATAAACTCTCCTTTCTCATATTATTTCTTCTGTTACCATTTAAAATTTGACCATTACTTTATATAGATCGAGTTGTTTCCTAAACAACAGGCGGATAATAAGTCAAACTGTATCAAATAGTGTTAGAAAAAATGGCGATTGTGACAGAAACTCAAAAGACAGTTTGCGGTTAAAATCATGTTAGTCGTTCGGATGTGGTCAATTTCTAAGTAATGGTGTGCTAGATGCTTCCCTGTGCGTTTTCCACAGGAAAATACCTAAAAACCCTTAAATCACACTCGGAAAAAATAGTTAAATAAAGTTGAAATTTTAAAAATCAAATTTAAAAAAAATGTTAAAACCAAAATATCAAGTCGATTGACAATAATAAATTGACAAGTTGAGAGCTAATCGGCTCTCCGACTTTAATAGAAGTACAGTCAGTTTATATTACATTTATATTGTTTGCACTATTGAAGTACACAAGAGTAATATTACATTTTATAATATGTTGGCTATAGTATTACATATTTAAATATTGTGTACTATTAATATATTCTCAATAAAAAACGTTTTACATGCAAATTAATACAAAAATGTACATTGTTAAGTCCGTTCGAGTACCAGGAAAAAGTAATAGTTGGTACATCGTACAGTCGACTGTCCACTGATTTTAACATAAAAAAAAATGTAAGATAATATTAAAAATCCTAACGTCTCGTTCCAATAAACACCGAGTTAATAGAATTACACCTACAACCTGTACCGACCACGATTATCTACTTTGTAAGTCTACAGTCAAGTAACAAAAACCGCCTTACCTTATTCAATGTGTTTTTATTTACTTAAGATAAAGATAAATCGCTAAATAGTAACGGAGTCCTGAATAACTTCACAAACAACACTCACGTTTTTATATAAAAAGATTTATGTATTTTTTCCCTTTAAACAAAACTGCTTTAATTTATTGTTGAAGATTTGACATTTTATTAAACTTTTTCAATCCTTAAAAATGTATTTTGACTTTTTTTTCGAAAATAACAAATACTAAAACGAACAATGAAAATATTTTTTTCCACAATTTATTTATTAAAAAAAAAAATGTAATAATATATTATCCGAAAGGCATAAGTTTTACAATAATGTTTTTTTAGGCTAAACTCAGTGTTTAAAATACATTTATTATTTGGTATTGCATTATTTCTAATGACTGAAACCAACAGTGATTTTGGACTGAATTTAACACCTATGAAGTGCATAATAATATTTTATTCAAAGAATCCTTAATGAGAGAAAAGCCAAAATAATTGATGAATCTGTCTAACGGGATTTTAAAACTGGAAACATGTTAGATTGACGGCTTAACTATAAAACGGATTTTTTAAATGATTGTATACTCGAGAAAATTAAATTTTAAACACTCTAATATAACGGCTTGACTTTAAAAATAAACTATTTTACTATAAAATTATAATGATAGCATAATTAGGTAGTTTTATGGGAACTAAAAAATAATAATACGTCTATTTAAATACAAAAAAAAAAAATGTAGCTCTATAAAAATTAAAGTCTAAGTTACTTTGCTAATGAATCATACATTTTATTTTATTCGCCACAAAGTTACACAACGGTCGATTAAATAAGTATTTAAAATAATTAATAAAGAATATAAATTATTTTAAAAATAATCTAATGATAATTATTATTGTAATAGAAAAAAAGATTACTGGCAAAAATTTACTTACAAAAAATGTACCAAATGTATTTCAAAAATAACAATTAAAGAGGGCTCCGGCAATAATTGATTAAAAATCATTTGTAGATCAATACGATAAGTGACAAAAATAAAACAATATAATATGTAGTGTCTTTGTTTAGGCTAAAAATTATTTTTCTTGTTAATAACCATTACAGTACTGAATCATATTTTTTAAAAGAGTTCATTATCCTCATCCGTAATAATTTGCAGTATGAAAAAATCGCATTGGGGTTTTTCAATAAATGAACGCGTAAAGAATGTGATGCGGAACTGAATGATTTTTTTTTTTTTTTTAATACCATATTTTTTTTATTTCACTAATATTGTCAATACAATTGAAAATACGTCCACATTATTTCTATAATATAGCCGTAAGAAAATATATTGTATATTATACAAGGTGAATGTTTTCCACTCATTTTTTCAAAAAACAAATTTTGATTTCAGGGCTTCTCTTTGAAAACATTTTATTAAATTGATTATTACATCCATGTATCATGTATCATAGTTTTGAATTGTATTATTATCCCAACATTCACATTTTATATTTTAATTCAGACATTTTTTTAAACTTTTTTAAGTGCTCTGTGCTTGTATTCAAGATAAAATTGAAGTTGTCTAAAAAACCCCGACTATAGAACCTAGTTAAAGCTCTTTTCTTTATAACGGTGTCAACATTTTTTTTTTCTATGACCATTTCGCTTTGACCTACAGGCTTTTCTATAAACACGTTTTACGATTATTTTTAATATCAAAGTAATTTAATTATTTAAAACTGTTTATCGACCAGTCAACGTTAATTAAATTAAATTAATAATAAAATATGCCCGTTATCATCGTTAACTTCGCAAGATGATAGATGTTTGGAAAAGTACCAAAAAGGTAGAAGTATTTTAAAATTATAAATTATTTTGTAAAATAAAACAAACTAAAACAATTTTCTAACTACAATTTTAGTTTTTTTAAAACATTGGTATCATCATCATCGTGTAGTTTGACAGGCCTTGAAGGCCTCAACGCTGCCATCA